TTGTGTGCTGTGGTGGGAGGAAGAGGCTGGTAAAGCAGACAGTTTTCCTCTGTATGGGCTGAATTACTGTCACTGACCTGTAGACTTTATCTTTCTAGGGTGCTGTCCAGATTATTTTCAGAGGAAAAGAGGCAGATGCAGAGGCAGAATATGTGGATAAATTTGCAAACCCCTTTCCTGCAGCCATGAGAGGTATGGTTATCTCACACATTGTGTTCCCTTTTTGAGTCTGCCTATTGCACGTAGATAAATTTGTAGCTATTCAGTAAACTTTTTGCTAATGAGTAAGTTATTCAGGCAAAACATTTTTATCTGAGTCAGAAAGGTGATGCTTAACCATAGGTTGTGCATGTGAAGGAAAAACACATCTAGACACAAAACACATCTTCAGATGGAAAGAGACTGGTGAGATGTGGGGACTGCACTGAAGAGCGTATTTTCAATTTTGTAGATACTAGTAAGCATCTCAAAAGCCTTTTCCTTAAAAGTGCTTTGACAATCTATTTGACAGTCCTAGATGCAGACCAGCGGCCTTAAGAAAGGGTCAGAGTTTAGTTCAGTTCAGTGCTGTTCCCCAGGACTCTGGAGTAAATTTTTCCACTGTTTTTACTTCTGAATTTTACTTCTAGCATTGAAGCATTAACTGTGCTCTAGAAGGCAGTTCTGTAGACTCTGGAGTCAGCTTTCTCTGTTTCCAGTTATGCTGGCTTATCCTGTTGATTGGTTTTGTACTTCATTTAAATCCTGTTAATAGTGCCATAGAGCTGGGAAGGCTTAGCCAAGCTGTTTTCCATCACAACCAATACGTACAGTATTGCTCCCTCTGGTTTTTCAGTAGACTATCTATTACTACTGTTTGAGCCAGAAAAAACCCCAGACTCCTGCACATGCAAAGTCAAGGGATGTCTCTTCTAATCAACACTTCTGAACCTCTAAATCAGACTAATAGTAGTAGATGGAAGGAGATGGTATGTCTGAAACTTTGCAGTAACAGGTGCAGTACTCAGTGAGTAAAGCCCCCTCCTTAATGTTTTTTGGCTTGCTAACTTTTGCAAAAATTAAAAAAGCACATGTTTCTAATTTAGAAACTATGGACACAGGAATATTTCCTTTTCAGGCTATTCAAAATTATTTTCTTAAGTTAATTTGTAACTTGTGAACTGTTTATTCCAAATATTGTTTTTATTTTGCTAATTTGCATTACCACCCTAGATACAAAAGGCTGAGAGGCAAACTCTTCATGGTTGGTCAGGGTTTTTGTTGTTGGTTTTTTTTTTTTTTTTTTTTTTACAGGGTTTGTTGATGATATCATCCAGCCTTCAACCACCCGCATGCGCATCTGCCATGACCTAGATGTGCTGGCTAGTAAAACACAGGCCAGTCCCTGGAAGAAACATGCTAATATCCCACTGTGAGTGTGAGGAGGGGCTTGGCCATGCTGGAAGACATGGCAGTATTCTCAACACAAATACTCTCAGTTTAAGTGGAGGTCTACTTTACAATGGAAATATTTCTTTTCATTTTGATTTCGCTAATGACCATCAATAAATCGTAGTACATATTTAATTTGGGGTCTTATCAGTTCATCTCTATAAACCCTTTTTTGGTGAGTTAGTAATCAACACAACCTGCAATGCCTGCTGCAGGTGAGCTGTTACTAATTGCTCAAGGTCAAATGCTCCCTTGGCTCCTTCATTCCATAGGCCCTGGAGGTGGCTCAGACAGGCAGAGCTGCAGTGACCTCTCACTGCTGAGAAGTCAGACCCCTGTGGAGTTCAAGTCTAGCCCTGGGTCCACCTCTGGAGCCTGACTCTATTTCTGCATCACAGACTCACAGAGAGAAAAATCCTGAGCTTGGATTTCAGTGCACTGGAATCCAGGCTTTGCCGATCTCAGACTAATCTGTTCTGTTCCTCCACCAGAGTCCTGAGTTGCAACTTTTACGTGCTGGCTACAGCAATACTGGGTCTCAGGTTGGTATCGGTGATCTCCAGGCTGTGGGCACAGGTGGGATAGAGAAGATGGAGCCAGCCTCCTCTTGAAGGAGAAGAGACTGTGCCCAAATTGGAAAAAGGGCAATTCTGGTGGGACATAAAAATTCTTCTCCCTGTGCATGGGGGGCTTTTCTCCCTCGGCAGAGAGAGACCTCCAGAGCCCTTTGCAGCCTAATTTTTTCTATGATTATTTGCCAGACTTGCAAGGAACCACTGCAGTAGGTGTTACTACTGATCAGCCCTGGGCCTTATGCTCACTCTGCTCATTAGAAGCTGCGTTTTAACTACAGCCCAGAAGGCAGTGAGTAACGGCTACCGTCATGTTTAGCGCTACTGCAAACAGCTGCCAAGCACATGAAGTCCTGTAATGACCTGTCTGTTGTAAGTAACCTCAGTAATTAATGGCAATATATTATAAGACAGAGAACTACCGTACCTGCACGCTGCAGCTGCTTCTGTTCACTCCCCAAGCACGTGCCTGAAGTGGAAGAAAGATAAGATGGTGACTTTCCAGATAGCATCTTTTCCCAGGTAGGTGCAGCCAGTGCCCTAGTGAGTACAGCCATGGAGTTTGGAGCCTGTACCTGGGGGGTGTGTGCAAAAAAAAAGCTAAACAAACCAAGAGGCAACAACTAAAAATCATTTGAAAACACAGTACAGAAGGAGCATTTCAAGTATGAGTCCCAGCTCCACAGGTTTTTGTAATAGCTAGAGGCAATGCATTCAGGTTATAGATACACTGTCTGTCCTGGCTGCAAACACATTTAAACTAGCTATGTGGATGTACCTGGTTGTATCTCAGCAGAAACTCTCTCTGAGCACGTGCCTGTACGTACTGCCCCAGGGAACAGAGCTGGCTGCAACAACGAGGGAAGGTAAACTGAAATGTTACTATGTTGGGGGTCATTGCCACGAAGTGAGTTCTTAGTTAATTGTGAGAAAAGGTGTAGTCAGACTCTGTAAGGACCAAGAGGACTTTTCAAAGGTAATTAGTAGCTGAGAGCATGGCTGGTGGCTGTCCCAAGTTTAGAGGCAAAAGCTGTGTTAAGTGAAGCGATATGCACATGGTTTCTTCAGCCTGCCCAGAGTCAGGAAGAGATGCTAAATGAGAAACCCAGTCGTCATTGTTAATTGTTTCCTAACCTCATTAGTTCTACAGACTTCATCCTCTCTTCTATCCCTTGCCAGCACAAGAATTTGGCTTTTATATCCTCTCAATTTCCAAGCAGTCAGTTGCTCTATCAGTACAGCGCTTTGGAAACACTGGACAGCTGCTCTGGCCACACTACTCAAGATTCTCTTGAATTCCAGTCACCTGCAGAAACAATAGATAGAAAATAAAATCCTTTCAACAGAGAGCAGCCCGTGAACTTAGAAGCATGAGAAATCACTTACAGTGTTCCACAGTGAGTCAGGAGTTGAGCATAACTTACAAGCAGTTGGAGGTTTAGCGTTCGGGCTGTGTCTCAGGAGTAGTCCTAGAGCGCAGTTCAGACCTTGAGTCCTATCCCTGTTCCTCACCTGCTGCATCTTGTTACTTTTTCTGACTCGGATGATTTTTCTTTAGGAGGTGGGACAGATGATAAATAAGTCAATTTTCTTTAGCGCTACAGAGATGGAATCATTCATGGGTTGGACAAAAATAGCACCTTTCTCTCTGAGACATGGGAGTAACAGGAGGACATTTCGTTTCAGGAATCTGTAAACCTTCCTTTAGCCCAGCTGGTTGTTAGACCTTCCAAGCCTTTACCACTTCCATTTCTTCCCACATGGTCCAGTTCCCTTTAGACGTACAGGGCAGGAGAGTGAATTTTTTTTCAAAATTTGTGACAGTTCAAACAGTTGTAAGTTTTAACAATGCAACACTCTCACCTTGTGTGATGACTTACCAGATTTACAGCAATCTCACAATAAAACCCCCGAGATCAACCAAAAATCAAAAATACACCATAGTGGAGGGGAAAAAAAAAAAAGACCAGACAGGGTTTTCCTTTGCTTGGAGGCTGAATGGGTAAGGTAGCTGTATGGAATCTGGGTGTGAAGCCTGGACCACGTGAGAACTACCTTTCAGTATTTCCTTTGGCTGCTAATAAATGGGATGACAAGATGTGATGGTCCAAACGAGCATTTAAAAGAAAGTTAGAGTGAAGAGGGTGCTCATCATACTCATGATTTTGAATAGTTTATTAAATGAAAGGTGAAGCATCAGTTTTAAATTGTACAAAAGGAAAAAAAACCTCATATTGTAAATGTACAATTTACAGAATTACTAGCAAAACCAATCAAGGAGACACTCATAATACAAAAACCTATTGACTGCAAACTGAACTGGAAACCCATTGCAGGTACCGTGATAATAAATGTTTGTTATACAGTATTCTACAATGTTAAATTAGGAATCAGTTTTCCACACAGAGGACTGTGAAGCACAAGGTTCGTCTGAGACTATGACTCAAACCAGGCAGCATTTATTATGCTACTATGCTCACAGAATTGTTGTGATGACAATTTAATGCAGCCATTCCTGCCCACCCCTATGACTTTTGGGGTGAACAGAAGAGGAAGGGAGGTAATGTTATTTTATAAAGTTCCAGCTACTTCTCAGGTTTTATACATTACCCAACCAACATCTGAGGAATGGCTGAATTACCTAGTCAAACATTTTTGGCAACCATGTCTGAGAACTGCACATGTTATAAGAAACAAACCTCAGCTGAGTGAAATGCTGGTTTGTTTTTAAAATTAGATTCTTTTCCCTCCCAGCAAGTAAGCACTAGGCATTAATGTTGTTTTGTTTTTCAATAAGCTCGTAACAGAAAAAAGCTCCATGATTATTTTGCAGTTGCTAAAAAAAACCACCTCTAGAACTGCTGTGCTCCAAGTGGGTCAATCTGCTTTGTATCTCAAATGCTAATATTAGAATGCAGAAAGGAAGATTAACATTTTGGGGCTGATTCTTAGAGATACTATTGTCAGTGCAAGTTGTGGATGGCCAGCACCTCTGGTATCAGGCCAGTTTTAACTAAGTAGCAGCTACTAGGCAGAGTCATAAAATCGAAGCATAATGAAATTCCAAATTATTGAAGACATTGAAAAATCTCTTATTACAATGAATTAGCTGAGAATGTTTTGGGGTTTTTGGTTTTTTTTTTTGCTGTTTTCAACTTTTTTGAAAAATCGTATTTTTTTCCCAAAGAATTACTCTTAATATGCACAGTTAACACTGAAAATGTAGCTGTATTCCATTGTAAGCTTAAGAACTTCACCATCTAAGCACAAATTTCTATGCAGCACATACAGTACTTCTAACTGGCAAAATTAATTTACAAAAATAGCGCAAAAGGGTATTTACGGCATGGAAAGTAGACTTTTTTTTATGGTACAGTTAAAATTGCTTTTAGTATGCTAAAGTGATTCCTTTCCCCCACCCTTGAATTATCTTTTTTTAATAGGAAAGTTGCTGTTTATGTACCTTGGGTTGGCAGGGCTTGAAGTAGGTAGTAAAAACAGCAAAGTGATTACTTGAGAACCATTTGTGTGTTTTACTGAGAATACTTTATTTGCTGGTATAAGTTGCTAAAAATGCACAGAGCAAGTACCAATAGAAAATTTACTGTTTTTGTGTCCCCATGTGCTATATAAAATGAATGTTACACAGCATCTGTTGGAAAAGTGGCTTCATGGACATCTCTTACTTTATGTCCCATTATAAATAAAAATAAATCTTCTCAAGAGTATAAAATCTGGGTTTATCATATCAGAATCTGAAATTTTTTGGCAGAGATGCACGTCATTAGAATTCTAACCTCTTCTATAAGAGTGTTCTTCTCAATGCCTATGAGAGGATATAAGCGTACCATAATGTTAATCAAATCCAGTGTGTTCAAAAACACTTTTCTGTAGCCAGAATGACCTGCTTATAGCATCATTGCTAGTCAATGGCTGATAGGCATAGGTTTAATAAAAATGGCTAGCTTTTAAAACATAAAAAGGCAAATGTTAAAACTGTTTTAAATTGTACAGCAGAAAAATAAAGTTAAAAAGTTCTGTTTTCACTCAATGTTGTTTTCAGAAAACATATGTAGAACAGTGTTTATTTCGACAGCTGTCTTAACAATTTAAAACTTCCTCCTCATCCAGAAAAAAAAAATCTGTATTAGGACAGTCAAGAACAGGGATACAAATGATTTTTTAGGTCAGCCCTTCTGAGGTGACTGGATTGGCCAACATTCCTTTGTGTCATTAAGAAGTTCCTCTTCTTTCTGTCACTACAAAAAGGGATTGACCTCAATCATTTGGTTAAAAATCAAACCGTATCACATCAAAAATGTGGTTTTCATACAAGCTATCACAGTATATAGGCCTCTAGCTCTAAACAATAGAGTTCCAAATTTGTAAAATGTCTTCACCAGACTTCAGAACATAGGCATTCCAAATCCCTAGAAAAATGATTTAAAAGACAGTAATTAATTGGATGTAATGATAATCAAAAAGAACCTCAGATAAACAGCAAACAATACTAGTAAAGCCTTACTGAATCATCCTCAATGATAGCTGCGGAGTCAAAGAAGTCTGGCCTCAGTTCAGCCCGTTCTCGCCGGTTTCTTGAAGGCGGCTGAAAAGAGGAGTCAGCCATTTTAGAACATCACATCAGTTACCTGGGTAGAAAGGATTTGTGCGGCTCTAACGGGTACTAACATGGTTACCTGTTCCTTTACAAAGCAGCTTTGCATGGATTTTCGTAAAAGCTCTGATACAAATGTAGGCTCTGACATAGGAGAATACTTCTTAAATTCATGTTTTATTTAAGGAATGGGGTAAAAGCTGATGGATTTTGAAGTAATTTTAAGTCTGTGCTCATAGCTAAGGACTTGCTTAAGGCTTTTGCTGACTTAACGATGTTCTTGTATTAGGACTATAGGCCAGACTGCAAAAAACCTCTCTTTTAACTGTCTTTATGCTTTTAAGTTTATGGTGAAACTTCAGCTCTGACATGGACAAAAAATGGATTTAGAAAAAAAACATACTTAAGATTTCATAATATTTCTGAGGATTAAACCCTTTGTGTGGTCCTTCCCTAGGAACATACGAGTAAATGTAAGCTTCGTTAGCTTGATCAATTCCTTCATTTCCTTGCCTTGGACTACCAGTAGAAGAGAGATTTTACTTACTTGATAATCATTTGAATGCTAGTAATAACCTCAGTATTCAGCAGCAGCAACTGAATTACTGCCTAAATTTTCTTTCCAAGACATTATAGCCCAGTCCTAAAGTAACCTATGCCTTATTGTTTGGATATGAAAGGAGAAATAGGAAAGCATAAAATCAGTGAAGTGTATAATGCAAACTGATCCTTTTTCCCATTTTACAAGGAAAGTATTCATTCCAAACGGAGAGGCTAGTAAGGTTATAACCTCTACAAAGGAAATCCTGCCTGTAGTCAGTACATTACCGTGAAAGGACCTGAGGTTGTCATCTGATGGTATGACCTGTTTGGGAGCAATTCCAGTATAAAGTATCACCTCGTGCCCACCCACTACTGCCAGCTCTCCCTTCTGCTGTGCCAGCACAACTCTGCCTATGGCTGTAAACTAACCAGACATTGATTAAGGATCCCCTATCCACCCCGCCTCCCAGAAATCTGTCAGACGAGGGAACAGAAGAAGAGAAACAACTTGGTGATATCAGTTTGACCACAGTGCGGCATAAAGAGCCGTGTCAGCAAAAGAGCTAGTGATGGCTGTGACAATGGCATAGGGAAGGCAACAACACCTAGAATACCTTTAGATGATACTGCTTCCAAACTCTTCATAATGCCAACTAACAACTGGCATCAAACATTGTTACTGGATTTTAGAGAGTCCATTTGTACTTCCTGAGGCTGAGCAGGCAGCTTCGTGTAATAATCAGATGGGGTGAGCGGGTCTCACCTCTGTCCCCCACCAGCACTCCTGCCCTTAGCTGACTGCATGGTGAGTCAGACCAGCTACTTCTTCAGCGCTCGTCTAAGAGGGCTGCAGGGATATACCCCATACGTTATAAATCGTAACCCGATTCGCACAGGTTGACAGGTCCCAGGTGCATGATGGTGCTACAGGCACTTGCCACTGCTCAAGCCCAGAATATTAGAGAGGAAGACTGCTAAGCCACGCTCCTTGTCTTTCTATGAAAAAAATCAATTGGGCCTGAGTCTGCAGTTGTAGATTCTAGGGAGTGTTCGGATCATTTACGCTCTTTAATGTTCAGACAACAGGACATCAGGCTGAAAATTTTGGAAATTTTTGTTTGCGCTACTAAAATTCCTTTTAAATTATCTTTCATCCATGTTGAATTTACTATTAGTAAGATTTACTGACCAGATCAATGACCATTGTGTCCTCAAATTCTTCATTCATATCCTCTAGCTGACCTCGTGAGGACATCATTACATCTTCAAAGATGGGCTCAGCGTCATCTTCCATTAGACCTCGTCTGATTAATAAAGAGAAAGAAAGAGTCATTTCCAGGCATTTAAATTTCCCAACCATGATCTTTGTCATTAAAAAGAATGCACAAATCCTATCCCTTAATGCCTTCACATAAAACCTTACGCTGAGAATAAAGCCAACATGCTTTCTGTAATATTAACTGGAAGAAAATCTTACGTAAAAACAAACCTAGCACTTGCAGAGGCTAAAGCAGGAAGTAATATCATTATAAACAGTAATTAAATTTGTCCCTAACAAGAAAAGGGCAATAACCTCACTGTGTTTGCTTGCCCTTTTCCAAAAAGGAGTTACACTGTTTGCCAGGATCACTGGTAAATCCCTGGGAATCCAGCAGTGAACCCAAGACCAGTTTCTAAACTGTAAGGACTTGATCTCGCTAGAGACTCTGGCCCCCATCCTGAAAGGTGTGCTGAAAGATTTGGTTGGATCGGCACCAGAGCACATAGCACCTTGTTCAAGAGAACACTTCAGCATTCACCCACCACGTGTGTTCCCTCCGTTAGCGGCTCAGTGGGATGCCTTGGCAAAAGATGATGTGGATGAAAGAAGCATAAACAAGTTTCACAGGAAGACTGGACAACAACTTGGAAGAGTTCATGGGGAATTACTTAACAGAGAAATCACGGAAACCCCCTGAAATGGAAACAGTTAAAGGCTGGGAGAGAATAACAGGGAATTGTGCCATGTCTGTCTGCCCTGTTCACTAGGCACCTGCTCATGGCCACGGTTAGAGGCACAACGCTGGGCTAGAGGACTACATGGCCCTGTGTCCATTCCAACATTACAAAGCTGTTACTTTGCCTTCATTAACAAGAGTTAAAATGTCACAGAAATTACTGGCAACAACCCAGAAAAGGTAACATTTAAAATGCGGCATTTTCATCATGGTTCTGATCTGGAGATGAGGATGCTCTGAACACTTACACTGCATGCCTTACACCAGTTCTCCCTTTCATGTAGTTCATTCCTGTCCTGTCCTTTCGATTTAAATCTTCTAGCTTCTGTTGGCCCAACCAAGATATCTGCATCTGGGGACTAACAAACATAAAGCAGCATTATGACCGAGAACACTAACAATTTTGAGTTGTCTATTTTTAGACAATATCTATCTCCTCAAGTTTTGTGTCTGGCCATGCTTCAGATTAAGATATTTAAATCACATCCATTGTACAAGTCTTCTGGATTCCCTTCCACAACTTGTCTCCTCTCACTGTATGTGCACAAAAAAAATCCATTAATTGTTGTAATAAAAACAGCTACATAAAATGTTTTACTCATTCATTAGTGTGACATGCATCTGAAGTGGGAGCACTTCTAGAATTCATTTTATTAAATCCTGCTTCACTGTCTCACATCAGGCAAAATATGAGCAAGAATAGATCCAAATTAATAACTGACGCACATTTTAAAACAAAAATGTCACACAACATGAAAAACAAATTGCTTTTAAATATATACCCTGATCAACTTAAGCATCCAGTAACTTACCCACATGTAAATACCTAAAGGCTGTACTTTTAATACCACCTAAATCCAGTAGTAGACAGCAATGCATTTGATATGATTTGTGTATTGCAGCACAAGGAAATAGTAGTAAACTAAGTGCAGCTCTTCAGAAGCAATACCCGTTTTTATTTTATTATGTAGTCTTGTACCCTAACAAGCTTGACATAATAAACTGGGATAACGCATGTGAAAACAACCTAGAACAAAATACTCTTCTGGACATGACTAACACCATTAGTTCAGCAACTGACTGCTCTGTATTTATTTTATGTTTCAGCTCTCCTAAGCTGATCTGTAGGAAATGCGCGTGGCAGCTAACTCCAGCCTGAAAGGAAAGGATTCTCCACTATCAGTTCACACTTAGAACTTCTGTGTGGAATCAACTCTCTGAAAGTAACAGAGAGGAGAGCGATGCTATCTGCCTTTGCTCAACAGTTCTCTGCTCGCAGCATTCATCTGAGAGAGGAGAAACAGAGGTTCAAGCCCAGGGTGAAGAGCCTGGTTCGACTTCCCCCCCAGAGAAGCGGAAGGTTCTCCCACAGCTTAAGGCAGTGCCTGCTCATCAGGCGCAGGAGTAAAACGCAGTGACTGGAAGCTGTCCCACTCTCCATAGCTAATTAAATGTTCACAGAGAGAGATTTAGCTTAGTGATAGGTGAGATCAGAGAGGGTCAGGAAGAAAGTTCTGCTTCAGCAATTTTCTTTGTTTTGTTTTTTACTGCAGAGTAGAAAAAATTTAAGGAGAAACTGAGAGCCACATCTTCCTTGTAATCTAGAAGGTATGTCAACATCTGGGGAGGCAGGAGATTGGGAGGCGAATCCTTGACCTCAGAAAGGCAAGTAAGAGACATCAACCCAGACCTCACATACCGTGGGATTAAGGTGAAAAGATACTCTGGGACTGACGCGAACAGGGGCTTTTCCTCAGCTGGGCTTTCCTTGTGGCCAGCTGGGATTACCTGCCAGTCTGAACTGCGTAGGTGAGGAAACACGATGGACAAAATGGAAGAAGACCAAGAGGCATAATCTGGCTATTTTATACTATACTGCATTGGTAAAAACCTGATTCATCTGGCCAGCATAATTTTTAATACAGAGAAATCAGATCAATAAATTTGGCTATAAAAGTTATAAAATAGTCTCCAAACCAGATATTGTTATTCTGTATCTTCAAATTAATAGAAATATCACATAATTGCATTCTCTGCAGACCTCTCTATTCTTAAATAAACTGACAGATAATAACCAACATTTTTTCCCCTCTAAATGGAGATGATAAAATGGGAGTTGAGTGACAAAAAGTATATATATAATTTAGGGCAAAATAAAATTGCCTGCAGGCAATTACCCCAGAAACAGGAATGACTAGCTCAGCAGCTAGAATTGGACTGAAGAGTTAATTTACAAGTAATCAGTTAGGATGTCTGGAGAACCTTATCTGTACATAGGGCAGAGGGAAAGAAAAGAGAACATCTAACAGACCTTTAGAGAAACAGTTCAATCCAACCTCGGGCCGCAAACACTAGGAAGATTTAACCATAATCGCATGGTTATGCTATGAGATAATTTTAACGTAAGGAATTTCTACCATGATTTCATGACAACATATTTTTCCTGGGAGCTGAAAACAATCGAAGTATTGCTGAGCTATAGCCAAGCTATAGCCAAGACATTTCCAGTTGGTTTTGCAAATAAATGCTGCATTTATGGAGCCACAGACTATCTGTGTAAATAATATGCAACTCCTTTGCCTGGCTCACTGTATTTGAAACCAAAATTCCAACACTTACTTGTGTAAAAAATCTTGTTCAGATCCCTGCTCTGACTCGTGCTCCTGGATCTGCTCTCCCATTTGTCTAGTGTTCTCTCTCAAGACAGTTGAGGTGAGCTGTGGTGCTTGCAGTGTCCCTGGAGTATGTATGTTTTCATTCCTGTTCAGCCATGAGCCTTCTAGACTCTCATCTAGAAAAAGAACATTTAAAATTACTGACACAGTTCTGATACTATACAGTGCAGTATTACTGCCTTCAGGATTCGTTCAGCCAACTCACTGAACGAATATCTTGCATTAGTAATGACAGCCTTCCATCTACTGACACACTTAGATGCAGTTAATTTTAGTTGCAGCACCTTCTCCAAATTTGATTTTCAACAGTTTAGTGTCTTTTAAAAGAAGTGTGCCTTTAAGAGATCAACTGGATAAATACTCAAAATGATAAAATTTTCAGCTCTAATTTTATTTTGTGTTCTTTTAAGGAAGGATTACTACCAGCTACTCCCAGCAATAACAACAATTTAAAGTAGAAATCTTTAACAAACAAACAGAAAAACCCCATTGCAAACAAATATCGTATTGCAGCAGGATCTAAATTGTCATGTCTTGCACACATACAACAAAGATAATTCCCAATTACTGAGTTTACAATCTAAATAGAAGACTGTTAATCTCATATGCATACAGCAGCCAAGATACAGTTAAACACTAAGATGAGGGTGGAGGATGAAACCCAAAACCTGGTCAGCATAGATCTTCAGAATCTTCAGTAAGAACCATTTCAGTGGAGTACAGAGGGGGCATTTTAAATAAGAGAAGCAGTCTGGCTGGTGTGAACTCGAAATAGTGATTTCAGACAGTGTATTTAGAGTTGAGAGAGATGGGAGGAATGGAGATGGGAAGGTGATTGAAGGTGTAAGTGGGATGTCGTGCTCATATTGTGAAGGGAGCAAACCAGAGAGGAAGGAAGGGGGGGGACTTGAGGAGAATGTGATAGAGCAGACAAGTGTGTAGGCAAGAGACTTAGAAAAAAAATGGAAGTTGCTGGAGCAAGTGAAAGACGGGAGATGACAAGAGAGGAGAAGACAAGATCACAGGTTTACTAACAGCAAGAAATCTGTGGTGAGAAAGTAGATGGCGATCTCAATGGATCTTTTCATTTTTCCTACGCCTTTTATTACCCTTTGGGCATAAATGTTGTCTAAAAAGTTGCCTATTTATTCTTGAATTTACCTTTGAACCTTTTATAATGTTAGAGATTTTTTTTTTAAAAATCCTATTTATGTTTGATTTCCTTAAGGCATTATGAAATGTCACAGAGCAGATTTACTTTCAGTAGCAACAGGGAATGTTCTCCAACTCGGACAGTTGAACCCAATATACACTGGATTTAGGGGAGAAAGGAACCACAGGGGGCTAGTTACGGTTCTTTGATGGAAGGATTGTTTCTGCAGTAACCACGCCCTTGATTTACTTCCTTTAGAATGGAATTTAAAGAAAAAAAAAATCTTAGCAGGATTTAAAGAGAGGTCCACATTTGTAACTGTACTGCCAGATTAAGATTAAAGCTAGGACTTTTGGAAGAGTTATAAAAATATGTAAAGATGAAAAAACAACAAAGACCTGTGTACATACTACGTATAGACCATCAGTTAACTTGTAGGCAACAAGCTGTTTGTTAAGGCTGGTTCTTCATAGCTCAAGTTATACAGATGAGTGAACAGTAAGTTCTTATTTCTGAGGATTAGATCTCTGATTATTTCATAAGCTCATTATTGGTACGTATAAAATAAGACAGAAATCTATGTCTTCCTGTGAAAAACACAGACAACATGGCTCCAGGTTTTCTTGGCTTTCCTTTTTCCAAGATTCAAAAGAAAGTATACTTAGGGCATAATGCAATCAGTAATGCCTACTGCCTGCTGCATCCAAAAATTAAGTATGTGGTGTCCTTCAAACTTTTTATATTATATGCAAACTGTTTATATTATTGTGGGTTTTTTTTTAACGTATGATATCAAATGTCCTGTATCAATACATGTCTAAACCAAGACTTTTGGTGCTTGCATTGCATATCCTTCTATGTATGGAAAGGCCATAGAGCTTGTGTTGCTGCTGTCATTAGAGAGCACTTGCTGGTAACTTTTCAGTTCTATCATCTACCAGGCAGTTAAATTCTACAATGAAAGCATCTATCAAGGAAAAGACAGTTATGGTGTTATGGGCTAAACCAAACACTGATGAGCTATACATCCTTCCTGGACCTATATACTGAGGTTGTGTAGCAAAGCTTTCATGAGTAACGAAGGTCTGCGTAATGATCTATGAATTTAAGGTCTATTAGGTTTCACACTGAAGAAAGGAGAGTGGAATCACTTCCTAACCAGTGTTCTTCAAAATGTGATGTCCTTGAATGTTACACTGTGATCCAGAGCTGTATTTGTAGTATTCAGAGGACATGCCCATACCCCACCCACAAGAGCACCCATGAGAGGCAGCGTTCATCAGTCCTTTTTCTGGCCACAGATTACTAACGGGGGAATTTCGGGTTACTGTAGTGAACAGTGACATTAGACCACTCTGCCTAAGGTAAGATAAATCCTGGCTGTCTTCTGATGACACGGTGTTGGTAGAATGTAAACAGACCCTCATACCCTCTGTAGATGTCTGAATCCTGTCAGACTCATGGCTCTACAGCTAAATGATCTCCCGGTGGAAACTGCTGCACATTCAGATCTTTCAGGAACTGAACAAATAGTTTAGTACATCATTTTTAAGTCAGTGATGTTTGTGGAAAATTCAGGACCACAGCTGTTGCAAAGGAAGGGGATATTCAAAATGTAAAGTGTTACAGGTCAATTCTCCCTCCTACTGATCACTGAAAGAGGAGGACACAAAAACATGAGGCAAACAATGCCATAAACACTCTGTTTTAAGACCGAGACTTGCCTTACAGGGAAGCAAAGACATTACTACACTTCCCAGGAAAAAAACCCAAAAGGATATTGGTAGAGTACAATAAAATAGAATGAAAATACTAACAAGAGGAAAGAAAAAAACCTCAGCAGTTGAATTCTGTGAAAAACATGGCATCCTGAAGGAAGCAAAACAGTGTCTGAAGAAAGGAAGCAGTATTTTATCTACCTAAACTCTAGGTTGGCTATAAGAAACTGAAGGACTTGGTGCACGTACTGCTCAACATAAGCTGTAGTGGAGAATGGACCTGATTGTAGAAGTGCATATGGACAAACTTTTGAAGAATATTTTGGGAAATTGCTGTATATTCAGGCAAACTGGCATTAGATTCCTCACTGAGGAGTTACTGTCGTAGATACTGACCTTGGAAAAATCTCTGAAGTTTAAAGATCCCACTTACACCTACTCTGTAGTGAAACAGTAAATTTATATTCACAAAAGTACACACTACATTACACAGATTAACCAGGAACAGATGGAATCTTGTAAGAAATTGGCTATCATAGCCAAATTCCTGATAAACATGCCTGAAGTCACAGAAAGAGTAAATACAGACACTGGATATCAATACCATTTTAAACAAAAAAAGGTGTCTTTTCAGTGTTCTCCAGTGGCCCTGCAAAAATACAGATCTGTCTCAGAATTTCTGCCTTGGGTTTGCTCTAACACCCTGTTAATTAACAGCGGCTCCAGACTGAAGCATAGGCAGAAAACCAGAAGTCCATGACTGAGAAAGGTGTAGAGCAGATAACTCCATAAACACCTCCTGTTTCCAATTTCAGTAACAGCTTTTAATAGTTCGGAATCTGCGAATCTCAGTGAAGTCAGACAAGAACAGGGACTCATGATGGTATTTCTCATAAAGAAGTGTTCAAGCTTGATAGGAATTTGCAGAACAGATGTCTTGTTTTTACTACATACAGAATATATCATATATTTCAGCATTAATTGATAAACCATAAGGGCTCCTAAGAAGGAAGGCTGTAATGTATGTACAAAATGAGAAACGTTTCTACCAGGCAACCTAAAACCATACAAACCTTCTACTCTCTTTTTGTGGAGCGGTGGTCGTCCTTTCTTATTCCTCACTGAAGAGGCTTTGCTGCTGCTGCTTCCACTGTTAACGGACATTCTGTCATCTTCGCCACCCGTAACTAGTGAGTTTCTGTAGGAAATGAGTGGAAGCCATACATCTTCTCTTCTTTCCATCATCTGTTCTGTCAGAAACTTCTCTAAGTAGGAGTGACTGAAAAGACAAGACAGTGAGTACGGAGGTGCAGCACATTGTTTCCTCTAATTAATCTGCAAGCCCTCTTCACATTGTTGAGAGCTTAACACAAATCCCACGTGGTGTTTCCTTATTTTAATTTAATAACACGAGCTGATAGGGCATTGTATCTCTGACTGATTAAGCATACATGTCATTCCCTCAAAACAAAGTAACATAGTTATTCATGCACAGGTTACTCACAGATAAACAATACAAAACATTCTCTCCCCAACATCTTCCTCCCACATTTGTCTGCGATCATTCACAGCACACCCTACTTGAATTCCTTTTCTGTTTTGCATAGCAAGGAAGCCACTTCTACGTATTGCTACTGTGTCAACAGACAGACTGAATTAGAACCACTACTGTGAGGGTGTAGGATATCCTTTTGCATCTTGGAACAAGAAAAATGGTTTCCTCAAATGCAAGCAGTTATTTTTCAATAAAAAAATGGAAGCTCTGTTCTACTGCCATGGAGAAGTCCAATGCACACTTGTTAACTTACGGGAGGAACCAAACAACCTCCCTCCTGTATATGCTCTGGAGGGCATTTGAGTTGTTTTCTTCTTCCATCGATTATTTAATTATGGTATTAGAAGTAGTCCTTAAAATGAATATGCAGATCCACACAAAAGTGATTCTAATGAATTTCAAGCTGCAGAACCAAGCATTCAGGATTTAGGCAAGAGACCTCAGGATTTTTCAACATTACCTCCACCCTTCCTGCAAATACATTGGGGTGCACCCTTCGATCATGATTTCATTTAATACCACATTGCCAGGTTGTCATCGGTGGGAGCCAAACCCAAAAATTCTGCATGGAAATGAACTCTCAATCTCCCTTTTCCTCTGTTAGCTCATGGCAGGCGCAAACTTCTTATGCAGCCTAGGTATCAGAATAGGACAAGGAGCCACGCTGTATACGCTTGGGTAACAATCACATCCAATTTTTAATGGGATTTTGTTTTGATCCAGTGAATAGAATGACCTTGCTCAAGAAACAGTAGTTTTTCTGTGTACTGTTTTATTCAATATTGTGACTGCTTCTTCCTTCCCCTTTTCATGTGTATACTGAATAACATCCAAATCTTGCACCGAATGGGAAATTCTTGGCTTATTCTCTCTCTCTTTTACAGTACCAAACAGTACAACACTTGAGTGCTTCATGACTTCAGATCTGCGGAATAGTCTTGGAAAGTACGAACTTTTCCTGCATCCAATTTATATTTATAAAACTAGAGTGCACAGGATATGCCCAAATTGTGAAGAAGGAAAAACTACACCGCTTGGGGGTTCTTTACTGATTAGATGCCAAACTTCAGACAACTTCTGCTCAGCATTTTAGAGGAGCTTCATACTGGCAGTTCTTGCCAGCTTCAACGAGGATAGAAACTCTGAATTTCTCGAAGTAAGAACACCACGCTGAGGCTGCGTCTCATCTGACTTCAAACACCCAATAGTCAGTTGTCTAGTCTAAGCTAACACTCTCTATTTGAGAGAAATAAATGGAAATAAATGCCTCCAGAGGGCAATTCACCTCTATACTGTGTCAGATGAATTCCTCAGGATTTCCCTGCCTGTATCTGCCTTGTGTGTTTGTAATTGCGCTAGTATAAATCTTTTTCTGCTAAGTGTAAGAGCCTGGCACCTTAAACGTATAGTTTATATTAAATCCATAGATTTGAGAAAATCCATAAATGGCTATCACTGACTCTGGAGGTTACTCATAAAACAAGATGCTGAATAAATAAATAGGATAGGAAAACTAAATTAAACCAATGTTGCTGCCCCATTCCCAAACTGGAAACATCTCCCTTTTCTCCTCCAAATAAAAAAGCCAGCAGTAAAGCAGAAAGGAAATAGGAGCCCTGCAAAAGAGCAGTGCTTGCTGAACTGTGCCAGGAATGGTGTTTTGCACCAAGGGCAGGTGACATACGCAGACATACAAAGTAGATAATTCATTTTGGGGGGTTGGGAAGCCAAGCTGGAGGACTTCTGGCAGAGAGGCAGATATGTGCTCATGAGACTTTCAGGGTTATTCTAGAACACTTTTGCCTCCAGACCAACAGCCCATCGCTGAGTTTAGGGACAGTCACTTGGCAGGAGGAGATCAAGCCAGGAAGGGAGGTAAATGATCCTGCACACAGGACTTCTCCACCAGATGGTGGTCACGTACCTTCCTGTTGACAGGCAACCCCTTTGGAGGGAGGGGGAGAGGTCCCTGTGGATTGGAGGAGTCATGCTACAGCGAAGGGCAAATCAACTATCCAGAGTAGAGCCGAGCATGTAATGTCAGCGAAGCACTACGGGCAATGCAGCCATTGCCTGATGGGCGCAAAGACGACAGATCTCTCAAGAGAAGGAATGTAGATATCTCCAAAAGAAATCTTTACATATAAGCAAGTTATCCTGACTCTTTTCATAGTCACCACAGCCAATGGAATCTAGGGCATGTCTGAACTCGTCTTAAAGCAGTAATTTAGCACAGATCAGATAAATCATGCCCTAAAGGACCGATGTCTTTTCACTGATCTTCAAATTCATCTAAAGTAAACAGCTCAGATACAGATAACTACAATAAAGACAGATAAAATCAGGAGAAATGGATTCCACCACAGCATTCTTTACAGTCCTGCGCAAGAAGCCAGTGGTTGTGTACGTGGGCACCAATGAGTGGGAGAACCCTCGAGAAAAAATTTTAATTGGCAACACAGAAGGCGAAGGAACAAGATCTCTTGAAGTACTGAACCTCATGCAAAGGATCAGGTCAAATTAAGCTGTCACGTAAACTGTACAGAATGATGTAGCTTTAAATTTTAGACACTGGAGAAACTTGTGGAAGGGATGATGACTGTACAGGAAGGGTAAGCTTCACTACATTAAGGAGGCATCAGGCTAATGGCACTTAAACTAACAGATGCAGGAGAGCCTACGGTTCAGCTAGGAAGACAGTCATAAAATCCTATTATCCTTAAGTCCTGTCCTGAAGAACAGGACAGAGATTGACAAGATTCAAGGATGTAACAATGAAGAGCAGTTTCAAAAATTGAGTGCCAAGCTAGCCCAACCGGATCATCTAATTCTCAAGCTCATTTAACTATTTCTCCTACTGTATTTGCTGAATTGACAAATTATTGATACAATAAAAAAATTAAATTGGTTCAAGCGTGTATATGTTAAAAATCATAGAAAGTTAACCAAGATGCATTTCTTATAACACAGATAAAGCTATAATATGCATAGTTGTTAGCCCTAATAGAAAAGTCCTTTAAAACAAATGTCTTCATAGAAAAACTACAGAAAAGTTTGGCAGAAAGAGTCAGTTGAGGTAGTTATAGTAGAGATATATGACATACTCATTCTGGTCAGAAAACGGACTGGAAAGACATCTCTAACTATAAATCAGAAGATCTGGCAATTGCATTTTTTAAATGGTCATAAAGTTATTCAAAGAATTCAGTTCTACACTGGGCACGTAGTGCTTGGCTGATTTTTGACTGCAGTCCTCTTCCTTTTTCCCTTACTACTTCTGCGCTGTGGCCAAATCCAGGATATTTGCTACATAACGTATTAGAAATGTGGAGCGTTATCTCCGCAGTGATGCTGACATGTCTTTACTATGAACTTGCTCTTAATAACGCAGTTTTCTCTTTGCCAATTCCGTTGATATCCGCAGCCCCTCTTGACAGTCTGTTCAAATGTTGCTCATAAAACAGTATCTCTTGCTCTTTAAACAGATCTTATCAACAATACCTCTGTTTTATTTTATTTCCAGTATTTAATCTGCAGTAATTACCCACCATATCAAATTCAGGCTGCTTGTTTTAGCCTGCCAAGTCTCTACCACCCTGCTCTGTCCTAACCAACAACAGTGTCCTCTCTCAGCCTCTTTCTCTATCCTATTGTGCCAGTAATGGAAGCTTTGGCAAACCTTTATTTCCCAGTTTAACTCAATACATTAAAATAAACAACAAATATATGTTTACATTTTATGTAAATATCTAACAGAAACAGATGTTACTGCAGCATTTACAGGCCTGTAAATTTCCTGCACTTGCTAACATTTCCTTTCTTTTTTCTTCTGGCCTGAAAAAAAGATTTTTATTTTCAGTGCCCTATGGGAAATTTTAAGGAACATTGTTTTGTGAGGTCTCAAGCTCACTTCATCAGTGGATCTGATTGTCCTTTTCTCATTTATTTTTATTACTTTAAAATATAAAACAATGAATAACTATGTATGTGAAGTGTCTCACTGGGACGTCCTATAGCCCCCATTAGATTCTGAAAACCTCAAAGCAGAGCTTAAACACACCCTACAGTGATTAACAGAGCCCAGCAAAACCCACAAAAAAGAAAATGGAGCATTACTTACACAGTCTTTTTGTCCTGTCGCAAGAGTTTAGAAGAAAATTCACTAAGCACTTCAAGGAAAGCAAGGTTAGGAGGTGGATAGTCTTGTCCTTTTTGATTCTGATATTTGAAGGCAAACTCTATGCCATCTCTGCAGTAAAGAAATACCAAAATTTTCAGACATTTGTAACAAAATTTAAAAAATGTTGCCCAAAATCTGAACTGTGATTAAATTCTTGGTATCTTTATATCTCATCATAATTTTTTTTCCCTAACTAGCAAACAGCTGCTTTTGGACAAAGGGGAATCAAATTTGTGAGGATTCAATCTCAAAGACAACATATTGCCAGACACATGGTAAGAAGGAATTTACCACAATCTAAGAAACTTGGCGCGAGCTGAAAGCTACCGCCTTAGCAGGAATAGCCAGTTGGCTCTTTCTTGTTTCTGCATGAAGCGGAAGCTTGCAATAAGAATAATATGTAAGATATAATAAGATACAGGCTTTTGCATCAACAGTCTGAGAAGAGAATTTACTTACCAGTGCATGGATACATGCATCTCTGCCTTATCTTTGCTTTATCATTTGAGACTAAAGAAAATGATTTACTTTCACATTATCCAATGCATGTCTTGACTTCTCTTTTGCTTGGCACAGGAAAGTGTCTGGTAGCATTTTGATCGTGCTTTGCTAATCTTAGTCTTAATGACTTAGTCTCTGAGAGAGCATTTAATATCTTAACCTTTTTATGCCATGGGAAAGTCATAATTTAAATTCAGCAGCACCTTTCTACACTTTCCTACGCAGCAGTTACATAAAAAGCTTCAATCCACTTCAAAAAAAAAAGATGATTTCCAAAATATTTTTGGAATATCTTTTTATAAAAGCCCTTGGTGCCTACAGATTCCACAGTGGTGTGGTACGAAGAACTATCTACAGTTGTTAGATACAGTCCACGCAAATATGTATAATACCAGTGGCTTTACCTGAGATAGATAAAACATGGCCATTCCAATAAATTCCAACAAATAATTAGGTAGCAGCTAGTCTTTCTTCTTTCTTACATACATACATGTAGACCACCCCACCATTTTTCTACATAAACTAGAAAAAAATATATCATTATTCCAGGACCTGTTAAGATTACGTGCCTTTAGAAAAGATATGCTGAGCAAAAGTTTTAATCTGAAGTAATATAAAAATCTAGTTTATTTACCACCACTCACTTGTGTAGTGTGGCCACAGCCTCTCTTGTCTTGATCTGATCCAAGCCAAAAGTGAGGGCGAACCGACGGGCCAGTTCCTTAATTCCACTAACATGGGCAGATGTCCTGTCCAAATTGGGACCTTGCTCCTGAACAAGCTCATTAAACAGCTAAAGAAAGAATTCAGCTGTTAAAATCTGTGAGCTAGAAAACACTTCTATTGAGAAAGACTTTTGTTCTTAAGCAGTTATGGCTAGGAGTGGACATTACAATGACTTTTTTCACAGAGATGTAACAGAGTTCTCTTATATTCAACTTCTAATCCACTTCAGTTCCCAGACTTTCTTCTGTGTAACTGCTGTTTGCCAGTTGTCCCCCATCTTGTACTTGTGCAGACGATAACTCTTAAACAGAATTTTGCACTTACCTTCATTGAATTGCATCTATTATTCTCCCAACTCATCAGGATGGTTCTGCATTCTTATGCTGTTTTCTAAAATACCTACATCACCCATCAGATCAACATCATCTTTGAATTTAGGAAGCAAAATTGCTATTCCATCATTTAAGACTTAATGAATATTTGAACAGCATTACTGGGTAAACGCCTTCAAAGCCTGCTTGATAATGCCCTTTCAGTACAATAATGAACTACTCAGTAGTTTTCCAATCAGTTCTGTATCTTCTTCTGGTATTGCCATTTAGACCACATTTTTCTAACTTGCTAATGAGAATATCAAGGGAGACAGTGTCAGTGACAATATTAAATCAAGTTGCATTAAATCTACTGTCTCTCTGATATCCACAAGCTCTGTTACCATATAATTAATGAAAGCAGCTCAATCTGACATGATTTCTCCTTGACAAATTCATACTGGCTGTTACCTATCACTTAAGCACTTGCAAATAGCTTGCCTAATTTTTTTTTTTTTCATGAAATGATATTAGGCTGACTGATCTATAGCACCTGGCTTCTTCCTCTCTCCAAGTTTTAAAGACAGGAGCTACTTTGACACTCGCTGATTCTTCTGGAGGTACATCTGTTTTTCTCAAGTTTTCACAGATATCTCTCAGCTTCCAGATTGCCACAGGAAATCCCTTAGTGCTCTGGAATGAATTTTGGGAGGCCCAGCTGATTTGAAAACATTTAATTTATAGAGGTAATTTCTCTATGTAATGGATATAGCTGGTAGTTCAAGGGCCTAGATGGTGTTTAGTGAAGCACACACTTCGTGCTGTTGGCAGAACAAGGATGGATTTCATCGTCAAGCCAGTAATTTATGGCTGATACAAAGCAAATTTTTCAGAGAAAAAAACATGTTTAACAATATTGGAAGACTTAAACTAATTAGCTTGAAGTTTGAAAAAATCAATCAGTATTTAGACAAAATGTAAAGAAGATGCATTACTTCAGCTAATTATAAGAAGAAAAAGTCATCCTAATTCTTCTTGTTCACTAGGTACCAGTAAACAAATGTTATGAATCAGCTTGGACCAAGTTGCCTTCAAAGCTCTTCTCTCCCTTTCTTCCATTTTAATCTGACCAAAACTTTGCCAGTGTGGGCTTAAGGAGCCAGAGATTACAGAGACAAATGAACGGTGACAGCCTGAACTGAGGAGCATTCCGTCTCTTAACAGAACTGTAGTATTTTCCCTTCATCGTAAAGTGCACCAGAGAAAATCCTGTCCAGTATTTTTTGCAGTGAGGCATTTCTAACAAAAATCAATATTCTTACCTGTTGCAAACTGAGAATGAGTGTCTTTGCACACTGGATTTTATCAATTTGCCTTGTTTTGCTCAGGGTTTCCTTAATGATATCTCCATAGTCATTGTAGTACTAGGAAAAAACGTGGAAAAAACCCTCTTTAAATCTTTAAATTGAACCTCTTATACAATTTCTTACAGTTTTCCTGATAGAAAGACTAGTTGTAATTCTTGTTGTGAAAAGGCAGCAGTTGCCAAAAAACCTAGTCTCAAATCCAGACTTTTTGTGTGAGTGGGAGGCAATGGTTCAATATCAAAATTTAAACTGATTGGTAGCCTGCACCCAGTGATGAGATAAGTAACTTCTGTTATTATCTTTTGTAACAAGTATGTTGAAAAACAAACAAAAGAGTATTTCTTACCCCAAACTAAATATTTGATGAAAGTGACCCATGGCTGCAAATTCTTAGAAACAACATTACATTGAACCAACACACCCTTCAACAAGTAGGTGTGAACAGGCACTAGCACACAGGTGTGAAGCTCCATATACAGTGCAAGGTGAGTCAGATGGCCAAGAAGGGAATTCCCTGAAGCCAGAAAGCTGAGTAAGGAATCAGTCAGTATGAAGTGCTGATCTTCTTTTATGTTAGAAGAAGAGTTGCTGAAAACCAGAGCCTATGGTACTGACCATTTGGGTAGAAAAGCCTGTATAATCATTAAAACTTCCAGGCTGAGAATATAAATTTTTTTTCTCCAACCAGTATTCTTTCAGCCTGATGAATATTTCTGCATTTGCAACCACTTATTTTCATTCCCTCTTAAATATTGCTCCTGCCTTCTTTGGTACAAAGATCTTCCAGTTTGTATTCCAATTTAAATTCAATTTCTCTCACCCTCCCCCAATTTCAAGAGAAGGAGGGGTGTGGGGAGAGGAGAAGACCAACCAAGAGAAGCAGGGAGGAAACTAACCTGGATTGTGACAGCTTCAGTTTGAGACTCCTCCTTTGGAAAAAAATCCCTAAGCAAGGCTAACCCTGAGCAATGACCTGGCTGATGGCTAGAGTGTGCGCTGGGGATTTTATTGTACTGCGTGCTCCTAATGAACAGGGGAAGGAGGATTTAAAGTTAAATCCTTTATATTTCACATCAACATCTCAAACACTACCTGTAGCAAAGGACCTGCTCCCCTCTCCGGGTTTTCCTCCTTGACTGTCATCTCTGTGATGACTAACGCCTTACAGAGAGACAGGTGAGGTATACCCGGCAACCTGGTACAACCTGAGGGGCTTTGTGTTGCTTGGCAGTGTCAAGACTGCTAACGTGCCTGTCTTCTGGCAGGTCAACTGGCAAGTACAGGGTGCAGTGGTTGCTGAGCAGCAAGTCTTCCTGAATTTCATTGGGCCTAAATGCTGTGTGGAAGCAGCGTAAGTTTGTAAGACATTCAGTTAGTGCATACCTACTTACAGCGGTATCATACGGAGCTTTTTTTTTTTACTGCTTTCCTGTTTAAAACAATCTTTTCTCACAAAAAAAGCTGCTTCCTTATGGCAAGCGCCAAGATTGGGAGACTCCCAGTCAAATATGACATTAACAGGTAACTTATTGTAGATTCTAGGGATGAATTTGAGGAGCAGGATAAGAAATTCTCTGTAGAGAGGAGCCTCTCTGGAAATATACATAGGAGAGGAAGTTCAGAGCTTACTGCTTCTCAGTGGCAGGTGTAATTTAGAAAGGAAAAACTATTACAAGAAATCAAATAAGGCTGGAAAAGCTTTCGAAAGTGTTCAACCTTCAACTACTGCACTGGAAGGGAGAGGAATAGGGCCCCTGACACTACCATCTGTGTTCCATTAGGAAGATGAGAATACACAGAGCCGTACCTTCATATAGTGTTTGAAGATATCTGCTGCTGCATGCATGTCCACAATGTCATAAATTATCAGCTTGCTAAAGGCAGCCAAAAGGTTTCTTCTCTTATGTAAAGCTTCTATTTTGTTAGCTTCATCTTCTTCATCTCCCTCTGAAAGCATCAACAACAATAAAATGTTTATAAGTAACTGCTATGTTATAAAGCAACATTATCGAAGAGTAGCTTCTAGCAAAAATCAATTCTTTAAAATGAAGCAAGGATTGTTGCAGGAGAAGCTAAAATGAAAGGTGATAATTCTTGAGTCCTGCCTATGTTAGGACCTTTAGGAAAGTTCAGGAATATGACACACCATTGACCAAGGATGCTGTAGTCCTGAATAGGTCTACATAATCCACATGGAACGAATCGCTTATTTTCTTTACCCTGGGCAAAGCCACAGTGAAGACTTGTTGAATGCTTTTTGCCTAACTTCTGAAACATTTGGAGATGCTTCTTTAACATGACTAAGCTATAAATATCTCACATGAGGAAAATTAGAAGCAGCAATACTTCTACTGCATGCCTTGGATTTTCAGATATGCAATCGCTGGCTCTAGAGCATCAATAACAACAGGAAGTGAAAATCAGTTGTAAGAAACATTAACATGGAATGGCAATGTTGTAAGTATTAAGTCCCCATGTCAGACTCCACTCTGTGAATGAAAATGAAACTATACACACAAAATGTGAAATATAATATCATTAATAAAAGCGTATTCCACAATTTGTATAAGAAAATGAAATCAGCTCTAACAGTTGTGATAAAAGTAAATATTCTGTGGTATTTAGAAGAGCTTATTCCTGGAGAGAATCTTCCAACCAGTTTGAAGAAGTACAGACCTGTGCAGGCCGGAGGAGGGACATAGTGTCAACTGCGACTCACTTGCTGCACTCTTACTAGAATCCCCACAGAGCCACAGTACTTAAGTCACGTATTTGATCACAGGAAATCTCTTACGAGCAGTGGAGTTGACCGTGAATATGCATGCACGTTTTAATCCTGAGATGCTTTAACCCACAGAATTGAAGCCCATTAGCACACTCCCCTCCCCCCCCGCTTTTCTTAATTTCTTTTTATCATTACTGATGTGTTCTGAATACCAAAAGTTATAAATGGTCAGACTGACTTGATGGAGTTAGAGCAGCATTAGGGAATGGAGATTACATACAAAGATCTTCATCCATCTTTTTGCTATCTTCCCAGTCCAATCACAGGATGTTAAAGAACAGCAATTTTGCTAAAGAGCAAAAAAAATTAGACACTGTCCTCCTAAAATCTATCCTTGATGTATTATTCTGAACATTGAACTCACAAAGTATCATTAACGACACATAGATTTTTGGTGAAGGTGTATTTCAAAATGTATTCTTCCCAGGAATCCTTAAAGAGATGCTCAACAAAGAAAGATGCTAGCTACTGAGGAGCTAGGGAACTAGAAGACTGAAAGCACCTTTAGAGCAAGAAAACATTCTCTGAGACCATAGTTCTCTATATTGCCACTTAAAAGATCTAAAATAGCAACCATGTGTCAAGCTAACACACAAGTAACCGAGTACAGCGGAAATTCAGAAAATGCGCCAGAAAGAGCACTGCAGTTTGCACTCAGCAGCTCTTTCACATAGTTTGACTATCTGGGAATCCATCTCTTGTCCAAAGCTATTTAGGATTCAGAAATTGGGTACCTCTGTACTTGCATTTAGGCATTTACAACACAAGTTATTTAAAACCAGACCTAATTGACAAATCTGCCTCTCCCTGACTGAAAACCAAAAATTTCAAGTCATCCCTGTAAGGAGGTAGAGATGGGGTCACCTCAAACTGCAGCCTCTCAAAGCGTGGCCACGCACATAGGAAAGAGCAAGGAAGCAAGCAAGCAAGCATACACGATACCTTCCCAAGTACTTTCCTAGTCTCCAACCAAATCAATGATGTCCTGAGCTTGATTTGATTATTTTGGGGAAGGAGCAGAAGTTTATTTAGTAACAACGGAGTTTCTTAAGGCCTTCCTTGCCCAGAGCTTTGCTGGTAAGGTTTGCGTTCAGGATCCTATAACTCTATTTAGTAACTCTAAAGGATTTCTCTGCTCCATCGTACTTCCTCCCTTGAAGCCATATTAAATGAATTCTGCTGCTGAACTAAGACTATACTGTTTTGGAAATAAATATTAAGAAAAATACAGATCAGTAAAGGAAGAATAATTTTGTCCAGATTTATGGCATGTAGTTAGAGGCCACTCCCATGTTTTCTGAAAACATCTCTTTTTACGAAGTTAAACATAAGTACTTATTCTTCTTTAACACAAGTAGTACTGAATATTGAATATTTCATATTCGCACCTCCCAAAAATAAAGGAGTAATTCTGAAAACATTTGAGCAAACTGATCTGAAAATTCTGTCGTCTTCTTTCTTCTGTGTCTGTTATGAAAAAAAGCTAAGTAGAAAACATGAAAGCTAAACATACCCATGCTCTGGTTTTCATCATCTTGGTCAATAAAGACATGGTCCATCACGAAACTGAGAAGTTCTGACTGGAGGCCTGAATCTGGATTAAACACCAAAGGTTGAAGACCTTCTCGACCTCCAGTCATCAGCTGATGACTAAAAATCATCAAGAGGTCACAGAGCAGCATGAAAGCCTGAAAGGCAAAAGAGAATGAATGCAGTAAGAAGCATAAGTAAGTAAAAAATAAAATACCATTTATCTAATTTCCAAATATCCCCTGCTATTATTAAATGTCCTTTAACTGTACTCAGCTGTAGTTGTTCGTGCGCTGTGAAAAGCATTCATGAGGGTTTCCCCTAACTTTAAAATGTTATGCCTTTGATTTCTGTGTAAGGAACTGTGTTTACTACCTCTTCCATGTCCAGGATGATCCATATTAAACTTCCATTTCTTCTCTATGAAAAGAACTCTAAATCTACCTCTTATCCAAGGACTGTAGCCAAATTTGTAGTAAAGAATAAATACCTCTTTTGATAAACAGTTAGAAAAGCTAAACAAGCAAAAAAATGAATAACATTATGAGGGAAAAGCCAAGCTGAGTCACTGTCAGATCCCAAAAATACAGAGAAGCAGCTGTAAACAAAGAAATCCTTGCGGGATTTCATCAACAATTCTCTGCAAAAAGAATCAAGTAATTCTGCAGAGCTTTCAAATCTAGATAAAAGCCAACCAGGGCAGAATTTTCAACGATTTATGCTCATTACTATGAGAACAGAGAAAGAAGGCAGCTATTAATAACTTCATTTCTTTCAAGGGCTTATCTCTATACTCTCATGCACGAGAACACCACTCTTTTCCCCAACGGCTTATGTCGGAGTGTCACAGCCAGCTGTATTCATTTGCATTACGTTTAACACCTGAGCACCTTTCAGAAAGTACTTTTTAATCATCTTAGTTTCTCTATCTTTAACCTCAGGTTCTGAAAACTGAGAAAGAAAGGAAGGTTCAAAGCACGAATGTGTAAAAAGACTCCTAGAAGATCTATGCTGGATGTGCTGTCTCTTCCCCCAGAAGCCTGCAGGCGTCTCGCTCAGGGCAGTGTCAACCACCGTTCCCAGGTAGGTGGTCGGCCAAAGGCATTTCCAACTGAAGAGAGATTGCAGAATAGCTCTGACTGTGAATCCAATATAGGCTTTGATTCAGCCCTATATTCCCCCTCTAGAAACAGCTGAACAGAAAGATAGTCAAATGTGGTTTTAAACATATTTTTGAACCGAGCCTAAGGAAAAGTAGTGAGTGAGAGCAACCTGCTTTACAAACCTCCAAAATGAAATCTTTGTGAATGCTGAACGTCATAGCAGCTCACTTACTTCTTGGATTATGTTATAAAATCTGAATGAGCTATACTTAGGCAAGAACAAAATGCAAATCATTGTAAACTGTGTTCTACTTAGACTTTGGAGACAGATGCCAGTATTTGGGATTTTTCTCCACTGGATCCAAAAAGTTGTGATTCATTTCAGTGATGATCTCAGCTGCTCTAAACTCTTTTGATACTCACTAGAATTTAAGCTCATCCTAATGTAGACCTCTAAAAAAAAGCATATGAATAATGCACTGACAGTGTTTATTTCTGTCCAATAGTCCAACAGCAATGGACTCAGATACAGATGTCTATATATTGTAGATATGTCTAGTCACAGGAGATTTATCTCACTCAAATAGTCTAGGAAAATTTGAAATGTTTGAGTCCTGGTTCTATAAACACTTAGTATGTTTTTCCTTCCTTTGATATGTGCATTGATCTTCTCGGGAAAGAATGTATAGATTAAGAATCAAATATGGTAGGGAGACAATATGATTTACACAGAATTCTCAAAAAAATCCAGTAAAACAAAAGGATGAAGAAGCAGTCCTGCACTTGCAGAAATATACTTTTTAAGGAAGAAAATTAAAAAGATCGTAGAACTGTTGGTTGGAAGGGACCTCTGGAGTCTCTAGTCCGACCTGCTCTGATTGGGACCCTTGCTGTCTCTAGGTCTGGTTGGTCACGGCTTTGTCTAGCTGAGGTTTAAAAGCTTCCACAGAATTGTGAACGGCAAAGGAGCTGCTAAGAAAAGTTTAAATTACCAAGGAAAAAACAATTGTGGCCATTAATACTAAGAGAATAAAAACATGTTAATATATATCAAGAACAAAAACATTGCAGTAATGGTAAGGATCGTTTACCATTTGTTGATGCAGAAAAGACATTAGTGCTAGCTTAAGCTAGAATGGTTGGTATTTTCATGAAGCTAGATGATATTTTCACATTATATAATATTAATAAAATATGCCAAGAGTAACTACTCAGAATATTAAAAAACAATTACTGAAGTTAAATCTGCTGGAAGACAATGACACATCAGAGTCTTTTAAAAATACATAAACTAGCGACATCTCCGAGCCTTTAATGTTTATATTTATCAACTTGCAGAACACAGTGTAAATGCCAAGCAGAGCTATCTTTCAAAAAAATAAAACTGTCTTTTAAGAAGTATTATCTTTAAAAAACACAGGCAAAAACCACAGGCCAGTTAGTTAGAGCCTTTGCAAAATCCTGGGAGGTCTGATAGAAATGCAATTTCAGCCTACCAAGCAGGGAAGCACAGCAACCTAAGCTATAATGGTTATATTGATGAGAATCGAAAAACCCCTCCAGATCTTTGTATTTCTATAATGAAGACACTGTTTAAATAGATATTTTACTCTGATTTCTCAAGGTGACATAACTGTTTTTGATGATTTTTGCATAACGTGAGAGGACACTTAGTGTTATTCAGAGTATTTTTGTAAAATGAATTAACTTTTTTTTCTGCTAGAAAATATGCAGTAGTACGACCTGTACTGCTAGAAGCCTCAATTTTCTCCCTTTAGCCACAATGGGAAAGAGACACAATAATTAGTATTCACCACTACATTTAACTGAGTTATTAGAATAACGAAATAATGAAATATCACCAAGGCTTCAGGCATTTGCCTTTGGCAGGAAAGCAGTCACTCTAGACTCCCTATTAGTCAGTAACAGGGGGAGCAAATCCAGAAATATACAGAGAAAGATTCAGCCCATTTGATGTCTCAAACACCCTCTAGAAGTGCCTATTTCCATCTGTTAATACAGTAGGTGTCTAAAGGAATAGGCTTTTATTTTAGGTGAATGAGTTAGATGCCTAAAGTTATGACAGCTGAACATGAGCCTAAGCATCCAGGTATATAAAAATTAATTTTACATTAGCTGTGCTTTGAAGGTGCTTTTAATACAGCTCTTCTTACGGCGTGCTTGTTCACTTTTATTCAGACAGAAGGCACAGCTGATTTTACTTTAAGTTTGATATAGTGTCGTCTTGAGTTTTACTACAGTTTAATATTCACACTTTTTTAAAAAAAGCATGTGACAGACATTTCCTTTACCTGTTCTTTGACTGGAGTGTTGACATTTGATAGACACTGCTGGCAGACAGCCAGAAAGGATTTCACAGTTTTCCTCAATACCAACAAGTCCTCCTAGAATAAACATTAAAAAGGGATAATATATAAATATTAATAAAAAGTTGCTAGGAAAAGGCAAAATAGAAACACGGTGATAATTTCATACATTCATTCCTATAAACTAGCCAAACAAAAAAGGCTGTGAAAAAATATGCTATTCATAGAGCACAGAGTAAAACAAGTCATTAATTTTCAGAGGAATGCCCCTGTTTCCCTGTAATAAGTAATAATAAAAACCCAATACATTCCTGAGTTAAATTGTCTGTATTTTATATTGAATGTAAATTATAAATATTTTGGAGCAAGAAGTTTAATACATCAAGGTCAGCCTAGCTAGTGGTTTATAAAGAATTCTGTACTCAGATAAATCAACATGAACAAAAAAGTAAAACACCAATGAATGTCTCAAGTTCAAAAAAACATTATCCTGACTGCCTGCAGACACGGGAAATGTGAAAGCAAATCACAGAAATCTGATGAGTTAATGAGTTATGGGAGAAGGAGGGAGGTTTGTTGATCTGGAAAAAGAAGGATTTGTGGGTGGAAAAGATAAATGAATGACTGTTCTTGATCAACTTGATACAGAGACAACTGCTGTGTATTTTAAATGTGGCTACCAGAAGTGACAGGTTCAATAGCAAAGCTGTATACTTTGACCTGGGGGAATTAATGCTGTACCCTGATGAATACTTATTTTTTATGGATAACAAAATAACCTAGTGAAAACAAATCAAAACAAAACATAAGATACTGGAGCATAATCATAAGAGTACAGCAAGTAGCCACATGGAAACAGCAAATCAATTACAGAAGAAGAAGACCCCTCCTATGTGAAAAGCTAGGACTGCCTCTATCGTAACCAAGAAACGTAAGGAAGACGTACATGGCTTCTTGGCACATACTTAAATAGTTACTCTGTTTTACAGAAGTGATAAACCAAACATCAAGGAGAAAGCAAGAACCAGAAGTCACCAGGACTTTGTGTTAGCTTCAAGCTTTGTGAAAAGGACTAGCTTTGTCAGCACTGATTCAAGGATTCTGCTGCTCTGCATCGCTCAGGTAAGACAAACAGAGGCTCCTGCCCGCCGTACCGTGTGTCTCCCAGCCCTCAGACCTCCTCCCGTGCCACCAGCAGTTCTGCCAGGGCCCCGCAGACGACAGCATTTCTCACATGCACCTGGGACCATTGCTTGAAAGATCTTTCCCTTCCCAGTTTTCACCATCACTGGTTTCACGTAAAGAAAGAATCACAACAGCCATTAATTCACACTGAGGTTGCTGGCCTCCTGCTGCTGCAGACTTTCCTCCGTGATACCTCTATCAGCTTCCAGATGGAAGATGGAAGACAACGTGCCCTACCGAACAACATCCAATCTAAATCTAAAGAATCTATGTAGTGTACATGCAACATTTTCCTTGCTAAAAATTCCAATTTTTAATTATGCTGGCTGTTCAGTCCATGCGTCTTCATTTCTAGTTTTAGCTTTTCTTACTGCTTCCTATCATAAGATCTTGTTATTCTTTGTTTACTGAAAAGCCTTTTTGTGGTCCATATGTTCTTCCTGTACTGGGTCACAACAGACGGCAGGTCTGCAAGTGTGCCGAAGCACCCCAAGTGTGCCTAAATCTCTGAACCTCTTACAATTTTCAATAGAGTGTAATTTTCAATAGAGTGAGACACTGAAGGTCTATGAGCTACCTCACCTTCCTAATAAATTTTTCTTTGATAATATAGCCAATCTCTTTGTGCCACCGCATTACACTGCCATTACATGATCTGTAAGACAGCTCTGCCCTATTCTAAGTCATAGCTTTCCACTCATCAGCCTTCTTGTTCCGAGATACAAGCCTTCCATTTGGCAGCATTAAAATGCCTCTTTCTTTTTTTAATTGTGTTTTGTTTACCAATTGATCTATGTCACTCTCATTTTAAATACCTCCGCTTTATCTTCCCTGATGAGTGGTAAAAATTAGCAGTTTTTAGAAGAGAACAGATCTCTCCTGCAATGCATCAGAAGCTATCTCCTTATGTGATGATTTCCCACTTACAATTTTTTTCTAACAGATTAGTAGCTTTGAGCTATTGAATATGAATTGCATTAAATTCACATATTCACCTGAAATGCAATGTGATACTAATGTCTTACAGAAACTGGTATTTCAACTGGTTTCCTTATCAAAAATGCAATCTTGTCAAGAACAAATTTATTTGTTCCTTCCAGTCTTATCTGTTGGCCACGTTCGTTCTGCCCTTCAGCCTTGTACTGACTGTGTTCTCTATCAGCCAGTCCAAGATTTTATGTAGGACTGATGCCAGGCTTATCAGTTCACTGCTACATAGTAATCTGATTTACAGCTTTAAACACTGGGATTACAATCACTTTAATAACTTCTAACTTTCTATCACAATTATCTTCCCTTTAGATGTTAATGATTCAACAGAGAAACTAAAACCTATGAAAAATCCTATATAAAGTTTAAAATGTGAATGAGCGTGTCTTCCATTTTTTCTTTCTGTCAAAGAATGAGTAACACGTCGGTACGCATTATTTATTATCCTCTCTCTTGATAGCACGACAAAGATTCATTTTGAAAAGTTACAGACAGCAAAAGAAAGCCACACTGAACAGTGCAACAAGAGCCATCTGGAACTCTTCTAAATTTGGAGAAATCCCCAGACTACTAGAGTGGTAATTTTTTTTAAAAGAGAAAATGCGAAGAAAAAAAAATGAATTAGATTTTCAAGTCTTTTACCATTCTCAGGCACACAGCCAAGGCTCTTGAGGTGTGATTACCTAATATGCTGGCTTCAGCAGAAAAACTGGTATAAAAAATTTTACTGTCCTCTTGGTTCTAGGGTAAAACCATGGGGTCGCACAATGAACTGGATCACTAAAGTGACCCAGGATAAAAATAACCCTTTCTTGAACTGTACAGTGTAATATCTTCAAATTTAACTAGTCCATGGCAGGAACAAGAATGAGCCACTAAGAGCAAGGACTTGTATTGGCTTTGCCACCACCTGTAACTGAACAACTGTGTTCACAAGATGGTTATCTAAAATTCTTCAGTTATTTTCTAGCTTTAAATTGAAGCTTGTTTTTTCCATGGAGGCCATGTAGAAATGCTGTGCTTTTGCTAGGTTCGTCTAACAGACCCTGTGCTTTTCTTCCTATTTTCCCATTGCCTTTCCTCTAAATTTGCAGTATTTGCAGTATTAACTTCCTTCTCCTTGCAACTCCAAGTCTTCGAAAAACTTTACAATGTTCAAGAGCCATTAGCTTTCAACACGACTGTGGAACACAATTCAACCTTCTGCACCTTGTGACTCTGTTCTTCCCTTCAGCATTTTGTGCTTTCTTTCATTGTGCCCATATAAATATGAAAAGTCACCAAGTCACTATGTTGTTCTTTAAATCCCTCTTTAAACCCCCTCTACTAATTCCTCTGCCTACTAATCACTTTGTAATAGCTATGCATTTGGCTAGTCTGGCTGCTGCTCATTCAGAACTGTTTCGCCTTTGTCTTGCCTCTGAATGCTCTATTCATGCTTTTTTTTTTTTTACTGTTCTAAGATTTTGGACTCTGTTCTTCTGCAAATATTTCCTTTTCATTACATACATGTACAGTGCACAGTTTAATGGTCCCAGGCACCTGGTTTATTGAATACATGAAGAAATCTATATGGAAACAACTGTATAATCCCCAAGTCTCCTACCTCAAGACTGTACTTGCTCCCCAAGATCTACAGACAAGAGAACTCTTGCTGAGAAATTACCAGCTTCTTTTGAAACCATTTGAAACCCCTTTTCACGTGAAGAACAGTTTTTCTCTAGGCTACAACAGATTGTTCCCACAAACTACACAGTAGTGCACTTCCCCCCCAATACTGTGCTGCTTGTCACTAGTCTGCTTACCGACAGCCCACACAGTCATGGCCTCAACCCCCTCTGAACACGTACAAGATGACAACCAAAGATCAGAGCATTAGACTATGGATATTTCAAGGCTTACATATTTCATCCTTACCTGCTCCAACCCTTCTTTTAGTAATCAATTTTTCCTTTCAGAAGAGAAGTATAAAAGCAGCATGAAAAATTGCAATCATGAAGAGGAATCTTGTGGTGGAACAGAGCAGCAGTCAAACCAACTCACACACCCCAACCCTGTGACCGGTGGCACATCCTCTCCGCTGGAAGCCGTAAATAGCCTGCGCCCATCTGAAGGACTGTCAATATGGGGCGCAACACGCGGGAACTAACACCTCAAGCGTGTGGATGTGACTGTGGAGTGCTTTGTGGGTGTGGGTACACGTGAAGCTGGAGCACCCACGTGTCCAGCACACCCACATGTAAGCAGGGGATCTCATGCTCCCAAAAGAAGGGCAACGTACCTCACGTTTCCTGTGAGAATAGGGGTGTAACTCTAAATTGCATGTGTGTCTTGGGGAGGGGATTAGACTAATTTGTGAACAGTTACAGAAGGGTAGTTTGAAATTTGTAGGCATTCATTAGCATTATAAAAGTGTCTGGTATTTTGGTTTACCTGCTGTATAGCTGATACTTATCCTGGAGATGTGTTGCACTGACTGCAAGTCAATCATGGGTTGTTAATAAATCAACGAGCTGACTTGATTCTAATTTGATTATTTAAGCCACAAGAGTCAAACAGTTTTTCCCTGATATGCATATAAAGCCTGTAGACCGACACACCTAGCCTCCTGTAGTCAGCCATAATCCAAAACATTACAGCTGTAATATAAAGTGTTCCTCAGAAAGCAATAAATGTGCCCTGGGCTTGGGCATAATGCCCAGGACAGTTTCCAAACAAGGGCAATCCTCTTAGGAGAGAGGCTGTATTTTTGGAAGAGCCATCTGAACACCAGATAAAGAATAACTTCATTCCAAAAAGATTCCGTTCCCAATTGTATACCCCTGGTTGTCATGTATGACTCTGCCCTAGAACCAATACACAAAATTATTAAGCAATTTTGAGCTCTACTCAAAGAAGAACTCACTTTGAAAGAAATCTTACCAGAACCACCCATCCCGCCTGCAAACTGTGCAATAAAACATACACCTAATGGATGCAGAACATACCTTACATTAAGAAATTTAAAACTTGCCAATATATGCCCACTATTACCAAACTAAATACTTCCTCCCACAGAAACATTAACACCCTTGAATCCTGTACTTAATTCCAAAATGTTAATACACTTTATCCTGTGTGCTGAATGCCTACATGGTAACTAAGTAGGTGAAACGGAGCAGCTACTATTTGCCAGCATGAACTCACACAAATGACCCAGCTGGCAGCAGATGAACATTTCTTACAAATCAATCCCTCCATCTCAGCTGGATGCTCAGGGGAAATCTAAAAAATCATCTTCTAAACACGAGCCTGGGAACAAAAATTGATAAATCTACTGGACACAGAAAAACAAGGACTCAGGATTAGTTTTATGACATATTATAAATTCCCTTCTCCTCATTAACCTTTTCATCTTTCATCTTCCTTCTCTTCCCCACTATCCAGCTTCTCCTTCCCTCCTAGTAACTGTCTTACCACCTCGCCTTCCCCTGCTCCCACCCCCCTATAGGTACCAACGACCTTTTCCTTTTCTTTCAGAGGCAGTTTACCTGATCTGTCTCTAAACAGAAACCAAGCAATTGTTCTCAGCTTGTATTTTGCTTTGTAATCTTCTGCTTTTATTTCAAACCTGAAAGGCTTGTATGTCCAAAAGCCTCTCTAATTTTTACAGCCATATCCATTGGTCTACTAAAGATACCACTTCAGCCTACAAACCATCGCCTCCCTCTGTCTTTAGATCATTACAGCTACAGCAAAGTAACACTAGAAAGCTGGATGGACCTACGCATTAAAATACGGTGTCAGAAATCTTCCTGTAAAAGCCTGAATACTTAAAAATGCTTATGAAATACACTATTTTTCATTCTGAGATGCTCGTGTTAATGCCTTTATCTTCCCATACATCATACTTTAGAAGTGATCCCCTTCAATGTCTGCTAATTTATAAGCCTGAATCATGGCTTATAAAACAACCATGGGCAAAATGATCTCCTAATGGATTAAACGACAAATATAGTGCAGATCAGATTTATTTTCACAGTGACAAACTACAATGGGAAGTCTGATAGAAGAAAACCACACAGAACAAAATGTTACGACCACATCAGGTTTGTGGATTTCTCTTTATACCGTTTCTGTTCTGAGCATAGCTGAGGTTGCTGGCCAGGTACGAAGAGCTGAAGGGCATTAATGCAGTGCTCCTCTTGAACTAAGCATGCAGAAAACTCGTTATTTTTGTAGGGGGTGGGGTGAAACCCCAAACAGTAAGTTAATAACAGCTCTCTAGGTTAGAGTAATTATGATTTTCACTGGGGATTCCAGAAGCAGAATTGACTTGTACTTTGAATGGTCAGTGGAGCTTTCATAGTTCTTTCAATTCCTATGAACTACAGTATGACTAATACGAATCAGAATAGTATTAGAAATACATGAAAGATCAAGGCTGTTCTGCATTCATCTCATAAAACAATGTCTCATACAATTGTATCCTATTTTGAAAAAGTAGGCAAAGACATACAATTGCACTAAGCTTGTCCGCAAGAAAAACCCAGTCACTGAAACAAATAAAGGTCTTTTTCTCTTTCAGTTTAACTGGATCATCATGGTAATATTGCAAACAACAGTCCATATTAATACTTTGACACCAAAATGCAAAGCCTCTGACCAGGTCCTATGCAGATAGATGCTGTATACGTTACTCGCTAGCTGTAGTTTATGGTAACTACGTTTCTTTTGCTGTAATTTAGACACAAGAAAACATGGAACTTTTTTCCAGCAATGCTGACAGCTATCACTCTGCACCGTCGATGTTACACTGCAGCAATTTACTGTATTTGGTTTGAAAAAATGGAGAAATGCAGTGAGGGGAGATGAGAATCTTGCCAAATGCTCTGTGTCTCAGCACTGGCACCCAGAGCAAGGCAAGACTGGGCACTGCTGCTCCAGGGGCCCAGCACACAGGAGGACAGAGTTGCTGGGCACCTTCAGGAGTGGGTAAGACACCGAGCAAAACACAATAGTCAAGAGCAGACGGGGAAAAATCTAATAAAGGTGTTGAAGACAGCATCCAGGCTTGGATAGTCGACCAGGTGCTCTAAGTGCACCCGCTCTAAGTGCTTGGTTTCTCATACCCAAGGCACTCACTACACAGGTAACCAGCAGTCCAGTTTTCCTTACCAGGGAAGCATTAGAATGAGATTCGGTGTGTTGGTTTTATGGACCTAAGTGTTGAAGCAGTGTATGGCCTCCTGGATTTACTTTTAGTTACTTAGCTCCTTCTGTCAAAGTGAAGTTTCTCCCTAAGGATAACAACGCTGCTAGCCGGGACGACTTCAGATGCTTTATTGTGATGAGATTATGAGTTCATTCAAAACAAATGGGATGTATTCAGTTTTCTCAGTGATAAGGAGTCAAGATGTAATATGATATACTACCAGCATGCTAAAGCGAAAGAAGCTAAAGAAGCTGAGAGGGGAAAATGGGAACGAAAGCCAGAATAAAGAATACCAATTATTCTTTTTTTCTAGTAGCTATTTCTAAATGTCAATATATGTCAGTATTCAAAAAAAGTCAAAGAATTTACAATGTATTCTTATCATTTTTATGTGCATAAAATGTTTATTTTATTAGTATAGCATCTTTTTCTTTTTGATGCTGATGGGAAAGTACATTTACTACTTCCGTTGTCATACGATTTTAATTTGATGTATTACTTTTGAAAAAGCCATAAAAAGACAGGATGCTGGCCTCTGACTGAGAAAAGAGCTAAGGAAAGGTCCTTGAAAAGCTAAGTATAATAAACAAGTTACGTGTAACATTGTCCTTACTGCATTACACTTGCATGCACTTACTTTTTATTAGTAATCGTCACTGCTAGTAACCTTACATTTATGTTTAGCAACATAAAAGATGTAAGTAAAAGGTAAGCAAGGTAAATACACTTAAATATTAAGCTATCTGTGGTGTACAGATCAACAGTATTGCTTACAACTATTAGGTAAGCATTGTCAACGTTACTTATCCATTCATGTAAACTGCTGTACTCACAACAAAGTGCATTAAGTATCTTCAACAATAAAAATATAAAGATCAGCCAGTATCAAATCCTGATAAAGGCAAGCTTCCGTTGTTTGTATAGCTTATTTAGACATATGCATGATGTTAAACAGATCTTGAAATAGCGAATAAATCAAAACACCAACATTTTATATCTGTTTCACAATGACATAAAATGACTGTACAGTGGGTAGAGTTACAGAGAATTAGGTCTAATGCCTTTTTAGGCAAGTTGTGTTTCTTCAGTAAAATCTGTATGGTCAAATGTCTACTTACTTTGGACGGGGAGCCTTCAGTGATCTTCACCAGCTGCCAGAGAATAGAGTAATGGGAACACTGCAGTGCCTGAACAACTATCTGTAACAGAGGGAACAGAAAGAATCCCAGCACATTGGAAATATCAAGCATATCAGTCAAGTGTATGTAAAATTTATAATGCATTTTGAGGAGAAGAAATAGGAGCAGTAGGTAGTACCTACTACTTAGGTAGCACTTTTTGTTTTCAAGGATATTATGTTTTTCCTTAGTCAGTTTGGTGCAATAAGAAACCAGCCTACTACAGGTGAAAAAAATACTGTGTAAATGCTGGGAAACAGAACAGAAAACTGTACATTAGGGTACAGCATGAGCTGATGTCACAGCATGATAGAAGTACAACCCAACATCTACATATCTCAGTTCAAAAGCATCTGTTTAAATACCTCTCAATCTGACTTCACTAGTAAAACAGTCTGGAAATTTGTTCCATTGTCAAATGAACATGTAGCCCAATTTCTAAAAAAAAGGGAGAAAATACAAATTTTCTCATAGAGAAGACTAGACTCGTATTTATGGTGCCCATAAAAGCATCCATGGTGTCTTTGCAAAATTTCAAATCTATATTAGGTGCTAAAAATTTCAAAATCTTTTTGGCTTGAAGATGCTTCCAACAGTTTGTGGTTCTGTGCAGAATAAATCAAGTTTATAACAGCTCTAATCACTTCACAAAATACTTTTTTGAAAGATATCACTGAAGGCCAAACCATTCCTTTTCAGCGAATTCCTTCTAGTGGACTGGGGGAAGAAATACTGAGGACTGAGTTCAGATTTCAGAACATTTTTCCTAAGGTCCTACAGAAGTATTTGGGGAGCCATATCACTGTCAAATCCAGAAACTAAACTGAAGATGGCTGGTGGTTGCATGGACAGTTTTTATTTGCTGGCCCCATCCCTCCAGGTAGCACAATTCCAGCATTAAGTAGCAACTGCAGAGAGAGCAGAAGGTCCCACAGCTTAAAGCCACGACTTTCACATGCCGTGTGGCAATGCATCCTCCATATGGTCCTTTTTAGAAAATAATTTTACAGAATTTAATGAGATTTTTTTTTTTCTAAATGAAGCTGGGCTAGAATTAACAACTGGTTTCTAATTGAAATCAAATTATAGCTTAAAATGTGCTGAAATACCGGAGCAGGCAGTCTGCAGTTTAAACTGGAATCCTGGGATAATCTGAAATGGTCCCTGTGCTCATCCATGAGAAGACTAAAACCAAACTAGGAGGAAACAAAGTCCAAGATGTGTCCACTAAAAGAACTCCACTGGAAAGGCTGGCCAGCATCCCTGCAAAATGTTCTTCTTGTTTCTTGGTTTTCATAAGCTTCCATCTTACCTTCCATGCATAATAAGCATTTGTGGTAATTCTAATTGCAGCCAAGGTTTACAAATGTTGGGTTTCAGTGTAAACATCATGATTTATGCATTGCTTTTCACAGCCAGGAACATTAGTTATTCGTTACTTTACAGATGAGAAAGGTGAGGCAGGTAGCTCAAAAATCACAGAATCCAAGATTTTCCACCTCCTGGACAGTGCCTCACTACAATATAAATTTCATTCAAAACTCCATGTTTTTCCTAAATAACTGAAGTCTAGTGCGTTAAACTTTTGAATTTCTCTATAACTAGACTCTTTAAAACTTTGAATCCCCATATGATGCAATGCAGGTGTTGCTAACTGTACCTGTTCTGGCATAGCTCCATGTTCAATTCCAGTTCTTAGTAATCTGTAGCAGTTACTGAACAGATCCCATTTTGTGAGATCATGAGCACTAGAACGAGAGGTAATAAAGAGGGATTAGTTGTGTTCCTCAAAACTCCACATCACAGCAAAAATATAGTTGACCTGGCAGCTCAGTGAGCAGTTTGGTATTTTTGCAAAGCTGAGACAATACAGCCTGCTGACAAAGCAGCTGCACAATTAGTTCACACCATGCTAAAAGCAGAAGTTAGGCCTCCTGATAATTGAGGAAAAATGTTTTACTACATGGGATTTTTGTAGGGAGAAGATAAACTCTCTGCATACCGTACATCTTTAAAGGTTACTTAAGTGTAGCTACAAGCTCCTTAGTGTTGCCTCTAAATCATCTTTCCTCTTTGGTTCTAAACATTGACAGAACTCCAGAAGGCACTTCTCTGGCATTGCAGCAGAAACGATGGCCAAACTAGCAATATATACTGAATGAAAAATGGCTTTAAGCAAAATAAAGTTACATATTTTTCTGCCGTATCATTTGCAGAAAAATAATATACATTATTACTAGATGTTAAATATCCTGAAATCTTTAAAGCAAGGCAGCATGATATATATGTATACGAGACAGAGACGGTGGTTGCCACCCCGCATTCATGTTTCACATTTCAGGTGTACCAACCTGATTCACCAGCGAGAGGAATACAAATGCGATTAGCTACATATATTCTACAGCCTTACAGACCTCAACAGCTTATGATACAGCTTTTTTAATACAGAACTGAGAAATACAGAAGAAATTACAAAACATCAGGTTGCCTGAAAGACAAAAATTCTCTCTCTCAAAAAAATATAGGTTTAAGACATTTTTCTGCAATGGAATTTAACTGAGATAATTTGGAACAATTTATAATATGTTTATCAAAGAGCAAGCCACCTCAGGATAATCAGCAACTCGGTGATTAAAATACTCACCTAGAAGAAGGGACACTCAGACTGAATTGGCAATTCTAAATTAGACAAAGCAGTCTCTTGCATCTGGCTCCCTTTCATCCCAGCACCTTGATCACCAAGATATGCACACTTTCCCCACCCCTTTTCATCTCCCCTGCTTTGCAGCTGCCTGACTTTGTTTAAAAAATTAACTACCATGCTCAGCCAGAAAGAATAATTCTCTAGTTCTGAAACGGACAGAGGTTGAACTCAAGACTGGGAATGCCTAGATCCTGTTGAAACCCCTACTGTGAAATACTTCCCAGTCTGGAGTGTGTTAGCCCTGGAAAACCTCACTGATAAAAGTTTCACAGAAAACATAAATATTAATGCCCTTGTGCTGAGAGCAAGTGAAGTATGCACTCTAAGGTTGTGTCATTAAGCCAAGGTGCATCTTGACTTCTAATTCAAATCCATGAATAGAACAATAGGAAAATTTTAAAAAAAGGAAACAAAAATGTAAAAATACTCCCCCTGCCTTAGATTCTGGATGGTCTTCAAAGTATAAAGATAAAGTGTTTCATAGATAAATTATACGTTGTCAGAGAACTGCCTCTGACTAGTGATATTAAGCACAGAGATGCTGCTTCAGCAAATCACAGGGTTGCTAGCAAGGCTGAGTTGTACCTCCTTAATTACAGCGCTGTAATTAAAGCAGTAAAATCTCCTCGGTGTGCAGAGGCAGATATCAGCATAGATTATCCTACAGAGAATACGAAAGGGAAAACTGTCCCATTTCTGCCTTTTCATTCTGGCGCCCTCCACGCCAGGCAGCCGTCACAGGGGCACGCCCCACTGCCGTGACAGCTGGGGGCACCTCAGCTCTTTGCTCGGGGCCTGGCCTTACAGCGCATCTCAGGAAGAGCTTTTCACCTTCCGAAGCTGAAAAATTCTAACTATATACAAGTTGCATAGGGCTTTTCAATATAAACTTCCTTAAAGAAGAGCCTCCACATTGACTTTAGGCATATTCTGGTATGCCTTTGTCTCTTTTGAACTACTTAGCAACCAAAACCCTCTGCCCCTCTGCTCCGCTCTGGTGAGACCCCCCCTGCAGTGCTGCCTCCAGCTCTGGGGTCCTCAGCACAGGACAGACATGGACCTGTTGGAGCGGGTCCAGAGGAGGCCACAAAAATGATCAGGGGGGTGGAACGCCTCTCCTGTGAGGAAAGGCTGAGAGAGTTGGGGTTGTTCAGCCTGGAGAAGAGAAGGCTTTGGGGAGACCTTATTGCGGCCTTTCAGTACTTCAAGGGGGCTTATAAGAAAGATGGGGACAGACTTTTTAGCAGGGCCTGTTGTGATAGGATAAGAGGGAATGGTTTTAAACTAAAAGAAGACAGATTCAGAGTAGATATAGGGAAGAAATTTTTTACGCTGAGGGTGATGAAATACTGGCACAGGTTGCCCAGAGAGGTGGTAGATGCCCCATCCCTGGGAACATTCAAGGTCAGGATGGACGGGGCTCTGAGCAACCTGATCTAGTTGCAGATATCCCTGCTCGCGGCAGGGGCGTTGGACTAGATGACCTTTAAAGGTCCCTTCCAACCCAAACTGTTCTACGATTTTATGAAAACGATAGTTATAAAGGTACCTTGGACACAACACAATTCTCCACAGAGGTTCAGATTGACACAGAGGCTCCTAGAATGAAAATTCACACAGAATTTTCCCTCAGTCCCTTCCATGTCAGAGAGTCTTCACGGATTACAGAAAACAAGGCCCAACATTTAATCAAAGGTTTCTTTTCATCCCTGCTGGGGCATGTTTCTGCCAGAAAGTAGTCAGATGAAGTAAAGGTACCAGTTCCACAGTGTTTCTGAAAGCATGGAAAGCAGCAGCTTAGAAAACTTCCTTTTAGAAGAGGTGATCTCTCCATCCACAAAACTGCTTCTCTTTTTAAAAAAGCACAAAGTGATAGAAACTGTACCTTGGGCTTTGAACAGCTATGCTAGATACAGTCTAATTTCTCTACTGAGGTTTCATTTATCATCATTTCTACTTCTTCTGGATATAACAAACTTCTGAGTAACTTACTCTGAAGGATGAACTGGTCAACTACTGGAGAAAAGGTTAAGCAAAGGGTTTCTATAATAGGAAGAGAAGATGTGGTCTGACCATGAATTTACCTGTTTTGAAAGTGTCCTGACTGATCATGCTTATACTGATAAAAACATGATGCATATCTGGAGAGTTACTATGGCCACTGCAGGCTTATGAAGTCAGTATCATATCTGAGGACTACTGGACAGTGATACCAACAATCCTGATTTCTAAATGTTAAACAATATTCTATATACAAGACAGCATCAAAGGGCACATCCAGAGTGATGGAGATGATGCTTGAAATTCATGTGTCTTGCATTGAATTAACTGAAGTAATTAAATAAGAATCATAGAATCATAGAACCGTTTAGGTTGGAAAAGACCTTTAAGATCATCCAGTCCAACTGTTAACCTAGCACTGCCAAGTCCACCACTAAACTATGTCCCTAACTGCCACATCTACACGTCTTTTCAATAGCTCCAGGGATGGGGACTCAACCCCTTCCCTGGGCAGCCTGTTCCAAGGCTTGACAACCCTTTCGGTGAAGGAATTTTCCTAATGTCCAATCTAAACCCTCCCTGGCGCAACTTGAGGCCATTTCCTCTCGTCCTATCGCTGGTTACTCGGGAGAAGAGACCAACCCCCACCTCGCTACAACCTCCTTTCAGGCAGTTGTAGAGCGCGATGAGGTCTCCCCTCATTCTCCTCTTCTCCAGGCTACACAACCCCAGTTCCCTCAGCCGCTCCTGACTTGTGCTCTAGACCCTTCATCAGCTTTGTGAAATGCTGATATTTTGCAGCATACAAACTGCTACAGCACTGACGTGTTATGTGTGAAAGCTCAGCTGAATTTGGCTGGAGTCAGCGTAGAAAAATTGTGTCCATGTACTTAAGGACAGAAAAAACTGCTATAAAGATCAGTTTGACCCTGGCAAAGCAGCAGCCCAAGTATATACTCCAGGTATTCTATTCAGAAGACTTCAAGAAAATTTATTATTCTATTCTGAAAACTTGGAGGGAAACATTGTAATGATGAATTTCATTTGTATTGGAATATTAATATCCTTGTTTGATGAAAAGACATGAATCAAAAAGCGTGATGTGAGCCTTTTGTTGCTATGACCCTCTCAGAAAAAGGATTAGCTCCGGCTTGGGAAATCTCAATATAGAAGCTTTCTGGTCTCGAAGGCTTTTCTGATAATCCCCTACCATGTTTTTTTTCAACTTGCTGGGCTTCTTTTTCCTAGAATATAAAGAAACAGCAACTACCAAGAAAACACAAGTGCAGATAACGTAGAGTGGAATTTCTCTCACTGGAAGAAGAGAGGGACTTCTTTCTTTTTGAAGCCTCAGCAACTACTTTAGCAGTGCACTTTTAGATGATGTGAAAGGTACCAGTTGTTAGCCTGCAATTTCAACTCCTTCCATTGATTTAATTTCTTTTGGCTCCCAGTTGATGACAGACAATGACAGTATCAGACAACAGCCACTGTTCTTTGAGATGAGAACGCTTGATGCAAGTTTTGAATTGAAGATCCTAACCTCGTAGCTAAAAATTCTGTCTCAGATGGTATAATTGTTTCCTTTCATAAAGAAATCACATCAGACATAACAATCAGTAGAGCAATGAAAAGATTTCATTACTTCTTTATATGGAAGCAGATATTAATTAGAAATTCCCATTGAACTATAATCATAAATAACGAATCAGCTGAGAAATGATACACAGCTGCTCTTCAGCTCTTTAGATCTGATTCTTTTCTCTTTCCTTTTTTTGAAGGTGAAGGTCGATGTCCCCGACCCTGATTTGTGTCATTCTACAAAGCTTTCTTTACAGTCTGAATTGTCTCTTGAGTTTTAGAACCCTTAAGGAAAAAATATATATGGGAGACTCTCAGATAAGCCTTAAGATTTGTGTTTCCTTCTTGGATGTGAACTACAGCTTTCACCAGTCCTCTCAGGAAAGGCAGAAGTGACTCCAGCGTGTTACCAGGGAGACTGAAAACCTAATTTGCACATGTGTCAGCCTGCTGCACTACAGAAATTAGTAACGATTTAATGATCTCGGTGGGACTCTTGTTGAATGGAAACAAAGAGTAGATATTGCAGAACCATTTCATACAATGATCCAATGCAGAATTCAGGATACGTGAAGACTAAGCACAGAAAAAAAAGAGAAATGAAATCACTAAAACCAATTGGTATAAAAGAGGTAGCAGAAGCAAAGTCCTTTTGCGTCTTGTGGTAAGGAAGACATGATTTGTGGCTCTCAGCCATCTGCATATGAAGCTTTCTTACATGCTGACCACGAGCAATTACGTCCTACAGTTGATAGGAGGGGCAAATTACGTCTTTGTGCTATGCTCCAAAATTCACAGTTCCAGTGAAATTTTCCAGGTTGCTCTACAAGTTATGAGGGTGCCCGTAGGTCTAACTGAGAGCAGCTGGACCCTGAAAAGCTGTTGCCTGGTTCCACTGGGCTGGTTCACGCTTAGCGAAGGAGTTTCTGTGCAATCCACACGGTTAGACTTTGCCAACAATTCAACTAGAAACTATTCCTGGCATTTCTGCAGGAAGAGAATGCATCTTCCAGACTCTCATCATAAACTCTTTATTATTATTATTATTACTATTACTTATTTCCATAATTTTGAGGAGAAATACCTCAAAGGCATTGAGAAACTGAGAGAAACAACTTCCTCCAGGGCTCCCCTAAGCTGAGGCTCAAAGCAAAGATCTGGCCTGCATCCACTGGTGCCGGAGGCAAGTCCCTTGTGCATTGACTGTCTGTCGTGCAGGGGAGTATGACTTCTAGTAAAACTCTCATAGGTGTAAACGCATTTAGTGTAAGGGATGGTATGCCACTTGCAAATCAAATCTGTAAAAGTAATAGCATTAACTAAGCAAGGACCCAAATTAATCCAAACAGTTATACTGAGAAATGCCACTAATCGTTCATTAATCTCTATTTCGTATTTCAGGCCATATATTTTCTCATTTCTTAACACTAGACATCAACTGACACTCGCAGAAATGATAAAATTAACAGTAAATTTTTGAGGGAAAAAAATCACCTACTTGTGAAAAGAGGTTAACCTCTTTAATGTGGAGAGCACATTGTATATGTCATCATCATCAGCTTCTTCTCCCTGAAAATGAAAGGAAATCCATGAAGCCAGTTCAGCAATCCAGCAGAGTACATTACTGCACAGGGAGGAGCAGATTCCTTTCAGGGTTTATGTTGACACCAAAACCGACTCCAAATTTTCCAATGACTTTTATCTAGATTCCATAATAATAATATTTAAATAACCACTGCATAGCACTAGGAAATAAGCAAGATTATCTGACAATATTCAGCAGTATCACTGTACGAATACTCAAACCAGTATCCTCTAGCAGTAAAAATCATTGCCAAGAATAAAATCTGAGTTCTACCTTATTTTACAAGAAGGACTGAACTACAGTCTAACCATCAGCTGATGAACGTGCTACAAGAATAAATGCTTGCCTTGCTCCACGCCAGAAACCTGCAGATGTCAACAGCAAGTTTTTTAAAATGATCAGTGGGAAAATTTCTTTCTTTTCATATCCTTCATTGCTGTTCGCTGTGTTACACACCGTAATGCATGACAATCACATTATGTGCACAGACTGACATACATTCAGAACTGGATGGAAGGGGTTTTTTTAACTTAGATTTTACAAATCTGGGGAAACAACAGTCCAAGAATAAATATTGCACAATACAATCAAAACTTTTCCTTTAAATTTAATTTTTTCTTTCTGGCATTTTAAAATATCATTATCCTAATATTTTATGCAAACTGAACAGCAAATTCTCTTAGTGAAATAAGTGGAAATAAGGTACTTGCAAAACTTAGTTTTTCCAGCAACTTTCTGAAACAGGAAACCCACTTACAACAATTCTTCTCCATTTCATTTTGATCTTTTTTTTTCCGTCTAAAAGCCTAACAATTAAAACATTTTCCTGCCTTCATATGCAATTTGTCAATCAATGTTTCTCTCATTATCAACCTAGTGGGAAGCCATAAAGCAGTGGGATACTTGCTTGGGTACAAGTATGCACATTTTTTAATTTAAAATCTCTTTAAGATTATGAAATAAACTTATTAAAATTAATTCTTCTACCAAGTATCACCTAGCAAAGAATATCACAAAGGCCAAAATTTAAAATCCTTGCTACCGCTGTTCTCTTTCTTGCTTTCTCCTACTTTTGTCTTGGTGTTTTTTCCTAAGTCACATGTCTGACCTCCACACTCCCTTTTCCTTAGGGATCTAAACCTCTTAATTCTTCATTTTTCATACGACTTTCAGACACAGCTTTTCTCTGAAATCCTCAGTCCTCATCCCTCTCTCATGCAAGTGAATACACACAAAGATCATAAGCCCTTGCTTGCATTTCTCTGCTCCTTCCCAAGCTGGGTAAAGGAAGGGGATACATCAGAAGTATTTTGGTATCACTGGCCCATGTTCCTTCATGAGCCCAGTCTTTGTTCTCTGCCCAGTAGTCTCAGTGCATCCTTCAGGGCTTTTCGCACTGGAGTACTGCATGAAGAGAAGCCGCCTGCAAAGAGAAGTGGAGGGAAATGGAGTGGGTATAAGCAGTTACCGGCTTCCTGATTCAACAGCAGTTAGTAATAAAGGAAAACTGCAGGAAAATGTTCTTCTCCCCTAGCTCATTTCTCCTGAGAAGACTGGTGGGAAGTTGTTTATGAATCCCAGCATCTCGTTGCTCTCACCTGATTCCCCTTGGGCAAAAGGTGAGGCTGGAGGGATCTTTCAAGCAGCGTCAGCAAGGGAGAGGACAGGACTGCAGACCCGTCCAGTGCACCTAAAACATTGAGTGTGTTTTCTGAACTCTCTCAACATTCACGTATCCCTAGTCTAAAACAGCTGGACCTAAACGCTTTGCTGGCATTACCTGATCTGAAATGTGGGCTGGGAGTGGAAGAGAGGTAGATTTCCAATCTCCTTTCATCTTTACTGCTTGTAGTGTTGGAACGTGGTTCTTTGAGGCCCAGAGACCACACTGCCTGTGGAAGAGGACTCCCTAAGAAGGGCTTCTGAAAATATACTGCTAGGGACTGCGAGGTAGCAAAGGGAAGGACAGCACTGGATGTCCTCAGATCAGACAATACAAGAACAAGAGGACTGACGCTATAGTAAACCAAACTCAACACTAACTGGACTGCTGGCTTCCAGAAGAGTATGTGGAGGACAGAAAAGGAGCTGACAGAACTAGAGGACTGGTTCTTGTCTCGACCCCTCTTCGAGCTGCTGTGTGGAGGAGAATGGGCAAGTCAGAGAAAGAGCAGCTGCTGTACGGCAGGAGGAATCAAAGTGTTCCTGTATTTGCTAACTGAGTTTGGGATTATGGTTGAAAAAATTGTCTGTGGGTGTCTCAGCAATACTAATAAAATGGTGAGTGCATCTTTTCTTGGGTGAAACTATCCAGGGAACAGAATGCCACCTCTGAATCCTTGAATGAATCCATGGATGAATAACATCTATACAGCTGAACAGTGCGGAAACTTCAAGGGGGCTTTTCCAAAAAAGCTGCATGTCCTCAGACAGACATAATTTCTGTTTGTTACACTGGCTGTTACACAACTGTCTCCAAAGAGAACAAACATGGCATTTGCTTTGGAGAAGTTCCAAGACAAAACTATGAGAAAAAGCTGAAAAGAGACATTTTCATAATGTCTTACAACAAGACAGTATAACAGAAATGGCAAGTCAGTGTCAAAGAACTGGGATTCCACTTGCTTCTTGGTGTGATTCTTGAAAAAACCCATAGGCACTTTCTTCCGTCTCAAGACAAGACAGTGTGAATGAGATGCTTTTTGCTGATCTGAGCTTAGCTGTGGAGACATAAGCTGAAGATTCTCCAAGAGCCAGGTTTGGAGAAACAACATAGGAGATTTGTCCCTGCATATAGAGCCAGACTGAACCTTGGTCTTGGATGTGTGGATAGTGAAAATGTGAGGACCTCACCAGAGTTCCTAAACCTCTGTCAGTGGGTACCAAAGGAAACAGCGAAGGCCACCATTTATGGTGATTAGTTGCTGGGCATCTGGTGTGGAGAACTCAGCTGGTTCTGAAGCTGGATCTTTGTGCTGGCAGTCCATCTTTAGCCCTTTTTGCTACCCAATTCAGCAACAGATTCCCCAAGGTTTTTGTCTTGGAGTTTTTGGTGCTGTTGGCCAGAGGTGAGGAACTTCAAAAATCCATGGCTATTAAAAGAGACAGCTAAGACATGTAACGGGGCATTAGCTGAAAGGATTCCCTTGCCACACACAGATGGGCAGAGATGTAGCACAAATCCTGGAACGTGTTTTCAGGTTCTGCTCAGAATTTTCTGAGAAAGCACATATAAATGGCAGACAGGTAGACAGCAAACTAAATGTATTCTATCAAAGAATGTACAGCGGTGCACTAACTCCTCTGGGTTGTGGAGTGCCTGCTTCCTACATGCACTGCCTTTTTTACTCATGTACATTCCTACAGCAACAGACAAATTTTTATTCACTCTGCAATGTGACAAGGCATATATACAGTATGCCTGTATGTGGCATATTACTTAAAGATAGAAAAAAGCTTTTCTTTAATATGCAATTGTAAAAAAGAGACTGTAGCTTAATTTTCCACAAATGTACATCAAAAATTAAATGTATCTGCCACAGTGCAATGCATGACTAGAAGTAGTGAAGAAAAAGATCTATGCAGCCCTTAAGTTATGTTCAAAAAGCATGAGAATTACAACAAATTGATCAGTGCTACACAAAGTTAAATTGATGTAAAGCAAGAAAAAATGAGTAAGGTTTCTATTCTTATTTAATGTATTGTGTCTTACGCATTTTGAGGGATAAATTCTGACAAGTAAATCCCAGGTACCTCCAGGTTTCAGACCTGTATCTTTATTTCATTCTTTCCAGAGCTCTTTCAATATGCCATTATAAATATTTTACTAAATCCTCTCTTCCATTCCAGACATAATCCAATCTTGATTCTGCTGCCTGCACATCCATTTGGGACTACTGGAATCACCACAAACATTAATGTAAATGCACCATTCTCTGCATTTTTCATCAGCTTTCACCCATTCATCCATTTAATTTCTTATGTGGATTGTTTAAATATAGACTAAATTTTCAGAAGCAGGATTGTCCCGTGGTCTTTGTTTTACAGCATCAATGCTTTGCAGGCTTAATGGCTAGTCCAAGGGATTTTCTACATGGAGAAATAGCTCCAAATAATTATTAAATAGTTGCTGCTGCACTACATCTTCAGATGGATAATTTAATGACTTGGTTAGAATGTTTTTCTGCAGTTTGTCATAGCGTAATTTAGATAGTCTAACTAAATTCATTTTAAGAAAACAAACCTCCTGCAGCAGATCCTCTACAGAATGGTTGAATCGATCCACAAATTCATCAATTAGTTGGCTGTGGGCTATGTCAACTCTGTTCTGGATTGTATATTCTTCACTACAGAGTATGCTGTAGGTTTTGCTGCAGGCTTCGAGAACATCTGATTCCACATGCTTTTCCACAACAAACTTGATCTGTTTCAGTAAGGCATCCAGATGCTGTAGATCAGAAAAGAAGTTCAGCTTTCACCTTATCTGAACAATGAAACTCAGAGAAAGTAATTTGAAGAATACACCAAATCAAGGTTAGATTATCAATATGCTGAATGAAGGCACAGTACTGTGTGACCAGAATAGTAATCAGATACTTGAAAGCAATCAGACTTCTTGCCCAATGTACTATACCTTTTCCATTCTGCCCGTGCTATAGATTTCCAGATCAAAATACTGAGGGATTTGCAGGAGATTTGCAACCTTCTCGGCATCAGCGGAATACTAGAACATCATAGAAACAAAACAAAAAAATAGTGATGTAAAAATAAACACCTACACTACACAATGAAAAAGTTTAGACAGTTGTAAATACCAGTGAGAGATTTATTTTGTTGAAAAACATACCTTTGATAGCAACATAGGAAGTGCAATAATGAAATGCTCAGTCAATTTATTTCTGTCATCTATCTGAGTTTTTCTTTCTTTTGCTGTCAAAACCTGCAAGTGATCAAAAACAACTAAAGTAAATACAATTCTGCATATAGCATTCATTAATTTTTCTGAAGTTTGTATTACAAACAAAAATCCATGCAAGTGTATTTTTAATAAATCAAAAGAGGAGGGAGTAAAAAACTCAAACACATTTGGACTGAAGAGTGATTAAATGGGAAGACCATGTGTCCTAAGAAGCCTTGATTGAAAAGGAAAATACCGTATCATCCAGCGTGATACTGTCTCGACACATCAATATTTTTTTAGGATCGAAATTCAAATATAACCCAAGTCAGTGGAAGTTTTGCTATTGCTTCCAAGTGAATTGAGCTCTGGCTTTCACACATTAAACAAAGTGTTAATGTAAGACCTCAGGGCAAAGTGAAGTATAATTAAGAAAACCAAAACCAAACCACACTGTAACAGTGATTTTCATTAGCAGATTCATGGCCTCATCTCTAAACTGGAATGTAATTCTCAGTGAGAACATACATCCAAGTTCACAGAACTCATTTACAAATTTCAGTGACACATATACTGAAGCTACTAATGCTGTCATAGCAAAACCACCTTGAAAAAGTGAATAGAGAGACAATAATCAAAACAGCATGCTTCATAAAAGCTTAGATCTGGCTTCTTGGCTTCAGAAAAGGAGAGAATACTTTTGAAAACAAATAATGATAATAAAATACTCAAGTTAGCTAATGATTTATGTATAGCAAAGCTGCCAGACCGCACAATAAGGGTTACAAGCTAAAGTCAGAGAAGAAACTATTTCACAAGAAGGTGAGTGCATGATTAGAAATCTGCTCCCATTACAACTCAGAGAATACGCTAGCGAGATCATGAGAACATGACAAACCTCTACTGACAAGTCAGAGATCCCTGCAGTTACCATCCCACAACTCATGATCTAACTGAAAAGAAGCAAAAGCTAAATGTCATACCTACATCCCTCTGTGAGTGAGGAGGAACAGCTGGAAACAAAACACGTGCCTCCTGTGCCAACTCGCAGTGCAGCACCACCCGCGCCAGCAAAAGCCGCTAGCTCATCAGAAGGCAACACAAACGCAGCTAGCAAGTCAGGCTCCCACCCCCTGACAAGCCAGTCATATTCTGGTGACCAAATACTGCTACTCCGTGGTGCTGTTAATTAATGTGGGTCCCTAGGATGATCTTGAGGCTCTTTTGATCATCCTTCAGAAGGTGAAATTTATTTTACTGAAGTGTTTTCTTTAGCTTTGAAGAAAAACAGATATTGAAAATCTAAGACTAAGCAATTTGCTGAACTTAAGTGAACTGAACTGTAGATCTCTTGAGATAGCAAAAATACCCAGAAAGCTAATAGTGACATTATTTGGTGCTCCAAACAGAAAATACAAACATGACATTTTTGTTAAATTTAAAGGTTGCTTTGTCTGCTAGAACCAAAACACAGTAAAGATGTGCTTACAATACAGTTTTGGTAACACAGGATAATACATGCTCGTGCAAATTTGAGTAAGTGCTTTCATAGATTCCCCCCTCACCCCTGAAATGTTTTAATAAATTAGGAATTTCTTAGAATATGCTTTATAAATTAAAGTACATAATGCATGTTTAAATTGATGGCTTCTTGGAGCTTCTCCTGGGATGCTGTTTCTGGACCTGAGGCTAATCTGCTTTTGGCACATAAAAATTAAGAAGCTAAGTTAACTGTATATCGTTTAGCAATAAAGAATGCTAAGTCTATCTCCAGATTTCCCCTTCACTAAGACTGTGACTAAGACTTATTCAGAACAGAACCTAAGAGAAGGACCAAACATTCACATAGGTTTATTTCATTTTAGTCTAACCTAAATAAGAGGGGGACTACCAAAAATCAGGGAAATATGTTTGGGAAGTTGAGACTCTTTTGGAACATGGATGCTGTATTTATGGAGAATACAGTTGAAAGCCTGTTGATCACCCTAACCTTGTAACTTATACTGAAATACTTAAAAGTGCATGCCCAGCCTTAGGCATGGAATTCCACTGATCCCCAAACAGTCACTAGACTTAACATTAAGGGCTGTAGATGTGGGTAAATTACAAGGGTAAGCCAGGGGTATGATAAAAAGAACACCTAAAAAATAATTAAAAAAAAGATTTTCATGCTGTAAATTTATATTACTTAACTTGGCAAAGCAAAACCCAAAATGAAACAAACAAAAAAAACCCCAAACATGTCCAGAAATAGAATTTCTACTGTTTTTCTTCAAAAATGTTCACATGAAACAGGAAACACCAATTCTAAAAATCTAATTTAAAAGTGTCAAAATGTGGCATTGTAGACAAATATTTTGTTACTACAGTAACACACACAGGTCTGAGCTACCTATTGCAGTACCACTTACTCTCTTGCCAGTGCCTCTGCCTACTGGAGGATGTGCTTCAGCAGCTTGTCTGATTGTACACACCATCAGCTCAATAAGAGCACTCTCCTGCCGGTCAGACATTGCTACAGAGGGAAAAGAACAAGTAACATCAGTTCTGATGTGTGTGCAAGACATCTTAAAGAAGACAAATCTGTGAATGCTATTGTAAAACACAGAGAATAGAGAACAACAGAGACAATGTCATTTTGCCCCATTTATCAAACCAAGGATTTCTTGCTTGCTCTTTGAATTACCATTCACACCATCTCAAAATGGATACAGCAGAGCTGAAAAAAGTCCAGGGAAATACAGTCTGGAAAAAGGATGAATGAGGGGTAATATAACAACGATCTACAAAATAAAGAGCATCATGGAGGACAGAGAGTGACTGACTGTTCACTGTCACTTCCTTATAAAATATTCTCACCGTCATGAAGTATTATCTCCCAAAGAACATTGGGTCGCATCTAGAAGATCAAACCCCACTAGGTTACACAGAAACATCTTTTTAAGGAATAATTAGCAATGTTGTGCAATATCAATGAAGTATAGAGGTTAAACAACTACCTTCTTCTCCTTGGACTGGTTCCTCCAAGAGCAATTCTGTCATACATTCCCAGTCTTTCAACAGTTCTTGAGAGCTCTCCCACAAACTGTCCACCAAATAGGCTGCATGTTCATGCAACTAGAAAACCCAAAGCAACCATCAGTACACCATTCTGGTACAGGCAGCAGTTCTTCAACTTTCACAATCATTTGGTCACGGAGAGTGTCCTGGGCATGTATTCTTACGTTAGTTGGAAAGAAAATTCAGTCTGAAACTAACTCTGGAAGTTCTTCTTCCAACTGAATGATACAATTGCATGACAATGGGGATATGTCTTAATGGAAAATGGAATAAACGCAAATTGAGCTTCTCTTCCATAAAGCAGCTTGTCTGTGAAAAATCTTTCTCTGAGTTTTGACCTAGAAGCCGTAAACTTACCTTTCCTCACTTTCTTACTGCATTATAAAAAGGAGAGATGGTGAGACATGAGACTAAGAGAGCTGTAATATACTCGTTTTGAACAGGCATTTATTCTTCACACATGCTGCTACATGCTCAGAAAACAGTAGCAGAAATCCTAGTGACTTCAGCAGGTATAGAATTAACACTAATTTTAACTGCAAAAAATGTTTTTATGTGAATTAACACAACTGTTGTAAAGTGAGAAAAATAATCCATAGACTTCTACTGCTTTATAAACTGATCTTTAACCACTATCAAAAAGTAACAAGCACAAGATGCAGTTCTGATTTGCTTACCAGACATGGGACTGATTCTGTAACTGGAAAGCATCTAAGAGCGTAGGGAAGGAGGTGTCAGTACGTTTACCTACTCTTCTTCTTCTGACAGCTTTGGGCAAAATGTCAGAGCTTACTGATGCTTGTCACAGGTTTACCTATTCCCTCTTCTGAATGTACCCTCTCAAGATTGCAGTGCTTACATCTTCTAGTCCTATGCAGACGGAAACTCCCAATTCTCTAAGTCTTTATTAAAACTGGACTCATAATATTCTACTTTGTTTGTAACAACCCTCTCAAAAACAGCAGTAGCAAAAACTGGCCCTGAGAGAGAGGCGATCTCGGGGAGCAGCGTACGGCTTGCATGGGAAGGCACTTTGCTGATCATGGCTTTGGGAGCAAAGCTGAGTTTCTTTTCTCCTCACAAGGATAGACAAGCTTAACACTATGTAACTTCCAATCACATGCACTCAGATTTAAGGTATTTTCACGAGAAAATACAATGATCTATTACAATCTAAGTTTTTAAGAAGCCGGAGCTAAAAATACATTCAGACAGCAGACTGAAGGCTCACATAGGTAGTGACATTTCATCCAGATTTAACTTGTACGTTTATAAGGCGTTTCTAAAAAATGTTAACACTAGCACTGTACCTGAATGTTATCCTTCCTTCTCAGCATCTCCGATTGTGTTTCTTTTCATCCTCACAGTCAAGTCTCTTTTTCAAGGCTTCATAACAATTAAAATACCCAACTGCAATACCTTTTCCTTTTGCTTTTTACACAAAATACATTACCCTCCCTTCTATAGAGAAACATTTCTGTGATTCCTTTCTTTCACTCTTCCTTTGCCACGTATTTATTACCAAATCAAATGTATCATTTTTAAACCTTTCCCCCTCTATCTTCAGAGCATCCTGTATCTGACAGTTTATCTTCTCAAGTTTTCCTCTACTCCACTGCCATTCCCACCCTAAATTACTATTAGTATGCCTACCATAAAACTTCCCATATATGCTATCTCTACAGACATAAATTATGGGCACATCACATCTCGAATGTATTCATCAAACATTTAATGTCATTGTATGCATGCCTGCAGTCTCCATCCTCCGACGTTTTCAAGATGCAACTGCACAAAGCCCTGAACAACCTCATCTAATCTCACAGCTGACTGTGCTTTGAGCTAATGACCCTCAGGTCCTTTCCACTCTCAATTATTCTATGATTCTAATGGTAATTTGAGATATTATGTAATTTTTGTTCCTTTCTGGTTCAAATGATTTTACCATAATGAGTAACTCCAGAGGTATACTCCTTACATGGTTATCTTAAAAAAAAGAACCAGTTACATTTCTATGTAGCAATGAATCCTAACAGCCACCATACTACCAGCAATGCAGTACTGAGTGCAATGGGGACATGCAAGAGCAAAATAAACCATGAAGAAGATTTTGAGTTAAATTTGCTTGATGGACAAGGAAATGGGGGGCAGGGTAAAGGGCATACAGTATTTCTGGAATTACGAGAAAAAAAGGTAAGAAAGACAACTTGTTACTGTATGCTGATAAATCACTACTTAAGTTCCAGGTTTTATTAAACATGAAATGTTAAAAATGAATTTTTTACCTCACTTTCAAGAAAGAAAAGAACCAACATTCTAATAAGGTTTCCATTTGGACTATTTCGTCCCCTCCTCTTTGCTAGAGCCTCTTCAGCTTGGGGATCATGTCTGCTGAACAGTCTAAAAATAAGCAAAAGGAGCTATCACGTTTATCAAAACAAATCTCATTCCTGCAACAATATGATGAGCATTCATTCTTGATATAGTAGATTTGTTCATAAAACATAGTGAAAGTATCTCAAGCTATTTCTTTCAAGGGAATTTCATGACCTCTACCTGTCTGAAGAGATGAATTTATCTTCAGAGACTTCAAGTTCATAGGGCTGGAAGAATTTCACACAGGAAAATGCTCTCCAAAACATATTTATATTGAAAGATTTTGCACAGTTTTATATATTTGCACAATTTGTATAGTTTTGCATTTTTAACTTATCAAGTCTTACAATGGTGGTAGCACTTATTCCACTAGTGCCTTAAGAACTAAGGTTGTATCTTCACTGTGGTCACGCTGACTGGGATATGGTATAAACAAACTTGACATCCCATTAAACAACCAACCTCAGGTACCAGTAGCAGCATAAAGGATAAAGCAAGCTACCAGTCAATTATTTGGGTTTTTTTTTCAGGTGAATTATACATTCTGCATTGAGTTCCCTGATGCATGGCTAATTCCAAACTACTCTCAATGCTCAAATTTGCTAGCTTAAAGAGATCTCAGATGTGTCTACATTACAGTTAGAGCAATGATTGTTTCACTTCGAGAAGTTTGAAAACTGTTCCTTGCTTTTACAGTGAAACCACAGTCACAAAGCAAATTAGAAATGTGAAACACAGTATTCTGATTTCACTACTATAATTCATTGAAAATAGAAGGATGAGTTACACACAAACGTATTTTAGTTAAAGATATCACCTTTCCCCCCCTGCCTATCTTAACAGATAAGGAATGAGCACCTCTGCAGGTAACGAAATGTCTTAAAATATCCACCTCGGGGTTGAGTCAGTGATCCTCTCTATGATTTGCTTTCCCTTACTAACTACAGAGAGAAAGTCTAATGACTAGCTTACACATAGAAAGTGATATTTAAATGCATAAAATTAGGCGAGATAAATCCCACCTCAAATGCCTCAAGCAGATTCTAACTTATTTAAAATGGAGCACGTGTTAGCAGATACCATGAGAAAACGAGTGTTAGGAATGGGACAATCTTCTCTCAATGCTATTTACCTTGAGAGACATTTATAGAACACAGCATAGTATCTGGTTGTAAAGAAAAGTTAGAATGAAGTTTCATCTTTGCACTAAGTTCTCTAAAGTGCAGGTATGTCTTCAAATTCATTTATGTTCGAGGCAATTTTCAAAATTATTTTGTCACATGTTGATTAACAAGAGAATTTCAGTATATCTTTTGAAAAAGAACCTAACCATTTCCTAAAACATCATGTAGGAAATTAAATGTAACTGAATTTTGTAAATTAACTCCTTGAAACAGATAATGCCCGATCACAGAGATGGAACTCCAGAAATCCACCAACAAAAGCTTACAAATTACAGTGTGGACTTTTAAATCACTAATAAACCACAGAAAACTAGAACACTGGCAAAGGAAAACTGATGTTTTTACATGATTTTTTTCTGTTGTGTATCTTGGCATGGAAAATTATATAACCTGCATTCTGATATATTAAAGCAACATCACAACCCATGAGGGGAAAAAAAGAAAATTACTGCTAAAAGACTTTTAACTGCAAACACTAAAGTGAAAAGGTTAACTACTATGATGTGGCAATGTCCTGGTCATAGTTACTGATGTGGTATGATTCACATCCATGGAAAAGCTAGCTCATTTCCTTTGGCATCCATGGAAAAGCTAGCTCATTTCCTTTGGCATAGTGGATACATGAAAGATGTAACTACGCTGCAATGTATTTTTAGGGGAAGTCAGTATGTTTAGAAACAAATTTCTTAATTATTACTACATAAAAACCTCTCAAGTTCACAACTTTGAAATAAACTGGTTTAAAACTTCGTAAAAATAGTGACTGCACTATCAGGTAGACCATCGGGGGGTATAGGCCCTATATATACTATCACAGGATTTAAAACAGAGAGGTTTATGTAGCCTTTTATATTTAGCCCTTTATATTTAGTTAGGAGAAGTTTTCTGAATTCTAGAGCAAGGAAAATGTAAATCCAGCTTCTTCAAGTCTTTAGGTCTTGAATTTAGAAGAGAGAGTAAGTCTGTGTTTTAAATTAAATACCTGATTTGCTAAATTGGCATATTTCACTCTATTGCTTCTTTGCCTTTTGGTCTTACCTCTACTAGGAAGCATCCACAAACCTGGTCTTATTCCAGAATAACTGGTAACTTACTTTTTGTGAAGGAATTCTCCAGCTGCTACTGCAACAGGCCGGTGTGCTGAATACACCAAGTGATAAACATTCTCACAGTCTTCATTCGACAGAGCTTCTTCACTTCCACTGAAAGAGTCAGAAAGTAACACCTGAACTAAAACAAACGTTTAATTTCAATCCCCTCACCTCCGATAACCTTTTACAGCTACAAGATTGATTTCCTTCATACAAAATCGTAAATGGCTGAACACTGACTTCAAAGATCTTTGGTTCAATTTCCAAATACAGAGACATTTAAAGGGTCTGTGAGACTTGAAAGATTTCCTTCTCTCAGTTGTATATATCTATATACATATAAAAAATACTACTATGAAAAAAATGTCACTGCTGCTTACAAATCTTTCCCTGCTTAATCACTTAGCCCACCACACTAACTACAATGCACATATTGCAAGATGCCCAACACTCATTATCAAACATTATTAAGTTAAAAACCTAGAACATTACATGAGGAAAATGTAATTGCTTGCTTAAACTTATTTGCTTCTATAGCAATGTCTGTTTGCTTTCAAAGCTTTTACTTTTTAAAGCATTCAAATCTGGGACTTGGAAAACCTGCTTCAGCCTCCTGGCCCACTCCATTCTCAGAAGTTAAGTCTTTCCACGTGACAGTCCACGTGCTCGTGTGTGCTGCGGGGCAGGAGGTGCCTCTCTGCTGGCCTGGAAGTAGGAAGGAATATTCCTAATTCCAGCTGCTGAAGGGGCCAGGCCAGGTGGATAAAATTGCCTCAGCAATGGGAGAAGGCACAGAAATGCTCTGGACATGGGCAGTAGAAAACTAAACCAGATGAGGCCACGAAGTGGGGACACGGAACTAGCACTGTGCATCCACCAATCAAATCAACACATAATCACTTTAGGATTGAATCATGGTGTGCATTTAGAATTACAATAATGCTGATAGAATAAATTGTCCATCACTTTTAACGTAGTTATCGTGCTGACTAGATATAGACTTTATTTTCAACATCAAGGAACTGAATCTGATCATACCCTGGCTGGTGCTGGATGAAAGATGATCTAAAGTTTATTTTCTATAATTATCTATTGACAAGAACAAGCCACCTTTTACCCTTGTCTTGGGTAAAGGACATAGTTGGGGCTTCTGCAGTTTCCGAGCTCAAGGTAGATTTTGTGTTTGAGTTTTCTGAAACTCAGAAAAACTTGCATTTTTCATCAGTATTCTTGAAAAATGCTATGAGCCATGGAACAATTATATTCCATCAATGATATAAAAAATATCACCACTGTTGCATACAGGAATATTATTTCCCTCCTTGTATAGTCAGCATTCATCAGAAACATTTATGTATCAGGACTCTGTACATCTTTTGGCTTCATACTACAAATAATTTTTAATTGGTCATTCCCCATCATGATTGTTCCTGACATCTTTTTGGAGTTACTACCTGCAGAATATTGCCCTGTGCTGTTCAACGTGACCCATATTTTTCTGCTAAATGCATTTAGCTATGTTTTCTTCATGCAACCAAAGAGAAAATAGGACATGAAAAAAAAGGTGCACTGGACAATTTTTGATGTAAAATCTTACTGTGTTCCCAAACATTGCTAATAATGTAGGGAATAGATGTGTTCTGCATCTCATTCGTGATCATATTTGTCATATTTGCTTTAAACATGTAACAGTATGAGATTTCCTTTCTTCCTAATATCACAAGTCTAATATCTGTAAAGCAGAGTGACTCATAAGTAAAAAAATGAAGTCCAGACTTCTTTACTAAGAGTAAAAGCTAGTCTAATCTTTCATTCAAATTCTGCATGTCCAAAAACGTTCTTCAAAGTGGAGCCACTGGATATAAAGTATGATGCAGAAACTCTATGCATCTGTTTGTAAAACAGATTTTCTTTAACATATGTTTTAATGAATATATAATAAAAGCTTAGCAGTGCTCCTCCAGCAGCACACTCATGAGGCTGCTGTGGACAGGGTGGTTCAAACAGTCAGCATGTGGGATGATCTCTGGACTGGATCTTTGCCTCAGGGAAGCCACTGCATCTCTGTAAGAAAAAGTTGGGGGCCTACAGGCATGTCTCCTCCTAAATGGCCGAATGTTTAAAATTGCAAGCTACCACTGCCACCTCCACATAACCCAAACAAGGGTGTTGAAGCTAGCATCTCTTCCCTGTCAGCTTACTTACCAGATGACTCCTATTCAGCTGTGCCAGGTAATCAAATCTCCTAACACTGGATCTTTGCTTAGTTACTGCTAGAATTATTTTAGCAAATGTAACCCACAGATACTTGTTTTGGGGCCTTGGCAAAAGGTACAAATGTCCTCTGGCATTGTTCCACAACAGTGGATGCACTAACAGGTTCAATACACCAATACATTTTTATGCTTTACCTATTGTATTTCCATGAGATGGAATATCTTATTTTAGCTTCATGACCATATTATTACATATTCAGTTCAACTTCATACTAAGTGTAAAGTAACAGATTCACTCCATTACACAAGCAACCAAGTCAATTAAATATTACTGGCTTAGGTAACTTTCAAAGCGAATATACAGGTTTTGAAAAATACTCACTGAAGTATTAGCGTGACTAATCGAATGGCTTCCACAGCTACATCATATTCCTTATCAAGTGTCATTGATACAATGCGATCCTGAAAAGGAATTTTATTACAGTGACAAAACAGAAACACACAAACAGCTGGATGAAGAATTCAATAGATTACAAAACAAATACTCTTGGGGAGAGAGATCTTTCAACTAGACACATAACAGCCCTTTAATATTATTCAACCATTTAATGTACATCTTAGGAAGCTGTGCGCTATATGCAGAACAGAACAATAGGCAAGTACACAGGAATGAAAACAAATGCTTAACGAACAGTCCTTATCCTTGTCTGTTTTCCAGGAAACAAGGAAGCCGACTTTGGAGTGGAAGCACTGTTCTGGACTGATCTTATTTATCAGTTCTTTCCTGAAAAGGAATGTACTTGAGTTGGATGACAGCAGAAAAATTGCCTCGCTTCATCCCCCTGAAAACAAATAATTTTAGAGCAATGAATGCTGCATATATGCTTATTTGGAAATACTGTGAAGAAAATCACTGGATATATGCACCTGCATATTGCCTATAAAGTTGTGGCCTTTATACCTGGCTACATCTTAAGGTTTGAAGCTGATCTCAAGAATTACACTACAGACCTTCCACAGGAAAGTGGGAAATTCCATGTTTGACTTTGTATTTTCCTATACTCTTTCTAGTGGAGACAAGCACGCCACTTTCCAGTCAAATCTAATGATTTTATAACTTCTGAAGACCCTATAGTTATGAGAAGTCTCCTAAGGGTTTCTTTCTCCTTAGTTTCAGTTTGCTTACTGGCAACCAAAAATAGATGTGATTAGTGTATGTTGTCCTTCCTATCTGGGGAGAATTTCTATCCATCCATAAAAATGCAGTATGTCTTGATGTTCTTTGCTTGACTGATCAAGTTAATGAAAAGAAATTGGGCCATCTGAAAATAAAACTTGATTTCTGTGGCTTGACCTGCTTCAGGATGGACTAGGTACTATATGACATTTTGGGATGTGAAAATTAGAAGTCAGGGACTGGAAAAGAAACAAGGGAAGTGTTAGGAAACAACAGTGAAAGTCAACAAGGACAAATCAGGACAAAATAAAGGTGTTCAACTCTTTTCTCTACTATTCTGGGCTTTAAAGGCTGAAGGTGAGTATAAAGAAACTGATGCTCATTTCAATATTGAAATTCAGGAATAGTATGTAAAGAATGCATTGTAGCTGCCTCAAGTGTTACCGCTCAACAAAAACAGGTTTGTAGAGATACTTTGTGCCACTATGACTGAATGCACCTCTCAATCACCATTAAGTTCCTGGGAAATTTGATGCATTTAACTGCCATACGTAGACAGTTTGAGAGACTGCGAGAAGTTCACGAAGAGACTCAAACAGTGAAATAACTTTCCAAACAGGAAATTCTGTGTATGGACAAGACAAAAAAATTGCTGTCAATTTTTCCTAAGGTCCTGGCCAAGGAACGACAACTAATAACAACAACATCAAGAGAAAGAACAGCCAGAGATATTGATCTTAAAAGTTTCAGTGGAATTTCATATACTCCCTCAAAGTGTATCTTAAACTCCAGGATACCACAGGGAGGGAACTAACTGCACACGAAGGAGTGAGCACGTAAGTATAAAACTCCTCCTACATCTCTGAAAAAAGCCTGGAAGGGAAGGGATCTTCTCTCCTGCCTACAGAGCAAGAGGTACTCTCTGAATTTGGAGCCCTTTTGGACTTTGAAACCGACTGATTCAACAATGTTTTCTTATCCAAAAAGACCGTTCTCTCCTCTCAATTTTTCCCAGAAACATCAGGCTTAAAATAAACAGTATGGATGCGTCATTTCTTATTTTTTGCCTTGGTGCCAGGATCTCTGTGTGATGGCACCTGCCAGCCAGGCACCAAGATCCTTGAAAATGAGACCTGAACTCCTAATGCCTCTGGAGGTGTAACTTCTGTGCTGTAGTAAGGTACAAACCCCAGCTGCTCAATCTGCTTTGTCAGACATTTCCTGTGCCACTGTACAGCAGTAGAATAGGACACATGCCTGTATTTATAACTTGAAATAGGAATTTTCACTGTCTATGAAGATCAGTTTGCAATTATGTATTAGGCTTGAACAAGGCTGGCTGAAGAGCAAATCTCTCTCCTTTTGCCTCTCAGGCCGTGGAGACAGCCCTCTCCTGCAAAGGGTCAGGGATGAAGGACAGGAATTAAACAGCTGCTTCTAAACCTGCTGGTGTCTTGACTTTGGCACTGACCGCAAAAGAGCTAATGCACATCTTTTCCATACAGCTTCAGTTACCGTTTGCATCAAACAGGACTTCCTGATGGAAAAAAAAAGTCTCCTCTTTGATGGACAAAATTTTTTTTGATGGACAAAGCTCATTTTCTAGCATATCAGCTACTCCTAGAAACACAAACAAATGCTGGAAAGAACACATGTCTTTCCTTTGGAGAAGTGACATTATCAGATCCTTGTCACAGCTATCAGGAAGGTGGTGAAATATTAACACCCCAGTACAAGTCATTCTGGATCAAATTAATTTATACTTTAAACAGCTAAAAGATCTCTAGAGAGATTCCTCTTGACAGTTTGAATGGATTGAGCTGAATACCAGCTGAACTGTGCAGGTCGATTAAAGTCTGATGAGGAAATATAAATAAGCAGACACGGAACTGAGAACGGCATTTAGGTCAATTATTTTTCAGGGGGTGGTGGCAGAGTTTGTGGTGGCAAGACATTTAAGTAATTTATCACAGATTCAAAAAGCATTAATTTGAAACTTTGCTCCATCCTGGTGCCAAAGGCCGCATCCCTGTCAGCACAGCTGTAAATCCAAGTGCAGGCATTTGGGCTATGCCAGCTTTTTGTTCTCTTGATGTGGCTGGAAACTGAAACTGATAAATCATCCTATTAAACGTATCTGTTCTCGAGGCTCACAGAGACTTTGAACTCACCTTTTCTCTAATTTATTTCATAACAGCTTTAATGGAACAGAAGAAAGACAAGGATTCCTAGCAGGGTTTCCCCTTCCTCTGAATGATTTTCTTCATTGACAGAAATGAAAATTCCCTGTGCCATTCTAAACCAAGCAGCAATGCACAGGCTAACCTGACTTCCTCTAACAAAGAAAATTGTCTATACTGTGAAAAAACCCAGGAGGAAGTATTTAGAGGTTTCACGTTCCTGCAGTTTTTTGAAGTACATTGTTGAGTAACTATTTCTCAAAGTGCCTCCAATCGTCCTGAAAAGGTTTTTCTGGTGGATGGGACAGGTTCAGACTCAAAGCAGCATTTTCTCTTACGAATTATAGGAGGCTAAATGAGAAGCATCCAGCACATTTTCCAGTAAAGAGAAGCAGATATAGAGACCATGAGAGTTTTAGTGGCCTATTTAAAAATAAATCAAATTACAGAAGGAGCAAATATAAACAAATCCATAAGTCTGCCCAGATGGAACGAGAAAAGCAGCAGAGTTGGAGGGTTCATTTTTCTGGAGAGTTAACTAGTATTTTTTGTTGTCCTGAGATGATAAGCAAACCAGACTGATGGAGGCATTACAGAAGTAGTCTGAGGTCTGAACCTGTTTGCCAGGTTCTCTTCTATGAGAGAAAAATTTGTCTTTACTGTAATAGTCCCAGAAACTGACTTTATAAAATTAGAAGAATATAGGCCCTGAAATGATCTCACAAAATGATCTAGTTTCATCTCCCACTTTAAAATCAAGTACACCTAGTTCATTCCTGACATATTTATTTAATCTCCCCTTAAAAAATCTCGAATGAAGGAGATTATTAATAAAGAGTCGGTTCTATTATATAACTGTAATTTTGGACAGAAAGCCTTCCTCAATATTTAGACTTTACTGCAGTTTAAGTATCTTTTTTCTCCATCTCAAGTGAATGTGGTAAAAGTCTGACTACCATTATATTTTTATGGATTGTTTACATACAGGGAAGATATGACAAGTTTTCTGTATTTTGTGCTTTCCTAGATCAAACTGGAGGAGTTAATAGTAACTGCAATGACAGACAAAACCAGTGAAGCAGTATCAAATCTACAGTGAGACGTTTTTAAGTCTCAGGCACAGTAGTTATTTATGAGTATTTAAGTCTCCACTTCTTTTCTAAACAGAATTTTTCATCAGCATTATAATCGTGATTTAAACGAAAATAAATGAAGTTAGTCTTTCCTTGGGGGGTAGCCTTTACCACAGTTCTGTGTTCTCCAGAACACAAAAGCCGTGGTAAAAGGTGCCAACCGACGTGGTGACAGTGTCTGAAAGCTTTCCTCGCAGAGTATCCAAACAGAAGCAATGACAGTATTTCTACACTCATCTCTCCAGATACTTCACTTGTGAAATAAAGCAGTCATGCCACAAAGTGAATTAACAGCCACATTCTCATCAAGATATTAAGCAAAAAGTCAGAGTGTTTGGTAAAAAAACCCATGAAATATTCCTCCAGTATCCTGTCTCCTGAACAGGACGATCATGCTCAGGGGTTTGTCTAAAAGCAGAATGTAAACTCCTGTTCTGCAGCAAGGTATTTCACTGTGTAGAATATTGTGATGCCGATCAAAGTATCTCCTCCTCCAAACACAAGCACATATTCAGCTAAAAAGCTGTCTTACGAACCATCTTTTGTTACAGGCTGTTACTTTCAGATGTATTTTAGATTGTGTGAAACACCCAGTACACATCCTTAAAATTCAATAAATCTAAAAGTAAGTAAGTACAAGCAGGTTGAATAATGACAATGTATAAACTATTAATAATACAAACAGATAAATAATCATCCTGGCCAAACCTGACAAATCTTACAAGATAAAGACTGTAAAATTAATTTGGCTTAATCTCAGCATTCAGTAATACAGTTTTACTACTGCAGTTACAAGCCATGTCACAAACAAATGAGTTTATTTTTGCATTTAATATACATGACTCAAAGACCGCAACAGGATGAGATAGACGATACTTTTATTTTCTGTACTCCTTCCAAAAATTGTATTTCCTCTTACCTTGAATCTATTAGTGAACAGCTCCAGTTTTGGAAATAACTCTCTGTTGGTATACAGACTCTGAAGAGCTTTCAAACACTTCAACCTCACTTCACCTTGCTAAATAAAACACACTAAGATTAGCTGATAGAATACCCTAATCAAATGCACATGAATATTAAATAATATCATATTGTAATTTGCTTAATGTACATTTAAAATTTTATGCAAATGAGTTACCAAAGCCAATTTGCAATTCAGCTAAAAACCAAAAACCACATGCAGCTGCCTACAAACAATGTTAAATTTTCTCCCTATTTGCATATATAAAGAATTTAATGTGCCATCAGTTAAACGTCTGTTACTGTTTCCCTTTCAAGTAACTCCACAAAAAGATAAAGAATGTAGCAAGTAAATACAAAATAAAGACGTACGATCTCAAGGTAGTTGGTGAAAAGACAGTGCAGCTATTTATCTTTAGGAAAGAGAATACAGGTAACTTCTGCCTGATATCTGGCGTTTACAATCAACGCACAAGCGTTCAAAGTGATTGAGCACGGGCTGCGTGTAGCCCACTCAAGAAACTCCGCCATCTCCGAGCATTGTCTTTCCTTTTCCCAGGGACAGAAGGAATACACGCTGGATTTATTATTCTGAAATTTTCTGCAGCCCATCTCTCATTGTAGGACAGGCACAGGCTGAAGGATGCAAAAGGCCTGAGACCCTCCAGTGCGGAGCAGGCTGCTGCCACAAGAACAACGCATCCAAGCCGCAGCCTGAGGAGCCCTCGGGGAGAAAAGCAGCTTGTGTCCGTCTGCCTGAGTTGTTCTGGTGGCGGCAGCTCATTCCCAGCTGCCCTTTAGATGGGGATTGCTTTGATCTGGTGAGCTGCAGGCAGGAAACGTGGGTGCCACGAGACAGCGCCTACGGATCAGGGTTTGCTGCCTACGGGAACGCTGATGACAAAGAGAAGGGCTGGATCCCCTGGGCACGGGCACATCACCTGGCCGGCTGCAGACGCGCAACTCGGCTCAACCGCACAGTCTTGGCGAACCATGGATTCTTGTTGAAAAATATTTGTAGATAGCAAAAAGGTTATCAACACAAATCTGCTCAAATATAACCTGTAGAGTTCACTGCAGTGTGAACTTACTTTTACGAAAGCGAGTACACTACCAAGTCTAAGGCCTTAAGCTGCTCAAGAACTAACATAAACTATTGAACTTTATAAATAAAACTCCATACCCAGAGGGCTTCATTTCTGAGCCTGTCTCTTCTGTAATTGTCTGTATTTAAAAAACTGAAAGAAAATTCAGAACATTTTACTGACACAAAAACAGAAGCTAAAAATCCTTATTTTTAAGTTTCTTTCCTCCTTCCCACCTATTTCAAAAATTGAAATAGATGATAAAAGAAGGACAGAAGTTGAAAGGAGGATTTTCAGAAGAACTTTTCCTGGAAGAACTATTGTTCCTGAGAAATCATCTCTCTATACCTGTGAGGAGTGTCTGAGCACTCATGCTCTCTTGTAGGGATCTTCTTGACTACCAATGCAGAGGAAGTCAATGAGATGAAAGTTATGTTTAAAGGATCTGTCATAAGATCTTTCAAGGTACAGAAAAGAACTTGCTTGAAGAAAAAATTTATATGGATGTGACCAACTACTAAACAAGCACAGAGAAATGCTGCTTGTCATTCTTCTTTTAATGGTACCTATGTTGCAGTACCAGAAATGGTGTCTCCTCTGCTGTGTGGCATTCAGAAAGGCCAGGATCTCTGGAGTCATCACTCATCATTAGAAGAGGATGTCAGGCTCTTAAGGCCTCAGCTTATTTAGCCACAGAGGATCAGTATCAGTTTTGGCACGTGATGAACACTACGGAGCAACAGTGAGATACCAGGTTTAGTTACAGCTCCATTGAAGACTGTCCTGCTTGTGAGCAGACGGCTTGTTATTCAGCCAGTGCTGTAGTCCCAAAATGCAAAACTCTGAATTGGTTAGGTACAGAAAAAAAATCAGTGCCAACAGCAATGAGACTTGAGACCTGTGCACGTAAGGTGGAGTCCAAAGCCCTTGTGGACTTCACCGAACACCATGGATCAATGGTTCCAGAGTTAAGTTCAGGCCTGATACTGAGGGTCTCTATAAGTCTCAAGTGAGCAAATCAGGCAAAGTAGATAGGAAGCAAACCTGCGAACATTTGGTACTTGCATGGTTTGCCAGGAGACTGAAGCCAGATGCTAACAAAAGCATACCGAACCAGGCTACCATCCTCCTGCCGCTCACCAGACCTGAGGCAGAAGACAAGCGACCGCAGGAGCAGGTGAGGAAGAGAGAAAGGTTGTGTTACACCTGGTCCCTCCAGCTGAGAGCAAAGGCCCAGGAGACACACAGGCAATCCCTGGAAATGACTGCCTTTCTTGGCAGACAAATGAGAGGAGGAGGACTTTCTCTGATAGCAAAAAGATCTGGTTTTTAAATTGTTGGTCAAGGATAGAATTCATCTCTTTGGAGAGGGAAGAGCCCCTGCACATCAGCTTGCTAATCCTATTAAGAAGGTTTTAAAATACAGTCAGCGGAGATTAGTGACAGGAACCCACGGGGAGGCATAAACAGCAATGACCTGGACAAGAACCTAAGAAAGGCAGAAGTGAAGGTGTACACAGAAACACTGCACACGAGTCCAGAATGGAGGAGATGTCCCACAGACCATCAACATGCCGGACACGAGATGCTTCCTAAGTAACTATGAGAATCATCCAAGTAACATGAGCTTTTAACACCCCAAACACTTTTTGGGGAAAGAAACACAGCAGAAATTTCCTACCTAGCAAGGAAGTAAGGGGTGGGAATGCTAAAGTTAGGGTAATTCCTAGGAAACTTATGCTGGGGTAAAAGCTGCAAACACAGTGATGCAGAGCAAGGACAGGAAGAGACTTACTTAACTGAGAGATGAACTTATTTAACAAATTAATTAGGAGGTCAAGCATAAGAGGAATACAAAAACCAGAAGGAAGTTAAAATAAAAAAAAGCCTGGGCACAGTATGGAACGGACACAAGAGGTAATGAAGAAAACTGTATGTAAATATCTTTGTAGCACAACAAAGAAAAGTTCGTTTGCTTTGAAGGAAAAGGAGAAAAGTAATTGTCACTTTTTATGTGTACAGTGGGTAGGAAAAGAAATAGTAAATTAAAGTTACAACACAGACTATTTAGCTTATGCGAGGAAGAACTTTTTAGCGGCAAACATAGTCAAGCACTCAACTGCTACAGAAAGCTGTGGAAAAACCAACACTAGAGGTTTTTTTAGAAAATATGACTGTCTGTGAGAGACACTGTGGATATACAGTGAACTCTGTCTTAAGCAGGGAAGGAATAAGCAAAAATATTTCCCAGACTAGATTTTGGCCACATTTTCTGCAATTCTGAGCTGAAGTTCACAGTGAGTATGAGTCAACCTAAGGCAGCAAATATTTGCAACCACGCAATACCTTTAATTCTGTTAAAGAAAACAAGTATCACTTTCCAGCTATTTTTGTGTAGTCACATCTATGCTTTACAGACAGAAAGAACGTATCTGAAAGGAACACCTTGCCATTTTCTACGAAAATAACAGACAAAATATTTGCATTATCAGCATTCTAACAACTAAGACCTTCCATTCTCCTGAGTTTCATCTTCCAGAAAAATATACTTACTTGGGGTTTTGTCCAATTTATAATTGTGACACTTAATTATTGCAGAATCCTGAATCCATCCACACTGTCATCGGCTCTATGAATGCCTCTTTCTCCAATCTAATTATTCCTGTAATTTCCCTTCTCTCAAAGTGTTTTTAGATATTTATATATTTTTATTATTTTTGTTACATAAAATTCTTTTTCATGAATATGAGAAATACCTTGCAGTAATACTTAATTGTTAACGCTTTCTTTTACTTGCAATTTGAAATTAGAACCTAAAACAAAAACATCAAATGTTTACCAACACTGTTAAAAGACAATCATTTCTCATATTTTCCCTATTTTTGTTGAGAAAATCCTCCAGACGCTTCTGAGTTTTGAGCAAGAAATTGTTACTGCTGCTAATGAAACAAAAAGCAATACATACACCTTTCATGCCAGCAGTGTGGGGTAGTCTATATTTGCCTGGGAGAGTCATGCTCTACTCAAAATTCTCTTTAATATGGCAGACCTGTGAAAAAGAATCCACCCTGATGGAAGCACACCATTTTCCTGTTTTTTTTACTCGCTAATCACAGGACTTGAACCAACAATCTGTAACTCTTGTGTGAGTCTCACAGTGATCTATAGCCTGGCATCCAGCCAGCTTAGATTCTTATTAATGTTCCACATTGTTGATACTTTTGAGTATTAGTTCGCCATCTCCCAATGAGACTTCTCTTAACGCTCAGGGATACGACAGCTCCAGAAACGGTGATTAAAGGTGCACTGCTACGCGTCAGCTCACATGCCAGACGAAGGCTTAGATCACACAGAAATGATGACTTTTTGAGCCCCCAGAAACACAGTTGTAAGTATTTTTTAAGTAGGGTAGTCAAGAGAGCCAGCAAAGCCATTTCTCTCTTCTCACACTTCATCTTTCTTCTTCTGCATTTTTCCAATTCTTTTTTGGTGGCTAAGGGTATTCTGCTCTTTTTTAAAATTTATCAGGTTTTAATAATAGATAATGAATTTGCTCAGCTCTTTGCCCTACCATGTTTCTGCAGACTGCACTGTTTGGTTTTTTTTCCTCTTGTGTAGAAAAATGACCTAAATTACTGGGTATCTTCAATCCCACAGTTTATGGGATGACCATAATATACTGTGTTGCATTTTGATGCTCTAGGGTGGTGTATTTTGAGGTAATCTGCTGCCTAGTGACAGAAATAGTTACACTGCGAGAGAGAAACAGATGGAAATGTCCTGCAGCACATTAGTACCTATGGCAAGAGTATTCCTGGCAGGAGCAAGGAGTTGTGCTCTGTCTGCACAGGCCTGCTCAATACCATTTATGAAGATACTGTGTATCATTTGATGCATTTTTTTTTATTTTCTCAAGCTTTCCCAAAACTAAGGAAATTAGGTACCAAGGAGATAATATAAAGTTAAACATTCAGAAGTTTGGAAAAACTACAATTTCAGTTTCTATATAAACTTAATAAAAACAAGTTCTATTTTTTCACCCTTGTAAGTTAGGATGCCATCATGATGAAGTATTCAAATACCATCTGTTCCAGAGGACCCCGGGTTCACTCCTTTCACAGAAAGTAGACGCATGCAAAGTAGGAAAAGGCATTTTCTTATGTGTTAGGAAGTGGTTTAAGAACCATGACTGTCTAGGTATCTAGAGACACAATTATGGTTTCAAAACAGTGCCATGCATCAATGAGGCAGGTGAAAATTAAGACTGGACAGTCTGATTTAAGACTTTTTTTTTTTTTTAAAGAGGTTTTTTATGCAATTATATTATAGTTTTATATATATTTTAATTTATGCTCCCAGATCCACGGGAATGAAAAAGAAGCTTAAAAGGGAAAGAAAGGCAGAACTAGAAACCAATATTCAAATGAGAAAGTAATCTAAAAAAACCAAAAAGCCCTATAGACATTCATCTGAAATCTGGGAAAGACAGGATTAACGTACAAAATATACAGATTTCCCAAATTAGAGAACTAAACTTCTGTATCCTACCTCTGAAAGACTACACTGGAGTTACTACAAAGAAGTGTAAGAACTGTGTCTTCCCTGTGATTTAATTTGTGTCTTCTGAAGTAGGATATGAAACTGCTCATTAATGTCTTGCACTGCTGCCTCCTCTCTTTTCTGTGGTAGCAAGCTTCCAGAGAAGTTAATAATTTTGGGGTGACTTCTGTTCATATGAAATGGAAATACCTTATGACTATTGCCTCAGCCTTCATTTTTTCAGTATTTTAAGCACTGATCATAGAAAAAATTATTTCCTGATCAAAGAAAAGCAAAATCAAGAAACTTGGGTACCGGCCGGCAAGTTTTTCAGGCAGTGCCAATGAAAGCCATGCTGCTAAGGGATCTTGTACTTTTTGGATGGTTTGCATTTTTAATTGATTCTTATTCCATCTTTTTTCAATGTATTTTCCCATTTCACCTCCTTCCTCCTTTCTGTGCCTCCCCAAACGTCTCTTTCTCTCCATTCTCTCCCTTTTCATCCTTTGACACATGGCCCACCTGCCTCTGACTCTTCCCCTATTCTACTTACAATCTGTCTCACTCTATACATTAAACATACACTACATCAATAAAGAATATCACATATCATGTATATCAGGATATTAAACAGATTAGCTAGTGATTTAAAGACTGAGAACCCCAAGGCTCTTCTGAGGCCCGCAATGATAAATATTACAAAGCAAGCAGAGGCAGAAGAGTAGCCTGATAGAATTCTTCTGTGACTGCTCCAGATGGAAAACCATTTTTTTTTACCATAACACTGTAATTTAAAATTTGTCTGATATGAAAGAACATATTAATTTTTAAAAAGCTGAGGTAAAAATATATGTTAAGGCTGCAGGCAGATGACTAGAGCCTGGCCTGAGGTTAAGCTAACTGAAGAGGATGTGAAAAACTATTGGACACGACATGAGAAGTTGCTGGATGTGACAGATAACAGTGTGAGAAGCTGACACCAGACTGCGCCGTGAGGAACGGCTGGATTTCACAGATGGTTAAAGGGAGTTATGTGAGAAATGGCTGGACTTCACAGATACTAGAATGGGACCGAGAGCTGAGAAGTGCAACGCTACTAGATTCTGCTCTCCCATTGGAAGTGCTACTTTGCGGAAATGTTCTGCGAGGATTAGAATGTGCTTCAAAAAATCCACTGCAATTATTCAAGGGATAATCTATTTTTAATTAAAAGCCCTAGTAAAATAAAGCCCTCCACCACACCTAAAATCCTAATCCTCCAACCTGAGTTGACCTCCCCACTGATTTGATAACTTGAAGCAACGATCTCCACCTCCTGAAGAATGCCTACTAGTGAGGCACACCGATGTTAAAAATGAGGTACACAGATGGAGCAGCATCTCAAAGCACTGTGATGGCCATGTTTCCATGTCCAAGCTTTAATGACAGGAAGTGTTATGCGGAGTAAACAGTGGTCATGGTTGATTGTAGCAGTAAGCAGGATCTTCCTCCTGATCAAGTTTTGTAACAATGAGATGTAATGTAAAAGTTTGGGGAAAGTTTGTAAAGTGAAAGTTTGAGAACTACAGGTTTAGAGAGGAAAGATGTCACATACCTAGTCTCTAAAGCATATAGCATACTCTTAACAAGTAAATTGCTGGTCCAAATCAAGGTAAGATGCAGATCCTTGTCAGCTATAGCTAAACAAAAGAACCAGCGGCAGCTAACTTCTTTCCTCAGCAAAAGCTAACATCTTTCTAACTGATCTCATTCAGACTTCAGCAAAAGAGTGACTGAGTCATATCCTCAATGACAATATGCTGTCCGAAGTTACTGAAGAAATCATCTTTTTAAAGAATCAGCTATTAACTACCAGTTATGCAAGTCATCAGAATGAACTTGCAAACTTTTAATTTTTTCCAGTAGTGCTTCTAGAAAAAAAGAAAAGTCTGAATCAGGGTGCTGGAATTTAATGAGCATTTCAACAGCACAGGTACGTCTCATCTGTTTTCCTTGGACAATGTTAGCAAAAGACTTCAGAGTAAAACAAGTGTTTCTAGTGGTTTTGGTGAGAGTGGAAGGACAGTTAGTCCCAGTTGCTGCCTGGTATACAGTCAGAAGTGCAAAGTCCTGTTCTATTAGTGTTAGGAATGGGCTACTCTTGCTGCAGGAACTGAGTGGTACTTAGGCCTGTTGCCACCCAGCAGAGGCATGTTGTGGATACCATCAGTACGAAGAACTGTGGTGAGATAGGAAAGAACCTCTGGATATAAATCTTTTTGCTTCCACCTGGCGTTTCAACAATTTTTTGAAGAAAAAGCTAAAGAGAACCTTGAAGAGATTCTTCAAGGGAAAATGAATTGATGAGAACTCCACTGGTTGTGGAGCCAGTGATGTCTGTTGGGGTCCCAGAGATGTTCTCTTCCCTCCAACTGTTGGGCAATGTAAATGGAAGACACATCTGGAACTCTCTTTTCCACCCTGCTTCAGACACAAAGGTTCTCAGGGATGATCAGAGGAGAATTCTGTTTCTCTTGTAATCAGAAGAAAAGCACCATGGAAACATTTCTACTAAGATATTCTAACGGAGACTGAAAACACAAAAAGCACATGAACCAAGCACACAGTTTGGGACTACTGTATCCTAATTTAAGTGAATACCTTGAAATAAGCTGGTTGAAAGATAAATAACAGGCAAGAAAAAAGAACAATCTCTTTTCAAATCAAAGATGATACACTAAACATGTCTTGGGTGGTATAACACCAGCTATCTACAGTACGCTCTGCTATGTACAGTAATACACAATACTTACCCTGTCATGTAGTGTCCAACCAACATATTTTAAATAACTATCATTCAGGAAGGCATCACTGTACATTTTCATCCAGACACCAATTTCTTCAATACAGACAGCTCTAATCTCAGCAATAGCATCACTAATAAGGAAAAAAGAAAAGAAAAGAAAAAGTATTAACCAGATTACAGACACATATCATTTACTTCTCATTCCCGTTGCCCTAGCTATATTATTTTGCTTTTACTTTTGACGAACTTCACTACATAGGGCCTGTCACTGTTCTCACTGCTGTCTCACTCATTTTCTCTTCCTTTATGTCCTTGAACTCACTGATCTATCTAATAATTTAAATATTTCTACATCCAGATATGATATTTCCATTATCTCAAAAAATTCTCACCCTAGTTTGCTTCTCAGTCTATTATCCCATCTTTTACCTCCCTCTTTTCAAACAGAATTACGAATCCAAGCTACAAACCTCCTTTAGACAATAATTTCTGAAACATCGTCACTGACATTTGCTTAGCAGGTTTGACTCTCTCCAGCTAGACGTGTAGAACAACTGCAAGGTGGAAAAAGTTCTTTGGTTTAACCAAAGGAGCCTGCCAGAGGGGCAAAATGGAATTTGGTACATAAACAGATCCTGTTTCACGCACTGCATGAAAGCCCCTATAACAAAACCTAGGAGAATGTCTACATTTCAACATTGGTTTCTTCCAGTTTTCTTGCTTTTTTCTACATTCTGACTGTGGTAAGTGATGGAAGAGGCAAAGACGTATCTCAGGCAGACTTATCAGCTGCTTATTGAGGAGGGGCAGCAGGAAACTGTCTGGAGAGATCACCTAAAGAGATCAGGAATGGAAATGATTTCAATCTGATTGGCACTTTCCTGCCTGACTGACATAGAGCATGGCATATTTACTAATAATGAACGACGGCTGAACAACGGGAAAAGGGATTGGGGCCATCTGGCCCTTTAGTAATTTCATCTCTGAGACATCTGTTACTATGAGAAATCACTTGTGCCACTCCAGCTGGCACTGCTTCACAGTTCAAAATTTCAGCTGTAATAAAAGAGGAACATAAAGAGCCACTGTACAGAAGAAGGGAATGTCTGGTGCTTTGCAAACACCGGCCTTGCTTATAATTGAGACTCTTGTTCTGTATTTTTATAAAAAAATCTTTTTGGAAAAGTAATAAACATCAATTTAATTCTAAAACAGCACCAACAGAGCCCAAGAATGAAATCTAATTTATGGGGAGAGGAGGAAGGGGGGGAAATAAAAAAAAATTCCAAGCTTCAAGTAAGAGAATAATTGCAAAATAAGAGAAACTATTTTCCCTAAAGTCTTCAATTTTACAAAATACAAATAAAATGCATTCTATCTTGCTCAAGATGCTTACTGCATAAGTTCATACACACAAAATAGTATAACAAAACCGTGATTACTCCATACTGTAACTGCCTATGCACTTCTAACCTTCCAACTGGTCCCCCTCAATAGCTGCCATTCTACTGTATATGATCTTCCAGATACCAAGATGAAAACCACAGTTCCTACATGAACACGGCAATCACAGTATCATACATGACTAGATGTGACACTTCTACAGTCAAGTCTCTGTTTTTCTCATTCAATTTCAAATTATAGGGAGAAAACTGTACTGATGTAAGAGCATAAAACATGCATTTAAAGCTGATGTAAGAGCGTTAGGGGGAAATTTGTAGGGATGCCATCAAACCACTACCATTTTCTCTCTTTGCCTACGTGAAACACACTGATTCTATCAACTTCCAAACAGAATCATTAAAACTGGTCTGTCAAACTCCCTGAAGACTCTATAACCTCAAACCCAAGGTAATTGTCAATCCGCAATGTAGACAAGCTGCATTACAAGCAGAGTAGGGCATTAAATAAGCTGTTCCTACAAGGGATTTCTCAAACAGGTTTTAGATATTGCAAGGATGAATGTGCTAAAATATTATATTCAAGAGTTTGCACTATAAAAACTGCATTCATTATGGGGAATGCAGCCGTAATGAAGACAAGTTTTAATTAAAACTATGAATATATTCACATATATATATGTCTAATTGTATATTACTTCACACTAAACTAGATTAGCAATTCTGTTTTACGGAATTATTTTTAAACTACTTTTAAAAAAAAATATAGGCGGAAGAAATCAGAATGCAAGACTTAAAGAACAATCTAAAAGACCGATAAGTATGAATCAAGAAAAAAAAGAGGAGCCACACATTTAGCAACACGAAGCAGCCATGAAGGCGTTTCCACTAAGGGATGACAGCCTGAGTCCTCACATCCAAGTAGGTTATTTCACCACCTTATAAATTTACTAACTGTGAAGCATTTTGGAAGGATTTAATGGCAATTCCAAAAAGAACCCAAGTGTCAACAGCTATTTAATCATGCAGCACAGCCAGCCAAAAATCAGGAAAATTTATCTTTTCTGTAAGAATGCATTCAAGCTTCCCTAGGCAGACAGTGAAAAACTGATTCTTGATTCAAAAGCTTCTCAGGGATCCCTAGGCACTATGGACAAACACTCACTCCAAGCTGCCATTTATAACTACAAAAAAAAAAGAAAAAAGGAGGAATAAAGCTATTCAACTAATTACAAGATTTAGACAATAAAAATTTAACATCTTCAGTATAATTGAAAATGGGAAAGAATCATGCATAAGGCATGTGAGACTAGCAAACAGACTCAAGTTGCTGGAGAGGCAGAGGAATTTGTGAGACACCAATTTCCCATTCCACCACCATCTTCCAGGTAACTGTATTACCAATAAGAATCATTCGTCTTCTTGCAGGAATCACTAACACAGATTCCATGCCCGTACGATGCTGTATCAAACACGATACAGCCAAAAAGCCTAAAGGCTTTTTGCTATGCATGTGTTCAATTGCTTGTTATTAAACTGTAATTCTTTTCTTACAATTTTTACACGCTTAAATACATTTTAGCTTCTTGTCACAGTCACTATGAATTGTTTAGTTTTTTTTAAAACATACACTATTTGTGGATGACACAAGAACATATAAATACTAGTTATACTGGCATTGGAAGTACTTTTGGAATAATTAATGCATTATTCATTATCATAATTATAAATTAGTGACATAAGTTTGTATTACTTGCCAAATGGTTCTAGAAAGGAAGAGAATCTAGTCCAGCACAGAAACCAAAACTAATACTGGATCTAGAAATATTAGACATAAAATATATTTAACCTTCTTTTCAGCACAAACTGCAAAGTAATGTCTATGCGGTGAATGGGAAAGACTTAGCAAACTATTTGCAGCAAAATTCACAACCTATATTCCTACTCTTAGTAGAGAGGTCCCCCATGATGCAACTTCATAAAGAGATTTGACAAAAGGAGATCAGGTAAGAAATTCACTGGTTCCTTTTAAAATTTTGGGTAGACAAGGCAGGCCCATAAAACTTAGCACAAACCGTAGCAAACAGTGTCAGGAAATAGATTTTACTAGTTGCCACTTTAGCATATATTGCTAAATGCTAAATTTACACTCAAGTATTTTGATTAAGGCCGAAAGTATTTAGGACCCTGAAACATAGAGTCTATAATGGATAATTGGGATATGTCAGGTGGAGACCAGTATGCTCCTCAGGATCTTGCTGGAGTGGTTGCCAATTGCAACTCCTGCATTCTCTCAGTCTGTTTGATCACAAACTCCTTTAGGTTAATCAAGACCAAAACTGAAAGCAATTTAAGCTAACCTGGCTGATCTGCACTGAAATAGATGCTTAAATCCTAAAGCATTACCAATGTTGAGGAAAAACACCCAAGGCAAGAGATAGAGATGACTCGCAGAGCAGTAACTGCTTCAAGACTTCTTGGAAGCTCTGGAAGGATGCCTGACTACACTCTTGTTGCATGTTTGCTTGCCTAATACAACCACTGGAGTGGTTGCTTCTCACACCTCTATCTTAAGACAGAAAGAACTACAGTTAACTTTCAGAAGAACATGGTATTACTCAACATGCAAATTGGATCTGAACCGGAAAAAAAAGACAAGATGTTTCAGTCAATGGGTTGGGACAAGAGTTAGTTTATGAGAAAACCTTCTAACAAAGACAGAAATGCGGGTCACTCACCTGCCTCTGCAGTTCTCTGAGATGGAATCTCAAATTCCCAGTCAAGAGACATGAAATGGTGCAGCTCTACAATAATTGCCCATTGGACCAAACTACGCCTTCTCTTGGGCTGCTTGACTGTTTCTAAACATTTTGAAGGTATAGTTATAAAGAGGACTGGTCAAAATGTCTTTTCTACTTCTTTCTATGACTCTCTCATCTCTGGAGCTGAATTAGGACCCCATAAGGGAAGAAGGGTAAGAAAAATATAAGTGTGCACAGCCCACTTCCAAAAATTCTGGCGAATGTTCACTGCATATCCCATTCCTGGGAGGGGTTGGTAAGCAACACTCCCATTTCTAAGTAATTCTACACAGAGCGCTGCTTAAATAGTTTTAGATTTCAATAATGTGTTTCTAAGCTGATTATCCAACATTCTTGCCAGACCGAGGAACTGTATTGTTTAAAGGCATGACTTGAATTTCAAGATGTAGCTCTACATATCTCTAAAACCAATGTTTCTCAAAGACTTACCATACTAACACCTTTGCTCATGTGAAGTATGATACATAGCTTTGTAGGAAAGCAAACAGTGTGTGTTTTTAAACTTAATATTAAGGTCAAACTCATTTAAGTACAAAGATGTAATTTTTTGCCTTTCTCTTTTTTTATCCCTGTAAGTGACAAATGGTCTTGGTAATTTTTTCATGTATGTTTTTCAACATACATAAAAACGTAATGTATTTTCTTGTCACCCAAGATGTGTGTTTAACCTCCTTAAGATAACACATTTAGGGGGAGGGAAAAGGATTTTTCTATGGTTTTGTTTGGATTTTCGTTTCCCTGCGCTGACTGTTTTTGCTCCTCTCAGTCTCTTACCCGCTTCCTCACCAGACTTCCATCTAATATCCCCTCTCCCTTTTTTTCATGCAACACTCTTGTTTCCTAGAGTGGAACTCACATGCAACTTGTCATCATCATCCTATTTACTCAGCAGGAGGGAAAGGAGCACCTTGAAAGGAGAGAGAAGTATCTTCTCTGTAAAGATGGCATCTACATTTGGCAAGTTTTACCTTAATTATCAGTACTGCCAAAATAATATCTCAGGACAGGCTCACTGCATTGCATAAATTCACAAAACCACCATGTACATCAGTCTGAGGATCACCATTCAGGTCTGCCAAAAGTTTAAACTGTAATAGTTTTGTTTTGCTGGACATTCATGTCTGGAGGAAAAGCTCTCTGAGCACTCTAAACAAAAAGATATTATGAAGTAGGACTCAAATAAGGATTTTCTGAATCTTACCCTCTGAAAGGGAAAGGTGTCCAGGCACACATTGCTAAGTCAAAAGCAGGTAAGTAGCAACAACAAAATTTTGACATCTCAGCTAACTTGAGAGTGATGGGCATTTTGTACATACTTGTTACATCTGAGAAGCTATGTGGCAACAATCTCAGAATCAAAGTAATCTCCGATATGCAGATACAACTGAAATGAAGAAACAGGCCTCCCCTCCCTTTTTAATATATATGTATCCTGCAAGCAATTTTCAGCTTGTTCAACTTCAGACTAAACAAAAAGATTACTTTTAAGATGCCTGACCTACCAGTATATAGTATCTCACTACTACATACCAAAGGTATTAGACTCATAGAGACACAAAACTGGTTATTTTGAGATTAGGACCTCTGAACATGACCTTATCCAAGCCCCTACACATGCCTTGCACAATCAATTTTTGAGTATTTCCAAGGACAGATATTCGACAGCCTCTCCGGACAACCTGTTCCAGAGTTTGATCACCCTCACGGCCCTGCAGTCCTATTTATCACAGTCACCACCTCCGCCCGTTTTATACTCACCAACATGAGCCCAGCAACTTGACTCTAACTGAATTTGCTCTGACGTCTCCCCTTTGATCCTCACTCTCAGTTTGAGAGATGATTAAAAAAATAATCAACGGACAACCAAATATGTCATAAAGCAACACAAAAATAGTCAGAAAAAGTGATTCAGGAAAGAGATAAGGATATATGCAATGAGGTAGGTACATCTCCTGCATATTTATTAAGAATATCTCAATTTTTGACCAAATCTACTGTTAACACTAGACTAACATTACACCTAGAAAATTGTTTAGCTATTTCTGCAATTTTTTTTTTTAAATGTGAGAAGTGAGCATTGAAATCTTCCAATAAATTGGAAGCCAATCTACAGAAAGAAGATGTAACCTCACTGCAACCCGAGCTTACTAGTAGGAAGACAGCTACATTCTGAACAAAACCATTTTGGGGGGCTTTTTGTTTAGATCAAGGATTTGCTATTTAAGTTATAAAGGTCACTAAGCATGAATCACTGTGGCAGAGTCTGAATCATATTATGGAAAGGGATTTCTTCTCTGGGAATAATTAAAATAACATTCTTTTGAAATCATTACCACTTGTGCATGGGCTAAGGACTGTAAAATGATGTCAAGTTTATAAATCATTCAAACTGTGTGAGAGAAGGAATGCTTAAGAAACATTATGGAAGCAGATAATAGTTTGAAATCCTTTCCTTTATTCTGCCCCCCGGCCCTGGTTTTGTCTTCAGTTAGTTGGTTTTAATACAGGTATTTTTCCCCCTCTATGTTCTTGCACAGACTGCAGAAATTTGAATCTATGTTCTCTGTTGTTTACAGATTACTCATATTTGGGTATACGTTGTTACAGACCCTCTGAGGAGCTTCACAGAAGTTCAGGAAGCCAGAGAGATGCTGACTCCTCACAAAAGTGGCTCTTGGGGGCAGACGGGGAAGCAGTTACTTCTTCCAACCCTCTCTAAACAGCGGCAGAAGTAGTGCCAACTGCCGCCCACCCTGCTCAGAGCACGCCACTACTTGACTGCTTTCAGCAAATTCTTCAGTGGTCTAACAGTGTCAGCCTGGGCATCTTTTTTCAGGGCACAGATAAGGAGAGTTTATTTATTTGGCCTCTCCTCTGTTACAGCAATATCGGCAAAACCAGGCTTTTACTAATGGTGGCAGACGGCATATAAAGAAAGCAGGGTTACAAAAGGAGGATTTAAAAAGAAAGAAAAGAAAAGGAAACAGCATGCAGGCCATCAAAAGGTAGAGTATTTTTCCAACCCCACACATGAACACAAGGTACTAGAAAAATATTTTAAAGCGACTTCCTGTTTGATAAAATACACTAAATTCTGAAGGGGGAAAAAATGGAAAAACTCTTTGCATTTTATTTCTTTAACTTTATTACCTACACACCATAACAGCTGCTTTCATAACAAAATAGTGTGAGCGCTGTACTGAGCTAATATCCTAATTCACCTGGTGATTCTGTATACCCATCCTTCTGTTGCCATGTAGCTCAAGGCTTACTGACCAATTCCATTTCCTCTCAGACCTTTCAGACCCTCTCAGTTCACCATCCCTCCTTCACGACTTCCTCAGGAGGGAAGAAACAAATGGATAGCAAATGAAGTTGTCTCACAGGTGTGTGGGACAGAATAAGGATACAAGGTCTGAAGAACAAGAGAAGTATGACATATGCATGCAGGAAAAGAGGTTCTTCTGTGAGCAATCGCTATAGTTGGATCCCCTGTCTTCTTAAGAGACCCTTTTTTGCTACTACCTCTGATCTCTTTGGAGAGATGCTCCCAGTACTGCTATAAGCTTTCTTTCAAGTATCATGCTTGGGTGCTGAAGAGACACGCTCCGATTCCACTGTGTTGTTCACACTCATGTATTTCTTAGCACAGGCCCCTTCCAGGTTTTCTCCGTAATTACAGTAATCCCTCTGCCCACCTGAGCCATGGGTTTCTCTTCACCTTCTAACCCTCTTCTCATACACCCTTTCTTGTTTTCTGCCATTTGTCTAAAAGATCTCATAAATGGTAAAGTTTTAAACCAGAACTTAAATCTGAAAGGTTAATTGCATAGTTTGGTATCCTTGAATTTTATGTTTTTACTTCGATAAGTCAATGAACATTTAAAGAGCTGGCTTCACCAAGATGCTGCAGATGAGCTGAGGTATCTTGTGATGCAAAACAACCCTAAATCTATTTTAAAAGACTACTGCTCTCTGATAAACCATACTCCAAAACAGCATGCACCAGTCCAAATCTACCGGTTTGTGCAGTTCTAAAGTAAACAGAAGTGCATGCATGTGCACATTCACCCATGCACATGAATATATAGATAACCTGCTGTGGTTTTGTATTCACAAGACATAGCATATGAACTATTAAAAAAACCTTTGTGATGTGCTAACACCACAATAACTTTTTAATGTTCTTGGTACAAATGTCCACTACAATTAACAAACAAAAAATACATGTTAAGTGGAATTAAGGCTTTTGATTGACCTTTTGTAATTTAAGGAGGAAAAAGCCTAAACCAAAGTTGAAGTTGTGGCTAAAGCATATATGGTGGAAACATCAGAAATTTGCTTTTTGTATTCAAGACATACAAAAGGAAATGCAGAGTAGAGGTACCCCACAACCAAAACTGCCCTCTTATGATATGCAGTGATCATTTGATTATTCTTAAGATATGTCATGTTTGGGCTCCCATCTTGGACAACTTTCCTTTCTAAAAGACAAAGATTCAAATTCCATGTTTCCCACAACTCCTTAAAATTGTTTTACTGAATTAAAATAAAGTTGTGTGGACAGCTCTATTGTGTAATTAATAGGGGTTACACTTAGATTTTCTTCTATAACTTCAGCGTTATGCTTTTGTGGCATCTAGAATATTACATCAGAAGAAAAACCAACACCGAAACTGTCCTTGACATTATTTATGATTATACTTTGTTAGCAGGGCCTACGGTAGCATGCATTTTCTTACCGGTATCTATGAACAAATATACCCTTAAAAATAGAGTTCATCATATTTTCGATTTCATCTTGGTTTTCTTGTAGCTGCAAAAAAACAAAACAAAAATAAATAAAAGATCACTGCTTATTATAATTTGATATTCTACAGTTCCTTATTGGGAAACATTAGAAGACCATGGAAGAGCACTTAATTAAAGGTATTAGTAGATTCACCATTTTCTACCTTTCCAGCACATGCCTATATTGTGTGCATATACATATATTTTATATATATATATGCAATGCCTTAATGGAAGAAAGTTAACATTCTCTACAAACAACAATTAATTTAGTTTCAAATTAGTCCTTTGCAGTGGTCATCACCATTTTTTTGCTACTGAAATTTAGACAAGTAGAGACTACGTGTTCAGTAATGTCAGCAGTCCTGTAGTCATAGTTAAACAGATAGAACTGTGAGTGAATGGCAGCTGCAGAAATGAAGCTGGTTACAGATCAGGAATCCCCTCTGAAAAATTCAAAGTCCTATTTAAGGAAAGTACTTAAAGATGTTCTCAATCTCAAGTATGACTGTCAGTTGCTTTAACTTCAGCGTCCATAAAAACTGAGTTTCTGAACCAGGAAGCTCTGCAGAATCAGAGCATGGGTGCTTAACATTTGAGCACACCTGACATCCAGGCCTTTGATTGCAAAAAACCAAAGCAAATCCAAACAAAAACCAAACCCAAATGAAAAAGGTGTTATGAGTGTGTTTTCATAAATAAGAGTGGTTTTTTAAAAGAATTAGTATTTCCTATTCCTGTAATATAAGCACATTTTGTAAGTACTATGGAAAGCTTACTACGTGTCAATGAGTATGTTAACACATCCTAAAGGAACATCTTGGAATCAATTAAAGTATTCTCATACTGTCAGCTTTTGTACTAAACTAAATAAGTATGACTTAATTACACCAAAATGCAGCTTTGTTAAGTGAGATGATGCCAATTTTATACAATCAGCTGTTGGAGCAGAACTGCTACTACACTCAAAGCCATCATTCTTCCATCAAGGTGTTTCTTAATGTCAAAATGACAAAGCAGAATACCACAACATGTGTGAATGTAAATTTTTCCACATTTTCAGTATGAAAACCACAACAGAGCCTTGCTAGTACAGAGTGCATATATGCATAAAATAATAAAACCTGTACAATTATGGACATATATATTTAACAGATAAAACATCTTGAAGCCAGAGCCAGAATTATGATCGGCTGTTTTGACTTCCTGCATAGCATGAGCTCATAAACACTTTCACCTAGGGGTTTGCATTTTTCAAGCCATGTTCATAAATATTTCTACAGTATCTTCCAGATAAGATCTAAAGTAGCTTGCAAAATTCAGTAAATGAAGTCTCCCAGTTTCCTAAAATGTAAGGAGGTGCTGTCTCCATTTTGCATATGGGGAAACCGAGGCATTGAGGGTTCTTGACTAAATTGTCAAACACCTGCCAAAGAAATTAATTTCATAGTAAAAGGGATTATGTACAAAGGGAAAAGTTGGGTGCACACCAGCTCTGCGTATACCAAAGGTCTGGTACACAAACAAGCATATTTAGTCATGGCTTCTGGGAGAAGCACAATTTTCAGCATCAGCTCAACCCAAATATGCACAGACTAAATGCTTGTTCCAGAATAAGCCAAAACAGAGCGTGAATTTCTAAGCGCTCCTCAGTTGCTTGACTTCACAGTCTACAGGCAGGCAAATATCCACAGAAACATGGGGCTAGAGACAACCTAGCACAGACTGCGGAGTAAAATGAGGATGGGAATGAACCAAGAAGCCTCAGGAGGCCTTCTGAAAGGGAAAGGGGAAGCTCCCAGAGAACTTTGGGTATGAATCGTTAATATAAAAGCACACCACAGAAAAGAGTTAGGAGAGACTGAACTTTATGAGCCATGAGAAGGTTAAGATACCGAAGTAAAGTGTACTTTGACATTTCTTTGAGTGCAAAATGGAGCAGCACCATACAAGGCTAAGCAGCATAGACGAGGGGACAGCATGGATGGCTTCCTCCCTCTTTTTCCGCACAGAATTTACAGCCCGCTATAAACATGGTAAGTTATCAGCTATACAAGTGATATAGGGATCCAGGTGATATCTTCTACACCTGGCAGAGCTGGTGTAGAAGCAGAATTTTTCAGTAGGTCCATGCGAGATCCCTTTTACTTTTGTGTGCTAACATTTAAACGATATAATTCTCAAATGTATTTTAGATTAAATTGTAATGAATTAGTAATGAATTAACAACTCTCTGAAAAATATGAATTTTCTCCAAAACTGTAATTGCTTTTTACACTTTCAGCTTTTCTAGACCATGCACTTGAATTTGAGTGCTTAACTTCAGGCATCTTGAGAAAGCATTTGTGTCTCGGGACTCCTGCTCTTACCAATGCAAAAGTGATTTAACACTGCTCCCCCTTAAACCTAAGTAAAAATAAGGGAAACATTCTCTTGTTGACTCTGCAAGCATTCTGAGCAGCTCAAAAAGACATGTATGACAAGCACAAAATTTGAATTACTACTGGCAGCAACTGAAACACAACCTCCTCTATTTTGTGGCAGATTGTTACATAAATCATCCAGTTTAGTTGCAAATCTCACTGACGAGAATAGACCTTCACGCACATTAGGCACGTAGAAGATGACATGAGCATGAAACACTTCAGAGACAGCGTTCCATCTCTTCTACTTCAGATTAATTTGCCACACTTAGCTTGCGAACTGTCCCTATATAACTTCATGAAGATAAAAACATGCCTGCTGTGTATGTGCTTATGGGGGTTTATTATGATGGCACTACATCAAAAGAATCAACTAAAAAAGTGCCAGCACAGAATACTATTGTAAATTCAGCTTATTTAAACACAGGAAATATACAGCATTATGTTAGGAATTCTTACATAGAGCCATTATGCCACCTAATCCTAATAAATCTCTTCTGTAGAGGGCCCTCTGCTACGCTCAACACCATGTATCTGAAGACATACTCAATCACCACCACTCCTCTCTGGCTTACTCCTCTGCAACATTTTGATTAGTTATAGTGAGTAGTGATACGAGAGAGCCTGAACATACATATCAAAAGTTAAGGTTTGCCAAATGCCGATTCTTCTTTCAGGGTTTCACAGCCCCGTGCTAGTTTGGGCATCACAGCTTCAAAGCCTCCCCAGAGCAATTATATACTGCATCTCCAAAAGACATTGAAAAGAAGAGCTGAAGGAATGTGTACAGAGAACGTCCATAGACACAGAGATACTAAACCAAGTTAATCAATGTAATTAGCGACTTTGTCCTTCTCTGGAAATTCAAAGCAACAATCAACAAATTCGGAATAGAAACTGTGTTCCAGCTATTTTGACAAAGCAAATCTGCTTTTTAAAATGCTTTAAGACTGACATTGAATTTAATATTTAATTTCAAATATTTCCCTTGCAGTTTGGGCAGGAGAGATTGTTTTTGCTTTGTACCTTAATGCATGATTTTTAAGAATCATGAAAGCCAAATAAAATTGTGTTACGGATTGTAGGGGTAAAATAAAAGTAGAAATACATAATTGTAATTATCCCTAGACAAAGACTATAAAGTCAAGCAACTTTGAGTCAAAGTTATACCTAAAAGAATCCAAGGTGCATACAGGTAAAGCACCCAGACATCCTTAATTTGCCACGGAGTAAAACAGTGGTGGAGGAAATATATTCAAAACTAACATATTAAAAATAATAAATTTAAATCTAAGTCATATATACTTCAATTTTTCAATCAATCTTGAGTTTTACATGGCATCTTTACAGATTATGGCTGTTTGGGTGTATTTGTATTCATTTTCCACTTGTCATCTTTACACTTCTTTTAAGTACAACTCTAAAACTGAATTTCCTGGGATATAATACTTTATTTAGGGATGATTACAGCAACCTTCTAATGATTTTGCTCACCTAATGCCAGACTGGTACTTACTAAAAGCGACTTTAATGTCTCCCTAGCTTCTTCTCCCTGAGACCAGGTGCTATAGCCCCCACTCCAGTGTTTCTTGAAAGTAGCTACAAAAAGAAGTACTAATGAGACACTATGTAATAATTGCAGTGATCAAAGGGAGAAATGGGCAGTGCAGTGAGGGACTACATGTGATCCTCTTCTCAAAATCTTTTTGCATAACCAAAACAGTTACTACTTACAACTTGAGACTAATTTTCTTCCTGCCTGGTCACATACACAAGTCTGAGAATAGAAATTATCCTGTGCGTGCAGAAGAGCACACAAACTCAACTGAATGTGTTAATACAAAATTTAAAAATGTAGCCCAAGTAATATGCTTGAGATCACACAAACACAACTGCAGAACTAATCTCTTGTTTCCCACTATGGTTTTCAAGCCACAAACCACCCTGGACTTTCTGTTGGAGGGAATGCACATGAACCAGGAAAAAAAATTAATCTTTGCACTTGCCTCTTTTCTTTTCTGAAGCAGCAGCTCCAATCTTTCATTAGCTCTTTTGCCAATCATTTTGTTTCTCTCAGCTTCGTACTGCCTCTGTGTATTGTCCTGATGAATGCTCAGGTTTAAGGCAACATTCACAAGAGCAGTCATAAGCTTCATAGCTGCAAAGGCAGAAGACAGAATATGACTCTTTACCTGTAGTCAGAGTTAAAAAATATTGCCTCAGCAGATCCACACTCACAGAAAATAACCAACTCGACCCTGACACAAAGCCATCCGGAAAGGCACTTCCCACCCAAGCAATAGTCAGGTCACTTGGCTCATCTAAAGATCAGAAGAGAGAGTATATATACCACACTGAGCTCCAGGCAATGTTCTTTGCCATCTTCTCCAGAAAATTACGCAAGTTCTGAGTGCGTAAGGTCAGTGAGCAAGCATGTGAATCTGCAGGATCAGCGTACACCACGAAGCCAGTTACTGTGGAGTTACATATCATTAAGTACCATTATAGATGCCTCCATACTAAGGGTAACTCTTAACAAATAGCCATTGAGGATTACTCAGTTTACAAGGGACCACAGCCCTGTTTCTCTGAAAGTAAGTCTAACATTGCTCTAAAGCCAAGTGTATAGCTGTATAAAAATACGATTAGAACTTTATGTACCCCTTTATATGCATTTTCACACATGCTGGATATAAAATTGTTCATGTATATTTTTCTGTCATCATTTATGTTTACAAAACCGTTAATAAGGGTCTTTCCCAAGTTCTGTGTGGTTACATGGCATATCACAAACTATCACATCTTCTCTGGCTAAATATGCAGCATTGTCTTCAAGGTAGAAAAGCAACTATACCAATGGAGAAGCGAAGCTACTCTTAACGGTACTCTTATCTTGCTATTGCTCAAAGCTGGTAACTCTAGAAGCACCCACGTGTACTTCTTGCCTTAGGTTCTTGCTGTAGTGCATCATTTCTCACTCAAATTGGCTAGCACAAAGGAAAATTGAAAACAAAGACCACAAAAACACTCCTTCATGAATAAATTAAATTCTACAAGTAGATTTTCATAATCTTTATCAAGACTGAGCTCCATGGCATCATGCTGACCTCTGCTCTGCAGGATAGCAACATAATTAAATGTGCAAAAACTAGCTTGAAGGAAATTTGCAGAATCAAAACAAAGCTCTCATGTGTGTTAAAATAAATAAATAAACGGCACATATTATCACTGGAAAATGATCTTCAGCAGCTCCTATTCCTAATGTAAGCGCTAGACACACGTACATCTAATGCAAGAAGCCAGCAGTGGCTTAAATAACTGAAGCTAGTTGTGATGAACCTTGGCCTTCACATTTGCTTATCCTTGCTCGAAGTTTCTAGCTACATAATCCATTCCAAACGACAGCAACTATTTCTTCCACACAGGACAGGTCTTGGGTAACACCTCTAATGTACGGTGCTGTTTCCTGTCTTTTCAAGCAAACCTCTCAAACATCTGTCCCTCACAAAGATGAACAAATCAAAATAAGAGACCAGACTGCATACCTGATTATCCTCACTCCACGATTTATCTCCTATAAAACAATCAATGACAATCTAAGCAAATAGCAAATCAAAATCACCTGGAATTGAAGACAGTCAATATCAGCTGGAAAGGAATACAGTTTCCATCTCAGTTTAAATAACAGGCACAGATTTCCAGCAGGTTATCTGCAGCTCAAATAGCTTTCACCTTTGAATACTGAATTTGTAGAGGCAAACTCTAAACCTGGAAACTTACGCCTGCATAATTCATGCTTTTACCATCCTGTTACTGAGTAAGGTGAAGAATGCAAGGGGATAGGTTTCCAACAGAGTTCAGCCACTGTGAGTTGAAGGTTTTGGTTTTCAATTTTAGAATCAAACTCCAAGCAAATCTGGGGTTGGTTTTTCAATAACATTGGAAATCTGCCTCTTACTTAGATTCATAGCAAGAGATGAAATTTTAAACAAATTCTGATTGAATTTGTTGGACACTGGGTATTACACTTGGAAGCTTGAACAAAATTGCAAGAGGCTGATTGTGGAAAGACTAAATCTAATATTGGAACTAATATTGGCAGCAGAAATATTCAGACTATGACAAACGTCTCCTACAAAGGCTTCAAATATTTGGCACGATCTCTGAACAGTCTAGGGAGAAGAATCTTCCAATAAGATGTATTTCAGCGCATGAGATGACCAGAAAGATATCACTTGACGTAACTAGCTTTAGACACCTACATCCAAGCTAGCCACCCCAGTATTGCTTTGTAATTGGAGAAAAACAGTTACTTCGAGAGAGCAATTCATTCATCTTACGGGAGATATCTTATATAGGTCTGATGAAATACACTCTAGAAAAGCTTTATTTCTATCTAATGGTATACCCTGTGCTTTCCTTAGATGTAGCCACCTGTGTTGAAAGGTGCTGCGTGGCTGGAGGTAGAAGACAGTGAGACCTACGACTATGGCCCAGTGCTCCCAAACCTAACGCTTCTCAAGAGTGAAGGCACAGATTTTATTTTTCGGTGGACTGAAATTCTTTGATAATACAATTTTCTTGACACTTATTTAGAACAAATTTGTACTCTAAAATACAAAATTATGAAGACATTCTATGCAACAAAGGAACAACTAATAACAAAATACAAGACATAAGCATGCCACTTTTGATTCACAGGATTCACCGGAGGCCCCTGGGTATGACATGAATCTCTGAGATTAAGTGCCTCAGCATACTCCTTTCCAAACAAAAAAGTGTATTTTAAGTATAGTTATACCATATATGGTACCTGTATTTGATCAAGCTTTCCAGAGTTCTCAGTGCTGGTCAAACTCCACCTCAATCAAAATTAGGAGTAGTTCTCGAACTGGCTAAATAGTAGCAACTCCTTTGAAAAAACTCCTCTCTGCGCTAGCTTACTTACCAGCTAATGTACTGGTGTGCCTGAAAGCCCGGACCTGGGAATCTGACAAACCAGTCAGAAGAGAGATCACCGTGTCCATCATGTATTCATCATAAATGATGCTATACTGACACTGTCGAATGAGCACTCCAATGAACTCACAGAAGTTGGATCGAAACTTCTTCCACTGTGGCCCAGGCATGGTAAGTGGATAATCACCACTGTCCTGAAGAACAATAAAATGAAAATATTAAGTATTAAAAGTCTCCCCATTTAATTTATTTTAATGTTGTTGTAGCCATCATGGTCTAAGTTTCTAAGCTAATTCAAGCCAATGGAGAATAACAAATAAAAACAACACATTACTCCTCAATAAACAAAGAATCTTGTTGGCATAAAACCACTTTTTCAGAGACTTCATTACAACTGTTCTAGACTTGCAAGGTTAGCTCTGCATAGTCCAAAACATGCATGGAGACTCAATTCTTTCCCTTGTGTCCTGTGTTAGGAAATGGGGGAAAGGATGAGAAAAGAATATTTCAAAGTATTTAAGGTCAAAACCCAAGGAAAGGCTTATGTGATTGAAGGTTTGTGTCATTCTCCATCCCCACTTCAGCTCCATGTTAATATTCTAATCAACTGACTGCCCCTCCCCACAAACTTTGCTTTACTCAAGTTTACAACTGAGATCTTATCAGAAAGTACATACTGCCTTTTTTTGATCTTATAAACTTACCCTTTTTCTAGCGGTAAAACCTGCCTTCTGATAGAAGTAACGGAAATTTTACTACAGATTCAAATACCTCAGACAGTTTCATACATCTCATCTTCCAAAGATTATTGCAAGATTGGAGTAGGCATGTGAACACTCAGTTCATTTAAGTTTAACTCCTCTCCAAGTCTGCTCTTATTATTCTCACTTCAAGCAATATTGCATTTCGGTGAGACTGCCCCCCCATAATTAGAAAATGCTTTTTTCCCCTTCAGTGAAAAAGACTAAATATAATCTCCCTGGTCACCTGATTCATAAGCCAATTCCAGATTATCCAAAACATCAAGGCAATAATGCTCCATCCTGAATTTCTCCCACAAGGTAAGAAGTCAGCAGTATCAAAGTTAAATCCATTTGTACATATTTATTCTGTGTTTTTGTGAAGAACAAGCACTTCTGTTCTCTCAGGACTTGTCTTATTGCCCAGACTGAATCATGTAAAGCCAGTAACGTAAGCACAGAGGAACTGTAATCAAATAACCCTTTACCTAAACTTCACAAACGATATTCCCCTGCAGCAAAAATCCCTGTCTATCAAATTTAACCAAATCACACACACTTCAATCGTACTAAAATAACGATTACAATTGCAAAGACAAGTGCTCAAATGTTAGAAAAAGAAAAAATTATAAAGCAATCTTAATGACCCTACTGTCTCATTCATTGCAATGCTGAATGACATTATCTTAATGAGCAATATTTTTACTTCTAACTTTGAATGTCCAATTTGAGAGAAACAGGAGCTTTGGTTTAAAAAAACAATTCACAGGGTTATAAAGCTCCTGGCATAAAGATATCTCCTAGCACGTTCAATTGTTGCTATGAGTCCTCAGAACTTCTGTAAATCAGACCAAAGCGTTGTGTAGTAGAAACCCAGAAAAACACAGTCTAAAATATTTAGCAGTATCATTAGCTGCGCAATGTGTTTCGAAGTGTTCTTTGTCTGTTTATGCCTGATGCTCTTGCTAGTGAATTTCAGCAAGGTACGGTGTCTTGCCATGTAAATACAAGCCCTGCATTAGTCTCATATTTATTTAAATTTAGGACTGAAATTAAAACGCTATAGCTTTCTCCTCAATGTTTTTCTGACAGTAACTCCATATGAACACCCCAGACACCACTTCTTCTCTCTGCTTACACCTTATTTTCACAAATAATCTCCAGACTGAGTCCCTGCCTGCACAATACCTGTGGGAACTCTGAATGTGAACTTACGTACAATAATATATGCTTTCTAGAGGTATGTATATATAATTTTTTGGAATAGATCCTCAGAATCTCTAGTGCTGTATATAACTACTCACATTTGTACGATGTATTTTTAACCTGCAATTACATATTAGACAGTCCTTTCAAAAAGCATGTGAAGACTGCACCAAGAACATCTCATCTGGCTGAAATAGGAAGAATAAATTTACTATAAAGCCACTTCATTGGATCTTTTATTCTCAAATACCAATAAAAATGTGATACATCAGTGACACTGACATGTGATACTTTGATGGTCCAATGGTTAGAAAACTCCAACCAAAACAAGTTTTTCTTCACCTGCTAACTCTAGCATAAGAATTATGAAGGAATTCATCTACAAAATGCCTGTACTCATAAGCCAAGCACCCAAATAGTGCAGCAGATGGATGTCGGTGGAATTCCCCGTCTCAAACTGAACTTGTGGCAGCAATGAACGAAGTTATTTCTATCATTTAAATCCTGCACAAGTGTTCCTCCACTCATGATGAGGAAAATCAATGCTTCAATTCCTGCCATAAATGCAGAAATTAGGACTAGCAGCCAGCTGATTACTGCAGCACTGAGAGAACAACGCGATGATCTTGAAAAAGTAAAGAAAGCAGCAAATCTGAACATCTTCAATAGAGATTAAAATATTTTCTGGGTAGCATACTGTGCTAATGAATGTATAATGCAAGATTTTCCCCTAGATAATACTACATTTGCACTTTTTTTTCCTATTAGCTCTAGACTTGTAGAAATTATTTATCACGTGATAAATATGACAACAGGTACCTTATACCACCTACACACATGTACCACTGAGCATTAGCCCCTTTCAACCATAATCTGATACAACAGACCTGGCATTTTAGGTATATTTTGATAAGGGAGGAAAATATGCTAACAAAGGGATGGTCTGCATCTGAAAATGGCAATCTAAAGATGGCAATGAAGGTACGTTGGGCTGATATACCATCCTAATTATTTTGACAAGAGCGTCACTAACTTTCTCATTCTCCTTCACTCAACACAGTCTGACCATTCCCTTCTCATAGACTGAGATGGGATTTAGGGGCATGAGAGGACAGCAGGGCAAGGGAAATGTTCTGGTGGCAACAAGCCTAGGCAACTGCTTTGTTTCAGGATAACATGGGGGGATGGACATTGGGACTTGGGAGTCCTGGGGTACTGGAAGAGGTAGTACAGGTGAAATAACAACAGTGATATTTAGAATGAAGAATTGAGGGCTGTTCCCAGCTATACAGAAAATGGTGGTGCTTTACTGAGAAAATGGATGACCACTCAGCCCAGCCACCGCTGTTGGTCTCCTTCCGGCTCCCTTTCTTTCACTGCTTACTATAGACTTACAAAAAATAAAGTAAAGAAATCCAGTGGCAGGATGGGCTCAAGGAATAAGTCTAGTCAGTCTGCACGGAGCCAATGGCACTGCTGAAGGAAGGCAAGAAGTAGATCTGCCTGGGTTCTCTTCTCCTTTTTTCAGCAAGAAAAGAAAGGTTGGGAAGAATCACACAGATTTGCCGAATTTAGCTTGTGTTGCCTTTAGTCAAAGGACTGTCACTGGCAAATGGTGTCTGCTACCAACAGCTCTCCCAGAAACAAATGATGGTTGTTCTGAATCTTTAATTGGTGGATGCTAAACAGAGGGCGAAAAAGTGTACTAATGCTATGCCAAATGCAACTGCAATTTTACTATCTGCTGAAGACCAAGAAAGATTTTGTTTGTCTGTTTCAGTACATGTTTTACCCTGAACAGGAATGCAAACTGCTCTTATTCTAAAAGCTTGTATTTTGGCAGGTCTTTTTTGTGGCTATGACATCCTGCTAGGTGATTCATATTTCACCAATCTGAAACAGTATGACTAGCAGTATGAACATAGGTCATATAACATATAATATGAAAGAGGTCATATAACAATTATAAACTTATTATGCTGTGATCATCTGATATACGAATATAGTCGAAAACTGCACTAAATTCCAAAATGTTTTCTACTGCTAACAGGGTATGAGTTTATTCCAGATTTCAAAATATTCACTGGATTGTGGTCTAAGACTAACAATTTCACGCTTTTATATTAAAATCCACAAATTCTTTCACAAACCTATTCAAGTGTTAAGGCAGTAGCTAGAATGGAAACTTTGTTAGAACTGTAAAAGTTCTGAAAAGTTTTAGGTAATGCAGAAAGCAAGCTTAGGTACTAGTAACTAATTCTTTGAGATATGTTGCTTATATGTACATTCATACTGTGCATAAGGAAGAGAGTTTTTTTTTCTCCTTTGAGAAAAAACTTTGACAGTTTTTAAAAAGGGTTTTTTGAGAAATATTTTATTCCATCAACTGTGGGACAATCCTCCCTTGGCAAAATCAATCTTCTTTGGCTTTTGGACAGTGCCTTGGCCATTCTATTTTGTACAATGGGGCTAGACTAAAGACAATATCCAATTCTGTTTTCACTAGTAAAAAGTCACTGCCTTTTATCAACTTTGGTTAGGTGATGTTTTAAAAAGCAAAACTAATTCAGCCAGAATGTAGCATGAATTGATACAATCCTTTTGTTCATCATTGTACACCTAAATTTTATTCACTGTACCCTATCCCACTTGTACACAAAGGCCCTGACCGAATACCTGAGTACAGCAAAAGAGGCATCCACACGGTCGCAGTTAAGTACATAGTTAAACATGTTCAAGGCTATGAACAAGACTGAAATCTTGCAGAAGAAAATCCTGAAAAAGAGCAGTGCTCACATTTATAGTTTTCCTGCTTAACTTTTTGAATCACAGCCTTGGCATTCCATTTAGAATTGGTCAGAAAAAGACACTGCTGTCCTACAGAAAATTCATGTTTCAGCATTTGTTTTCCTCACTAAACAAAATGAACACTCAGAATATTTAAGTTTTTTACACACGAAAAATCAAAGAAAATACAGTTCAAAAATCTCAAAGCTAAAAAGCATTCACCATTAGAAACATTTTTATTTTGACAGAAGATACCCAATCTGAATTGTAATACACTTGTTTCAAACAAAACGCTTAGATCTTTTTGAAAGAGTATTTCTTTCTGTAACACTGTTCCAAAATGGTAATTTTCACGTCAAGTTACTATTTGGTTTAGATTGCCATTTCAAATGAACAAAACACCAATTTGCACATGGAAAACGGAGCAGAATGCTGCAAATGCCAAGCCTGCAGTCCTGTCTCAGGAATCTGGAGTTCTTTGTTGCGTGATGGCAGTTCCAAGAGGTGAGCTTCAGAATCCAGAATACCACCACCAATTTCAGTGGCATGAGAAAGCTTTCTACAGTTCTTCTTACGGCCTCCTCTTATTAACCCTTCTAATACCATGGATACGGACAGACAAGGATATCCCTAAAGCCATACAAAGACATATGAGGGTCTACACAGATCCAGACCAGGCCTAGCACGGACCACGGCTAGTTCTTGCAGACTCAGACCTGGCTAGGCTCTCTTACAGCACCGGATGTGAGCTTGCTCCATGCTTTTGTGTGATATGCCCTTAAACTGGCTAATTCACAATTCAATACCAGCATCCAGGACCTACTCAATCCACAACCCTGACTTCTCAAGATGAGCGACTATAACTACCTTTTAAAATTATTTTATTACTTTTTGGTTTTCCATAATTATTCTTTCCTAAAGCTCATGCTGGCTCGTTATTCCTCATCCAATAGTTTAAATCGCTGCTTTGCTTGTCAGTGCAATTTCTTATACTGAGATATTGCTTATCCACTAGTTTGTCGCCCATTGCACTTTTATTTTAAAATAGAAGTATACTGTAATATATTTCATAATGCTTAAAGCACTTTATATACTATACCTCATCAAATTCTTCTGTCATTTTCCTTATGATTTCTGCATTTTGCATGTTCCTGAACATTTCAATTCTTACAGTACCTGTAATGTAATGAAGGAACAAAAGAAATTAACACAACCCATTTTTTGTTACCTCATAATATCAACATTTTTCTGCTGCTAAACTTACAGCTCAATAATATATATGAAAGAGTATATAGTGCAATAACAACAGGAACGCATTGAACAAGACTGTCTCTTGAAGAAGTGGGTAAAAAAAAAAATCATCCGTCCTGTAAAGTGCTATCAGACTAGGAGTTAGTAAAATTTTCCGTCTTTTTACGCTTTACAACTGAGCAAGTGTGACACAGAAGTGATGGCAATGTAGGACTCATGCCAAGTGTTTTTAATTTTGTGTGCAAAATAAGATGAAGACCATCTTTCAGTTCCGCAGCCACTACTAGTAATTCTCCACTTTTTATGTTGGGTCACCTGGATTACGGATATACCATGATGTCTATGCGGAGACACAGGAGTGGTTTTCAAACCGCTTAGCTCAGGACCAGCACGGCTTATTGACTTAGGCACAGCATCACGGGAATGAAGCTACAGCACCTGTAGACCAGAGCTAGCACAATTGCATCATATGGTGCTACTGTCAGCAAGGCTTTGCAAAACCAAAGGCTCCAAAGGCCTTAGTCGAGATGTGAGCCAGCTCAGGACCAAAAGCAGCAATTGCATCTATGTTATTCCTTCATTTGGATTGTGCCATTCCCCCTTGTTACCCGAACAGCAAAGTTGATAGGATTAACTTTTCATTGTAAATGGAACAAAGCTACCAAAATTGAAAATATAAACACAATAGCAATAAATGAAAATTCTTGTTACTTGATCCTAAATTCCGTCAGTACAAGCGAATAAAATATTTTTACACATTATTGCCTTTGCAACTAGACATTGTCCAAATATCCAGCCATACAGCACAAGTCAACATAGAGAACTTTTTTTTTGCTACTGCACTATCTTCTTTTTGCTACTTCACAATCTTCTTTTGTTAATGCAGGAAATGCAGGAAAATTAAGCAAACTGCAGAGCTACGAAATCCATCCCAAGGTCATTAACATTACAAAGAGTAAGTCTCCCTGCTTTTGCAAAAAGTTCAACTCGATTAATGATCCACCGCCTGGCTCCAAAAATTCAAACCATAATAGAAGCAGCTTATAGTATTAGTCCCTGAACAAAGGATAAATAAAGATAATTTAAGTATACTAAATATTATGAGAATGTTTTAATTCTGGTATTTAATTCCATGAAAAACAAGCATTAGAAACACACACCTTTCAAAATATGCAAGCACAGTTACAGCACACCAATCCTCTATATCCTAGTAGGGGTACCATTTTACAACGCAACTTAAATATTGATGTCTTGAATTTCTTCTTCATGAAATAATATTTACTTGTTATCTACTTCATACTGGGTAACACTGTCAACCTCAGTTCTAACAATGGTGATTTAGGTTTGTGCACAGTAATTTCCATATTACTAATAAGCAATTAGTAATACAATATATTAATATAAAACAAGAAACCCAAGAGAATACTGCCATATCACAGTTGAAGACCTTTTTTATCAGCTTTGAAATCATCTGTAAATGCAGCTATATTTTAATGTTTCCCCAATATTGAAAGTTTTGAGTAAGTGAAACAGTATGTCTCAGTGTATTGAACAGTGGACAGCTATTCTTAGAAATCCACCCCAACTGCATTAATACCTCTTTCTCTCACTGCATGCTGTCATCTGTTGCTGTTCTCATGGTAATATAACCCTCATTGAATAAGTAACCTATTGACCTTTGTTATTTTACTTTTTATAGCCCTGACTGTAATTTTATTCCTATCTATTTATGTTAATAATCTTAAATACCTTCCACGTAATTTATAACCATATTACTTTGTCAGAAAAAGTAAAAATACCATAACTAAAATTCCTTGTTAATGCACTTCACTCAATTCAAATCTCCCTTCAACTTTGTACAATTCTGTTACGGTTCTCTCTATCTTTTCTGCCTGAGGATACAGAATGCAATTATACTGTGGTCACTATTACTTAATGGCTCAGATATTGTTACTTCTTTAATGACCTCCTGCATGTTCCTTCACAGTCAAGTATAATTTCTCCTTGAACAATTTCTCTCAAGGAATCCGTTTCAGGAGGTGACTGCTTAAAGCACCGCTTCTTTAATTCCGCAACTTTGCACAGGCAGTAACTGTGCTCAGAGAAAGCTGATGGCTCTCACCCTCCGTGTTACCATCAGACACAAATTGTACGCACTGTGCCACAGACACATGGAACCTGCCCACTAACTTGGCCACGGGGAGAGGTTGCAAACGCAGGACTACAGAGCACAGGCGGTTTCCCCTGAATCATGGAAAGGCTTTTTACCTTTCATGACTAGAACTGAGACAGCATCATCTATCTCCTGGGCACTTTAGGATTTCTACTGATCACTGTGCAGAGGTGTAATAGATAAGGCTGGTGTAGATTCTACACACATCTTCCAAACAAGCAACAGTCCAGCTCTTTGGGGGCATGGGGCAGGGGCACGCACAGGGTGAAACAAACTCTTGACATGTCCTAGGGATGCCAGGGTGGAGAAGAGCTCAACACTGCCAATGAAGCCAGCAAGCATTAAGAGGAGTGAAGATGAACAGCACTGACCAAATCACTGTCATGTCTCATTCTTTCCTCCACTTTTTATGACAAAGTTTACTGGAAATCATGCCAAGCAAAATGAGCATTTCTACTTATCTGGCAGGAGGCAACAGCTTTGGCCTGACTGCTTTTCCTGCCACCACCTTTCCCCCACCTGACCAAAACACAATCCTGTCTGTTCTTCTGGGAAACGGAGTTAGGACTCTGTAAATATGCTATGAAGACTCTGCTCACAACACATTTCATGGTGTCATCGCAACATTTCAATACTACAATAGTCAACACTGTTCAAATTCATAGTTTTTATACTTAGTGAAAAGGTAAACTCTCCTATTTTAAAGTGAATCCTTAAAATACAATAGATTTTCTATAAAATACAATTGAAAGTGCGGAGTGCATTCCTACGGCCTCTGCCTTACTCATGTTGCTACTAGTCTTCTATCCTTTTCTAAACTAAGTTTTACCTCTATCATGAAGCTCTCACTCTGTATTTAGTGAAGAGGATTTAAATTGTCTTAGCCCATTAACAGATTGAGAAGCCTATTCCACTTCAGTACTAAGTTCTCAGTTCAAGCTTATTGACACACATTGTGTTTAATTTAAAAAGTCTTCTCGCTGACATGTAAGTATATTTCCTTAATGACAAAATTCCAGTTTAACTTTCAGCTAAAGACAGATATCAATTTAACTTGTCAACAATTAATCATGTCACCCAACCTGGCTTTTAAAAGTGAAAAGAAAAAATGCATACAGAGGACATAACATTAATTCAACTAGAGAAGAGAAAAACTAAAAGGGCCTATACAAAATTCCATGAGTTTACTTTTACAAAAAAAAAAAAAAAAAGCTGTGTACAAAACAAGATATAAAATTTCCAGGAGATCTAACATACCACAAACTCAGTGGCTTCAAAACATATATTTATAGTGAGAAGACTAACCAGTTACAACAGTAAGCCCTGCAAAAGAAAAGTAACAACAAAAATCTCGAAGAGCTTTGTAAGATGTGCAAGCTCTCAAGTTTGAGCAGCCACCAACCTTTAAAGAGGATTAAAGAGGGTACTCTTTGGATGCAGGTTGTCCCATGACTACCTTTCCTCCTCTCAAACAGAAAGTACTAACCACTGCTGGAAATCGGGGAACACCATACCAAACACTACACTCCAATGGCCTCTTGCATAGGGCAGTTCTGGTATTTCAATAGGAAAGGGAAGCCTGTATGACAGAAACAAGCCACTGCGTAAGTGGTACTCCAGCTATAATAGCCCACAGTCATTTAAACACCACTAATGAAAATGAATTACTCACTAGTAAATGGACTCTTTGAATCTAAACTGCTGACAGTTGGTAATAAATTATATACTACGTCGTATATTAACTATACTATATAGTCAGTTTTAATCTCTGGTACCTTTATTCACAGAAGCTATACAACCAATTTTATCCCTTCTCTTCTGGACCACCCGCCCAAACTGAGTAAGCTGCAAGAAAAGTGGCGGGAAAACTGCAGCTCAAGAATAAAGTAAATGGATATAAAGTAAGCCCACAAATCTCCTGCCAAAGAAGGATTAATCGTGGACCTTAAATTCGTGGTGACTGATTAGCATCTCTCAACCACACAAACTGGAAAAACAGTAACCAGAAGAAAGATTTATAAAGGCATCAAGATAAAGACACTAGAAGATTCGTACTGGAAAGTATCATATGAAAAAGGCAATGTACTCTTTTGCATTAGCTGAAAGTCAATAGTTGGGATCAGAGCACTGGGAAGCAATCTTGACTGCTAAAACTGTCAAGAGAGGGCAAGTTTAATACAGATCTTGCGAGGATGGATGATGATTACAGAATGGCTGGATGGGCAATATTTCTTTCTCCCAGTATCATTCAATGTGCATTTCCTATACCTTTCTCCCCACTTACCATTTAGATCATAAGAAATAATCCACTTTTACAATGTCCCTAAGTGCAGTTTCTAATCGTCTCTGAAGTGTTAGTGACAAATCTCCATATGAAAGATGATAAACAAAGACTGAAGACAAACCATAAAGAGCACGTTATTTCTCACTGCTCAATTTGGGTCATGGCACACTTCTGTAACACTTCATTTACTGTTCCCAGAAGAGAGCTGCCTGAAACTAACCAGAAATTACTCACGCCAGTAAAAAAGTTTATTTTCTGTGGCTTGCTCACGATCACATAGGAACACTGAAGTAGATCTTACCTCATTGGAATCAATAGGCGTTAATCATTAATCTAAATGGAAGCAGTATTGGGACAGCTGAAGCACATCCAAATAGATGCTGAGACTCCTAAATCCCATCAGGGCTCCTACCCTTCTATTGATTTCTGTGCTTGAAAACTGAAACAGTTCACTGAAACCAGAAGTCA